TAAAGAATGCCATATCTTTTTAGGCTGCATAAATTTAAAATATTTCTTTATCTTATGAAACAAAAAGTCAGCTCTTTCTATAGTGCAGATTTGTGGGGAATTCATACTATTTCTCATTGGGCTTCCATTCTTTGTCCTTTCAATAAGTAAACTTTTATTTCTCTTCAATGTTCAGTCAATCTTGTTCTGTGTTCCAACATAGATAAATCCATATATAATTACTGCTATAAGGAAATAAGTTTCTGCACTAGTGTTTGTTGATGTTATGTGTGGCCTATACTTCTCTACATGGAATTCCTCTCCTTTGAATGAGACCTGGAATTAGAAAAACTGAGTCCTGCATGTCACCCATCCATTTTATAGCTAGTTAATCAAGATTACATTTAAATATCATTTTTACTATTATAGTTCCCTCCTTCAAAAAAATAAATTGGTGCAAATTAAAAAGTGTAGTTCCTTTTTAAGGAGTGAAGAATGAGTAAGTGAATAGTTCAAATGTATTGTAGCATTTGATCCCATTCATTCATCAGTTTTACTTACTTACTTGTTACATGCCACCAAACTTACTCTAACAATTTAGATTATCAGCATGTTGAGGCAAAGGAGAGTCCATGTTTTGTGCATATTGATTAGTAAAGGGTTGTATATACTGAGTACCCTATAAGCAATTACAATGTAAAAATATCACAATGATCCTTCTTAGTAGGATGAATATTGCATATCCATGTAGTTCATGCATATAGACATAATACAAAAATTGTTTTCATCAGTAGCAATTATGAAAGTAGAATCCACATATACAGTGTCACTCCCAAATATTTGAAGCATAAAGCTAGAATATATTGATCGCAGGTTAAAAACTTTTTACTTAGAACTTTAAATGAATATGGTGGGAAAATAACATTTAGTTGGACTGTGAAGAATATATCCTTCTTTCTCTTTTGAGAAGAAGGAATTTATTACCAAGCACTTGAGCACAATTATCATTACTGGTATCACACTAATTTGCTTTGGTAGTAATCACAGCGGAAATGTTACCTCATTTGCCTCCACATAGTGGGTTATATATCCATATTTTAAAGAATGAATGTAATTTTTAATAAGCCAGGTAGATTTATGCTACCATTAAAAGTAATCATTATATAATGTGTATTTTAACCTATATTAATTCATAATACAAGTAGTCTTTGCTTAGCAATCTCAATTAGGACTGGCAATTCTGTTGCTAAGCAGAAAAATCTCATTTTTCCTAAAATATAATTTCTTATTTGTGACCAATTTACTGACATAGTATATGTTTACTTCTCTTCTGTCATGTTCATCAGACAGTAAACAAATAATAGTGACATAGTAACTCCCTTCTAAAACATTTTCTTCCAAATGTTCAGTAGGCTAGTTGAGTGTCTGATGGCACAGTTGTCCAACTTCAATACCAATCATAACAACTGCCCCAGACATGATCCAAAAGAGCAGTATGTAGTATTCTTGAGGGCAAACACACTTTCAAGTGCAAAATAGGTTGCCAGGCATAGAGAAGGAATTTAATTATTTCTGTGAACAAATTAACTCAACAAATTAGTCATTTTAACTTACATTGATCTTCTTCTTTAAAAATCATTATTCTGCATTCTAGTATAGAATTCTTCAGAGTTGATTTCCAGAACTGAATAGATTGCTAAAAAGCAATAATGCTACTTCACAAGCTTCTTAATGTTTTTTGAAAAAGTACCATATTTTCGGCGTATAAGACGACCCCCGATTTTTCCTGTTAAAATATAGGGTTTGGGCTATACTCGCCATATAAGACTACCCCTCTTCCAACGCACATCAAATAAAAATTAAAAAACATCAACTGGCTCACCCACAATGTAAAAGCAGCTGTGCTAGACCCAAAATGGCCCCTGCAACAAGCAGGAACCTCACACAGCCACAAAAAGCCCAAAAAAACAACTTTCACACTTTACACACACAAAATTCCACATACAGGTTTGTGAGATTTTGTGTGTTTGTGTAGTTAGAGTGAAACACTACAGAAACACTAAATCTCAAAAAGCTGCACAAATATTTTATTTTAATTTATTTTTATTTTTATATGAAAACTAAATTTAAAACTTCCTAAACTTTAAATGGCTAGGTCTAAAAAAGAACAACTAAAAAACCCCCCAATTAACTATTTTTTTTAAAGCTCCCAAAGGGGAAAAAAAACTTACCCAATAGAACAGGGGTCTCCAACCTTGGCAACTTTAAGACTTGTAGACTTCAACTCCTAGAATTCCTCAACCAGCTTTGTTTTGCTGGCTGAGGAATTCTGGGAGTTGAAGTCCACAATTCCCTGCCTGCTTGATTGCAGGCAGGGAGTGGCTTGCTGATGGAATGAATTCAGGCAAGCGAAGCAAGGCAAGCGTTGCGACTAGCAGCTAAGGTAAGCAAGCTGGAGGGGAAAAACTTTTTTCCTTTTACATGGCTCGGGCGATCCCAGCTGCGTTGCCTGATTAGCAGGCAACTCAGCTGGGATCGTCAGAACTTGGATCGCCAGAGCCATTTAAGGCTCGTCAGAGCCTTTCGGGCTGGTCTGCCTGGTTACAGGAGAACGACATCCGGCGTGTAAGACGACCCCCAACTTTTGAGAAGATTTTCATGTGTTAAAAAGTCGTCTTATACGCCGGAAAATACGGTACTTCATATGTACAATCACTTTGTTATGCTTGGAAAAAAGTAAAGCAATGGGGTTGGTGCATCTTGCAAAGCATCGATATGAATCTTGCAAATAATGCTTAATGCTTTAATTATTTGAAAATAGGTACATCATACTCTTCTGCATCAGTTTAGAAGGCTTTGCAAAGTATAAAAGTAATAGTACTAATTTGATTTTTTTTTTAATTTAAAAGCCATAGTTACCCTACTTTGTGGAGTATAAGGCGCACTTTTTTCACCCCTAAAAGAGGGTGAAAATTTGGGTGCATCTTATATGCCAAATGTAGCTCCACCCACCCGCCGGCCCCCACCCTTTAGTCATTTTCATCACCCGCGCATTGTGTTTTAGACCTGTACCAGGCTACAGAAATGGCCACAGACCATCGCTGCTTCAGTGCCTTGCATTTTTGTCCTCCAATCCACGCTGTCTGGAACTGCCCAAAAACGTGACGTGCAGAGGCCAAAAATGGGGCGTCCGGAGCCGAAAATGTGATGCACAGAGGTTGAAAATGTGATACACAGAGGCGGCGATCAGTGGCGATGTGCTTTGGGGATCCCCGCAGCCTTGAATGGGTCTGAAATGGAGTGCTCAGAGGCTGAAAATGTGAGGCACAGAGGCCAAAAACACAAAGCACTGCAGCCTGGAACAGCTGATTGGGGGTATTCCGGTAGGCCGATCCACCCACCAAACAGCTGCTCGTGCTGATCAGGCTGCAATAAGGTGCTGAAGTTGACCTGGTTGTTCTCTATTTGCTGTAAGGACGCTAGCCAAATGAATACCGATGGATGCTGGTAATAATAATAATAATAATAAAATTAATAATAATTTTTCTCCCCAAGAACTAAGGTGCATCTTATATTCCGGAACGCCTTATACTCCGAAAAATACAGTATTTAGCACTTAGATCACCTACCCACAAGAATTAAATTACACTAAAGTTGTATTTGCAAATTGTATTATAATAATTACCGAAATCTCTCGTACACATCAATGACCAATAAAATGAGAACGAGAGTAACCTGAAAGCTGGCAAACTTCATGTGTATAATGATCTAGTTCAGAAACAGTAGTTTAATACTACTCAGTAAAGATCAGGTAATTGTTATTTCCAAAATCTGGCAGAAAAAATTACAATGAAGAGAATTTAATATCTAAATGTCCTAACTAGTAACAAAATTTATTAACGCTTCCAATCTTCCAATCTAAATAAAAGTGATGCACAAAGGAAGAAAGAAGATGCTAAATATTGATCAAGACAAAACATATCACCTAGAAAAAGCAAAAATAAAAATTATTCCTTTGCTTTCTTTTCAAAAAAGAAATGGTGGGACAATGAAAGGAACAGATGGAGATATGCAAAAGTCCACAAGGGAGGGATTAGATGAGGACAGTGTTGAATAAGAAAACTTGAGGGAGAAGAAGGGGCTGATGAAGCTGTAGGAGAAGGAATGGCTGTAAATAAAAGGAAAGCATATAACTGAGGGACAAACATATTTCAAAAATACCTTCAAATTGTGAACTTTCTTTATGGAATGAATTACAAAATGCCTAGTTAAAGTATGTTAGAGGAAAGAAGGTTTATGAAGAAAATTACTTTGGCACTAATTCTGATTAAATCTACCAGTCAGATAAACATGTTGAAGAACTAGTGAACAAATAACCTATTTGCGTAAATGTATTTACTGTGTAAGAGCTAGTTTAATATAGTGGTTAAACCATCAGGTTAGAAACCGGGAGACCATGAGTTCCAGTCTTGCCTGAGGCACAAAGCCTAGGGCCAGTCATGTTCACTCAGCTCTAGGAAGCAGGCAATGGAAGACCATCTATAAAAAAACTTGCAAAGGACACTGCAGGGCTTGCCAGACATCTCCAAGAATTGGATACAATTGAACGGAAGGAAAAAATTATAAAGAAAAACATTTTAAAAAAATGAAAAGCATAATAAGAAAAAGAAATTAAGACAAAAGGTTAGCAGAAAGGTTGTATATTTCATAAGATTAGAGTGGTCCTAAAATCAAAAGAAAAATCGAATGTATATAAAAGTTTCCAAAACATAGGAAGATCTTTAATATTAAATGCAACCAACAATCCAATAAGTAGAAGAAAGAATTTAAAAAATTGATCCAGATATGATTCTAATACATAAAAACAAGCTTCAAGAAAAAAATCTGATCCAGAATATGAAAATGATAGTGAAGAGGCAGAAAATAAATTGAGTAAGATATAAAGATGGAAAGCTATTGAAAGAGTGCATTGTGCTTATCTGAATTCGCATCAATTTTCTTTGTTTCATTTTTTTTTTCAGTAAAAGAACTACAGAAGAATTAAACTAAAGAAGATGATAATGATGAACAAAGTCAAAACTTTAAGAAAGTAGTTTGGTTAGATGCTTGTGGCTTACTACAAGAGATAACCAAATGGTAAGTGCTATAGGAATAATTTTGATATACAGGTAGTCCTTATTTAACTACTACCCTGTTTAGCGACCATTCAAAGTTATGATTGTGGTCTTTTACTTAATGAGCATTGTGGTGTTCCTATGGTCACATGATTGAGACTCAGGCATTTCACAATCAGCATTTGCAAATACTGCAGTGTCCCACAGTCATATGATCACCTGCTTGCAAGCTTCACAGTTGGCTTTCGGCAAAGAGAATCAATGGAGAAGCTGGCAATGAAACGCAAGTTACAGTCTTGTCTCACTTAATGGCTACAGGTTAATTTTCATTTAACAACCACAGCAGAAGTGAGCTTGTAATTCCATCATGTGATGTGATGCTTTGCTTAACATCACACTGTTAATGATGGAGTTGCCACTCCCTGTTGTGGTCCTTGTCAGAAAAGCCAATGCTTGTGGTAGAGAATAAAGGAGAATATTTGGTTGACGTGAGGGGTCCTTGGTGCTCTCTGACCTTGCTTGTTTCCTTGCACACTTTTCATTGCCCTAATTAGGTGACATCATCAGTGCTAGTAAGGAGTGCTGTTTGCTGTCAGTTCATATTCTGGTGACTTGCCTGTCTGTGTGGGTAAGAGTGGTCTTAGAGATTCTTTGGTTGGGCTGTTTACTGATGCCTCTTTGGCAATTTTTTGATTGGGGTATTGTTTACTTGACTGTTGGTGTGAAGTGAAGCTTGGAATTAACTGTTGATCTAGGTGCTGATTACTGGTGGAGATGTGCTGGAGTCCTTTTGTTCTCTTTTGGGCTGGTTGATTGTCTCTTTTGCATAGTCTATAGATGTTGTTAATGTCTATGTGTCTATGGATGGCTGATTTGTCAGAGTGCCAGACTTCTAGAAATTCTCTGGCATTTTTGGACTTGGCCTGAGGAGTATCACATTTTCCCAATTGAAACTATGGTTAAATCTGTTTATTGTTGTGAAATTAAATAATTTTCTTCATGTCTTCTGCGGATCCAAAATACCTGGAAGAGCAGTAACTTGAGGAGAATTAAAAACTAATAAGGAAAATGATTTTCTTAATTGGTTCTATGCTTTGTTATGTCACTCTCCTTTTTCTTTTTTATACTCCCTGAACTTTTGAGGTCCATTCTGGGAACCAATTCACTGTAGGAGTGGTAGCTCCCCTTCATTGGATATGCTTAAGTTGATGCTAGTCAGGCATTTTGGGGAATGTTTGAATTTCTGTCTTAAGAAGAAGATTGGATTCTGTCACCTAATAACATTTCTCATTTTTATTTTGGGATAATATATGATATCCAGAGTAAGCTTGGGAAATATACATTGGAAGGAATAATTTGTTCTGATAGTAGAAAATTCTACTGGACACAGTTAATTTTAATATGCTATAGTAATGTTTGTTTTTATATGCTGTACATCTAAATAGGAAATGCAAGCTTCCCATGCTAATAAATAATTTAATGTTATACTTCTTTCTTAAATCTATTTCTTTACCAGATAGAATATTCTCAGTTTTTAAGTATTACGTTGAGTGAAATGTTGCTACCTATTTTTGCTATTGTATGTATTAAACAAAAACAAAAGAATTTCCTTCTAGGAAACTTGCTGGACAACTTCCTCTAAAATGCATAGATGCTGAACATGGAAACAACAATGTGTCTTCCTCTGGAAGCTGGTTTCACATGGTGGCTTAGATTTTTCCATCTCTGTATCTAGCACCATTTGAAATCAGTGTTCTAGGAGCAAGAATTGCGGCACTGGATGGAGAAAAGAAAGCAGCAACAAAGCTGTCATTAAGCAAGAGGTGAACTGTTATTTTAAAATAAAATTAAAAACTGGTACAACAAAGGATGACTCTATCCAGGTCTGTATACATCACAGATAGAACTGGAATATGGAGAGAATCACATGTCAATTATCTATTAGACACAATACTCTTCTGCTACCTTGAAACAATAGTGTTTAGCCCTGATTGAATTGAAGCTATTCTAATAAGGTCAATCTTACATAACAATACTTTTTTACTGAAAGACTCTGAATTGGGTTGGTAGGTGTAAAAGGAATTGTTTGGTTTTGTTTGCTTATTATCTAGTAGAAGTAGAAAATTTCAGTATACTTTCTTAGAAATCAATTCATCTAAATGAGATTTGCTTATACGTATGCATTCATATGAGCATATACTTATAGTCTATCTTGAAGGTGCTTTTATCTCTACACACACACACACACACACCCCAAAATCAAATGCATGTAATGGACACAGCATTTAGAAAATATATCTCAGTACAGATAGCAAATTAGCAAATGAATAAAGTATTGTTATTAATACAGGAACTTTAGGTTTTTCAAATTGAAATGGTTAGTGTTTATATTTAATTGGTATTAAGTCACAAATTGTAAATAAAAATATTCAGTAACCAATGACATCTAACCATCTGTTCAGACTAGTTTTTCAAGATAAATACTAAAGAGCATTTGCTAAATGAAAATACCTATCAGATTGTTAGCATGTTCTGCATAACCTCTAGTACTTTAACAACCAATGTTGACCCAGGAAAACATCTCTTACTCAGGCTGACCGATTTCTCTTGGTGTTCAGAGTCTTAGTTTTTGTCTAGCACCATTTGAAATCGGTTATGATGTAGGGGGAAAAGCAACTGCGGTGGAAGTGCTGGATATACTTTAAGATGATTTTGGCTTAAAAAAGGATTGAAGTGAGATACCATATACCATGATAGAAATAATGCCTTTTCTGTTGCTTGTATGTACAGAAACCTGTTCTCCATTGTGAATTTCACACTGACTAATACTTCTATAAAAATGATAACTTAGGTTTCTTTAATGTTACGCAGTCCTGTTGCACATAGATGGTAGTAATTTGTTTTTGTTGTGGAAAATTTAATATTTTTAGAAGTAAGCTGCACTAAATTGCTAATGTATGAACATTAATCATATACTATGGCAAATATGCTGCAAGGACAGACTTCTAGGCAAAGCTCATAGAAGTGCCCCAAACAGCTCCATAGAAGCAGCAAAGTGAGCTTTCACATTCCAGCTTTCACATTTCTTCAGGAAGCTTTTAAGCTCAGTTAAGAATAAGGTAAAAGAAAATTGGAGATATTTATCTGGAGGCTGCTACTGCCACCATCTGGGGAAGGCGAGAGGGAGACTGAACAAGCAGTTAAAAGTTCCTAAACTTTGATTTTTAATTTTTTTTTTTACAAAGAACTCTGCAAATTCTGTAAATAGCAGAATTATCAGGTAGTAAGGTTACTAAATATGGTATTTGGGAGTAAGAGAGAAGATAGTCTGGCTGAGGAGCATCTTTTCCAGAATTGTCCTTTGAAAAATTTCCCTAGATCATTTTTTTATTTTATTATTTATATAACCACCCCTCTCAGCAAACAACTCAGATCTCTCAAGCATTGTCATGATTTTACATTCTAATCACTATATTCTCTACCTTGGAAAGAGTGAGACACTGTTTAGGCTACCAGATTTGGCTGTATAAGGTTCCTGAGACAATTTTACTTAGGATAAGAGAGACAAAGTAGTAGTTGTGTGAAAAGAAGAAAAGAAATGGAGGAAGGCTGAATGGATAATAAACATACAGAAAAATAATTGTGTTTTCTGTTCTATTTCTGTGTCATTCAATAATTGTTCATTAGGGATTAATAACAAACTAGCATATATCTAGAGAGACAGACAGATAGACAGAAGATGCCCATATATTTCCACTATACATCTTCAGCTAATAGCAGACAAACATTTTATTTATTTAAATTTTAATATTTATTTTTATCACTATTGTAATTATTTTATACATGTTATTGATACATTTGTTAAAATTGCTTTAAATTGTAATACATACAAACTGATGTATGTTTAAAATATCTGGCTGTTTCTATTGCAGAACTGTTCTAAAAAATATTTGTTCAACAGTGTAAAGAAAAAAATTATACAAAATGTTAAAAAATAATTTATATTTGATATGAAAGTGTAATATAATACCAACAGTAGATGGCATTGTTGTCTGATTTTTGTACAGTAGTTTATTTCTGTATTTTGCCACCAGTGAATACACATTGATGTGTGATTGGAATTTCTCTCTAGAAAAATGAATTTGAACTGAGTTCAAGATGTTTCCTCAAGCACTTGTTGGAATTCCAAAAGCTCTGGAGTTCATTCTTAACTGATGCTACTCCCTCCTCCCCCTTCCGTTTTTAATAACCCCTGACAGCCATCATCGCAATGGCTAGATCAATGTCCTTTGGGACTTCATAGTTCAGTACTGTCATTTTAACTGAGCAGTTTCGAGTTTCAGTTTCAGCTATATTCAGCTTGAATGATAACAATTGTTATCTAGGAGCATAGGGTCCAGAGATGATCTCCTTGGAAATGGATGCACCACAACGTCCTTCAATGTTGCTAGCAGATGTCCCTCATGAAGGCACTAAAAATCTGAGGAATCCAGGTGGCCACTTCTCCATACACTCCTTGCAATAACTAGGATTGGCATGGGACCAAACCACATGCAGCAAAAGCAGTCTAGACAGTACCTTTTTCACTTCCTTGGTGTTTACAAACCTGAAAGAATCCCAAATAATATGGCAAACAGTACCCTTATCACTACCACGAGAGGCATCAAAACATTGGCAAATCCAGGTGAGTTTGTCAGTGAAGTGCTGTGCAAAACTAGAACCTATCAAATAGTATGTAACTGGAAGGGAAGGGAAATGGAGAGGGTGGGAGGAAGATTTCTGATTTCAAGGAGAAATTGATACGAAGTCAGAAATCATCACTCCCGCTGATTTTTTTGCTCACCCATGCTAATTCTGTCTCCCTTTTTAGGTAAGGAAATATCTCTGGAACGTTGACCTAATGGGTCATGCGTTGTCCAGTGTTAAACTAAAAAGAGGGTGGGCATTGATGGAGCACTGCTGATGGGAATGGCAAAACCTCATAAAATCACTTTCTCTCAGTGTACATGTTACATATTGATATTTGATGTCAGGGTATGAAGAATTAACAGCTGTAAGCTGATGAGAGGTTGTAAGCGGAGGCAACGGGAAGTTGATGCAATGGAATGGAACATTGGCTTACCTGAATGTCCATTTTATGATCGTTGCGACGACATTCCTCACTTCTGGGACCTTCACTCATTCGATTTGTCTTACTGAGTGCTTGTCAAATATTTATCTCCCTCTGCAGTATGGTTCCGCCCCCTCCTGCGCATGCTCAGTCTTTTCACGAAGTCTACCTCCATCAGATCTGAAGAATACACTCAGCGGAACTGTAACTGCAGAGGTGAAAAAGAAGATACGACCCCACGACCACCAGCCAATACCCAAGGGTGGGATGGAATGTCGTCGCAACGATCATAAAATGGACATTCAGGTAAGCCAATGTTCCATTTTCATGCATCGTTGCGCCGACATTCCTCACTTCTGGGATATGCCCAAGCTTAATAAATTAGGGTGGGAATTACTCCTTGTCATTGTCCTGGCTTCGTGGGGAGATTATTGATTGTAAAACTCTTCTCCCGAACGCCGCATCAGCTGACACAAAAGAATCTAATCTGTAATGTTTAACAAAGGATGAAATAGATGACCATGTAGCTGCCTTACATATTTCATCTACAGATGCCTGTGTAGCCCAGGCAGCAGAAGTTGCAGCACTGCGTGTTGAATGTGGTAACACTCTTCCAGGTAAACTTTCCCTTTGTGAACTATATGCCACTGATATACATGCTTTAATCCAGCGCCCCACTGTATTAGAAGACACTTTCTTACCCATTGTAGAAGGTAAGTATGATACAAATAGTGCTTCAGTTTGTCTAAATGATTCAGTTCTTTTTATATAACGTCTTAATGATCTACGTACATCTAGTGTGTGCCACATTTTTTCCCTAGGATGTTTAGGATCTGGACAAAAGTTTGGTAAAATTACTTCTTGAGCTCTATGGAAATATGAGTTAATTTTTGATATAAAGGATGGATCTAATCTAAGTACTACTCTGTCTGTATAAAATATACATAAATCTTTTCTAATTGAAAGAGCAGCTATTTCTGATATTCTGCGTGCAGATGTTACTGCTATTAGAAAAGCTAATTTCAAAGTTAGATATCTCATACTTATAGATGCCAGTGGTTCAAATGGTTTTTTTTTTAATGCTTGTAGTACTAAATTCATATCCCATGAAGGATATCTGTGAACAATAGGAGGTCTTAAATTCATAGCTCCCCTTAGGAAGGATTTAATTCTCATATCTTGTGAAAGAGACTTCTTACTTGGTCCATCTATGACTGTAGCCAATGCTGCTACTTGTCTCTTCAATGTTGAAGGAGCCAGACCCTTGTCTAAACCAGATTGAAGAAATAATAGTACCTCAAGTACTGTTGCCGATGTAGGATCTACGTGACTTGTACTACACCATTCTACAAATGCCTTCCAAGACGCATTGTAAATACGCGTAGTAGATGGTCTTCTGGCTGCTTGAATAGTTGCAATTACTTCTGAAGGAATATGATCTTTTGTTAATCTGGACCTTTCAAGCGCCAGACGGTCAATTGTAATGAGTCTGGCTTTGGATATCTTATTTCTCCTTGGAGTAGAACTATCTGATTTGGAGGAATTCTCCAAGGAGTTTCTATTGAAAGATCTAATAGGTCTGCAAACCATGGTCTGCGAGGCCAATAAGGTGCTATCAATATCATGTCTGCTGTTTCCTTCCTCAATTTGTGAATTACACTCTGAATTATTGGAACTGGAGGGAATGCATACAGAAGCCCTTGCGGCCAAGGAGATCTTAGCGCATCTTGGCCTTCTGCTCCTCGAGTTGGAAATCGAGAAAAAAATCTTACTAACTGGGCGTTTTGAGTTGTAGCAAATAGGTCCACTATTGGTTGACCGAACCTGAGAGATATCTGTTTGAACAGCTTGGGATCTAACATCCACTCTGATTGGTCTATTTTGCCCCGGCTTAGCCAGTCTGCTTGTACATTTATTTATATATGCTCTGCTTTTATCGATAAGACATGTTTCTCCGCCCAAGACATGAGACGATCCGTTTCTTCCATTAGAATTTTTGATTTTGTGCCTCCCTGACGATTCAAATGTGCCTTTGTTGTCATATTGTCTGTTAAAATCAGGACATGCTTGTTGGTCACATGATGTTGAAAATGAATTAACGCCAGGCGCACTGCTCGTAATTCCAACCAGTTGATTGGTTGGTTTTTCTCCGACGTAGACCAAATCCCTTGCGCTATCAATGAATTGAGATGTGCACCCCATCCATAAAGACTTGCATCCGTCGTTAATGTTACTCGTTCTGATTGTAGAAACAGAGAACCTTTCTGAATTGCCTCTGTTATCCACCAACGTAGAGATATTTTTACTCGTGTTGGTACCACCACTTTGTGAAGAGAATCCGCTCGTCTTTGCCTTTGAAAAGGTAACAGAAACCACTGAAGATGGCGGGTGTGGTAACGAGCCCATGGCACTATTGTAATTGCTGATATTAGCTTGCCTAGAAGTTGAGACAGTGTTAATAGTGCAGTTTTCTTCTGCGATATTACTTGCAAAGCTAGACTCTTGATGCTGTTTTGTCTGTCTGGAGACAGGTAAACTAATCCCAATTCTGAATCTATGATTGCACCTAGGTGCAATAATCGAGTTGTTGGTGATAAGTGACTTTTGTCCACATTGATTGTAAAACCGTGGTTTTGTAGAGATTGGATGACTAATTCTCTGTCTCGACATGCCTGATCTTTTGATGTTGACAAAATCAAAATGTCGTCCAGGTAACATACTAGACGTATTGGAATTGACCTGAGATTGGCCGCCACTGCCGCTAACAACTTCGTAAATATTTTTGGTGCAGAAGAAAGGCCAAAAGGCATTGCCTTGTACTGAAAGTGTCTGTCCGCATATGCAAACCTGACGTATTGTCTGTGCCTTGGGTGGATGGGCACATGTAAATATGCTTCTTTGAGGTCTATAGATTGCATGAGATCTCATTGTCTTACACATTGTAGAATCGACTTTAGTGAATGCATCTTGAATCTTCTGTGTAAAACATTCACATTTAGCTGCCTCAAATTCAGAATTCCCCTCCAACCCCCTGAGTTTTTTGGCACCAGAAAAAAGATCGAATAAAAAACGGTTTGAATTTGGTCTTTTGGAACCTCCTCGATCGCCTTGATTTGTTTCAGGTGCTTGATCTCGAGATTCATCAGATTTTGTTGTAAGGGTTGAGTTGACCAAGGACATTGGATGAATCTGGTCGGCGGGTTTGAGGTGAATTCCAAGGTGAGGCCGCTGGTTACAGTACGTAAGATCCATGCATCCGTTGTTGATTCCTCCCATTGGTGATAGAATAGTTGAAGTTTGCCCCCAATGGGAGGGGAAGAATTCGAGTCACTTGCCTCCTAGAGATTGACGTGACATCGCTCCTCGAAAAGGTCTTCTGAAAGATGATTGGCGGCTGCCTCTTCCTCAAAAGGAATTTCTATTACTCGAGTATGAGGAATAGTAGGGTTGAAAATTACCACGTTGTGTGTAGGTATTTGAATTTCCTTGATCATATCGAAAAAACTGTCGTTGAAAAGGAGAATATCTGCGTTCTGGTCTTCTATACAAAGAGGGTAAATTTTTCTTTTTATCCCTGCCTTCTACCAGAACCTGTTGCAAGGACTCTCCGAATACAGAATGGCCTTTATAAGGGGCTGATGTGAGCCTCCATTTTGACCTTAAGTCAGCTTTCCAGTGACGTAACCAAAGAATTCTTCTTGATGTTACAGAAGATGCTAATGCCCTGGAAGCGAATTTCGCAGCATCTAATGAAGCATCTGCAGAGTATTCTGCTGCTGCAATAATTTTTGATACGTCTTGTTGAATCCTAGATTGTTCAGGTGGTAATCTATCTCTTAATTGTCTTAGCCAAATAAGAGAGGCCCGGTTAAAAAATGATGCTGAAATTGCAGCTCTAATTGCCCATGCCGCGGCTTGATGAGTTTTGCGACATGTCATTTCAGCTCTTTTGTCTTCAACTTTAAGACCTTCTCCAACTTCACTGACTAACACAGAAGATGACGTAAGTGTTGCCACCGGTTCATCTACTAATGGCAATTGTAATAATTCATCCAAGTCTGGTGGAGAGCAATATAATTTTTTATCAAAGCTATTGGGCCCAGAAGTTGAACTGGGATAATCCCAAGATTTTTTAATAACTTGTGAAAATAGATCTGGGCACGGAACAAAGTCCAAATCAGACTTGGGTACTCTAAACAAATTTTCATTTGGATTCAATTGAGTTCTAGGATCAGATGACTTATCTAAATTTAGTCCCATATTAGTAGCTACTTTTGCTTTATATAGCAGTGACTTAAATAAAGCTGGTTTGAAAAGACCTTGAAATGCTGGTTTTTCTGGGGTCATGTCTTCCTCATCCTCTGATAAATCAAAATCTTCTAACTCTGTGTCATCCCCACAGCTAAAATATTGCTGTTTAGGAATTGATTGAGAATGACATTGATTACTGGTAACTGCACCAGTATAACAAGGATAGCTGGTTTGTTGCAAACCTGCTTGGAATATTTTAGAAATGGCATGTGTAACCATTGTTTGGAAATCCATTTCCTGACCACTGCTTTGAATATCTTCCCCCCTAAGACCAGCAGCAGTTGGGGTGAAAGTGGCTTCAGGAGGACCTTGATTTAGAGGATTAACACCTGAAGAAATAGGCCCTTGAGGTGCAATGCCCCTAGGAAAATCTATCATAAATTGACCTTGTGGTTCTCTAAACATGGAATCTTGTGACTGAATTTCTTCAGTTTCCTCATTGACCTGATGATTATCATCAATATGTTGTTGATTAAGAGACATTTCAGAATGATATATGTTAGAAGCTGATTGTGCAGCACACTTGGCTTTGACAATTAATTGGATAAACTTCCCTTAGATGAACTTCTGTCAGTTGATGTAACCAAATGATGAAAGAAGTTTTGACAGTTGAAAATGGCGCCGCTGTCCGTTGCTCGCCTCAGCAACTGTCAGTTTAACGAAGATTCCTCGAGCCAAACGTTTCCGAACTGATTTGTTTGCTTTATATTAATAGTATAACACTCAAGTGTATAACATAAGAAAAAACCTTTGAACTTTGAAATACTAAGTATGCCTGGCGCAGGCAGGGACTTTAAATAGTGTTTCAATTTTTCTTAAAATTAAATAGATTCTTTCATTAAGAGTCTGAATCCAACATCAGAAACTCCTTCGCCGCTAACAAATAACGAAACTTCAAAGGTGTTGGCAATTATTCAGCAGCTCTAACACCGCGGCTCAAATAAACAAGGCAGCTTCCAAGCATTACATTGTAACTCAAATAAAATGTAACTTCCACAGGAGCCTGAAAGTTACTTTAGTAACTTACTCGCCGCTGAAAAACAAGAGAGGGCTGCAAGGGTGTTGGCGGTTATTCACCAGCTCTAACACGGCGGCGAAAATAAGCAAACAGCGTCCGAACCTCAGCAGATCGCTGCTGATTGATCGGCAAGGCGGCTAGCAGCCCCTTAGCGCCGCAATTTAAACCAAGAAAAGATTCACTTCAGTATAGATGGCTAAATTAAGCAAACAGCGTCCGAACCTCAGCTGATCGCTGCTGATTGATCGACAAGGCGGCTAGCAGCCCCTTAACGCCACAATTTAAATAGCGATTTTTTTTAAAGCAATTGTAATGCTGTCAAGACAGATGCCATTAACGCAGCCCTCTAATAAATTATAATAATGAATTTAGGCAGATTCTCTGTACAACAAAAAGCACTCTAGACCTGTTAACTCAACTGAGTAAAAAGACTGAGCATGCGCAGAAGGAGGGGGTGGAACCATACTGCAGAGGGAGATAAATATTTGACAAGCACTCAGTAAGACAAATCGAATGAGTGAAGGTCCCAGAAGTGAGGAATGAGGCGCAACGATGCATGAAAATGAGGCAGCAGGGTTACTCCCACTTTAAGAGAAGCTGGGTAAGAAGCTGCCTATATAAGGGAAGCCATTAGAGGGTGTTGCCTTCTCCTCATGCCTTCTCATGTTCTCTCGTCATGTATCTCATTGCTCTCCGTGTATCAGTAGCTGTATGATAAAGGTATTTAACCACATATAAGTCTGTAAATATTTAGCTGTAAATAAAACAACTGTTATTTATCTAAAGGCTCTGTGTGCTATGTGCTGTGTCTTGCTCCTGGGTTTATCTCATAATACTAGTTACGCTGCCTAAACGCTGACATTTGATATCTCAAATTGTGACTGCCATTCCTTATGAGCATTCTCAACCGATATCCTTTATTTCAGTAGCAAATAACTAGAATCTATTGTGTCAGTCAAACTTCATTCATTTTCCCCCATAAAATATTTAAATCTTTGGGCATTATATTGGAAAATCACACACTCTTTTATTTCTGCATTTTCAGCTAAATGTGGATTCATATTTGGCTGAAGTCAAGTCAGTACCAATTACTAAAAATATTTATGTATCAAAAAGAATTGGATACAAAATTTCATTGAAGATTATTATTGCTGAGGCATGTATAAGAAAAAGTTACCAAATTCCCAATCATAATTACGAGAAGTGTCTTGAGGGCTAAAACAAAGATTTGAAAAAATCAAATAGGGATTAGCTGGTCTTCCATATGAATTAAGATACAAATTCCTAGGAGCTTCTACTGAAAGGCTCATAGGAAGGGCTGGAAGCATTTTAACTACTTATTCAATTCTTATTCAAAATGAATATAAATATATAAAGTACTCACTATTCTTCTTGTAAAAACAATCCACAACACTCCACCAAATATGAGGAAAAGCAACAGGATACAAGCCAGAGAACCTATTAAAGCCAAATAAGTATCTTTTTCTTTATTTAGTTATAATTTTCTCTAAAAGCAACGATTAAAGTACAAACAGAAAACTCCAAATAAATGGAATAATATACTAGGAGGAAAAAAAAACAATAACAGCATTTAACATTAAAATGCTATGAAAATGTACCGATCATAAGGTGTGTTATGTAATGCACTCTGTAGAATTCATTATATAGAATCCAGAATAAAACTATTTAAGACCACAATGAAAAGTTCATAATTGCTCCTGGCATATTTTAAATATTCCTGCCCAAAACAGCCAGAACAATTAACATCTTTCTAGAGTGCTTAGAACCAGTATCATACAAATTATACAAAAAGTATCAAATACATATTTTTGAGGAGATAAGTAACAAGAAGAAGGGACAGGGAAACAAAACTCTTCTTTAATTTTGGGGGATCTGTGTATTACACATTTCTCACCTTTGAAAATTTTAAAGCCTTTATGCTTCTCTGAGGAATAGAGGTATCATAATGGCTTTACTTTACTTTAAATAAATTACTTTAAATACAAAGAAATACAAGGAAACTCCTTTGACAGGGTACAGGAATTAAATAAAATCTTCAGTATTTCAGCAATATTTCTGCATCCTGCCATAGGAGTTCAGCTCCCTTTGGGAAGCAGCTCTTTCAGCCAGCCCTCAGAGGTGAAGGAATCCTCTCAGCAGCTTGCAATCTTATCTGTTGGTTTCTCTATTGACTTTCTGAAGAAGCTGGCAGGAAAGGTTGCAAATAGTTAATCACATGATCATGGGGAGCTTGGCAACTGGTTGTAAATGCAACAATTTTTCAAGCAATCAGATTATAATAGAGGTGGTGTGCAACATTTTGTGATGGCTGAAAGTGTTTTACTGGCCATAAAGCACCCCTTCCAAGGCCCTTATAATTCCAAACCATCATTAAATGTACAGTTTTAAGTTAACAACTACCTATACTTTATAAACTTTTATTTATTATATTTAAGTTCTAATCTTATACTACCAGCACAATTAAAATCATGATGTACTTTCAGCATAGAATGATGGCTCTACCACTTTTGCTAAGTTTCTTAAACAAAATACAGCCTGTTACACAACTAAGGACCAAAAGAATGAAAGAAGAAAAAAAAAGTTAAATCTACCTGATAGTTATTGCTGATTATGAGCTCTTTCACTATAGCGATGATGTTGGATACTCTTGCTAAACATACTGCAGAATATGTCATAGCTCATGCAACTTTCAGTTTTCTCATGTTGGAACAGTCTACTCATGCCCTGGGCAGCCAAGCAACTATTACAGTTGCTGTGTCTGCACTTCCTCCTTTTTCATTCTTCTCTGATTTTTTCTTGTTCACCTGTTAAGGAAAAAAAAAATGTCAGTCAGTAAGATATCAGTAAGAGAAGGCAATTAAAACTTGTATTTACATTCATTGGAGAAGGGGTTACAAGAGAAAAAGCTGAAACAATGGGGAATACACATCAGAGGAATGCCTAGCATGATATGTGGTATATCATCCCCCCCCCCCCCAGAGATGCGTTTGGCTCCAACCCTGACACACAGGTTATACTGAGCATTAGATATGATTTTGATTATGAATTTTGTGAACTTTTTATGATGGAGTCTAAGATGCTTTTGTATCATTTTTATTTATTTAAACTGTTTAAAACAGTTGTCTTACTTGCTTTAATTGTTTGTAAGCCATTGAAACAATTGATAACAGAGACCAGTCAGCAATAAAGACAACCAAGGGAAAGGAAATTGGTTGGGTTTGGAATTAGGACCATAAAAAAGTTAAAACAGATCTGAAGCTAGGGCAGAAGATTGTAAATTATACAAAAATAAAGGATATCAGAGAACTAACCTATAAGAAGAATAAAATATGTCAGAATAAAGGTTAATATGGAAAACAGAATAGTATTTAGAAAATTATGAACACCCAGAAGAAATAGTAGACACAAAATAAACTACCAACTATATATTAGAGAGTGATAGCTATTTTTTTTTAATTTTTTTTATTTTTTTGCAATTTATAACAAGTTTTCAAATAAGAATTAATGTTTGTGAACCTTGCTTCAATCTGTACCATCCCTACTACTACCACTACTTCCATGTTGGAAGCACCTAGGCGTTTTTGTGGTGAAAGCTGGTGACATCACCGTTGTTCAGGAGATGCCCAATTGGAGGCTTTTTTCTTGTAACTATTAATGAGCCCACCGAACTGATACCTATTTATCTACTCACATTTGCAAGCTTTCAAACTGCTAGGCGGGCAGGAGCTGGAGCGAATGATGGGAGCTCTCCCTGACATTCAGCAGAACTCGAGCTTCAAATGTGGGCTTGCAAATTAACTCTGCATCCTAATCACATGAGCCTCTGCGTTCCTACTACCATCCCTGAATTCATGATACATAAATATATATGTAGCTTTTTTTCTTTAACAAAAATACACATCAATGCAAAAAAAAAGATTTAGAAACAATTTCTGAAGATACACATACAGACTGATACAAGCACAAAATAGCATAATCTGCCTACTACTTAGCTTTCTTTTTTTCCCACCATCGAACTATAATATATATGCATATCATACATGAATGGCATTTACACTGATACTGCATTTTTTTCTATCTAAAAATATTGTAGTGCCTATATAAAGCAAAAGAAAAACAAAAATCAGGAAATAAGACAAGTTCTACCTTTCTTCTATATATTTCTGGTGTAACATTTTGACTGCCAGAATCCACACAGGTAATGTACTACCTAAAAAGAAAAAAAAAATTACTATTACAGTGTCCTAGTAAAATTACAGTGTCCTAGTAAAAATAACTAAAACAAAGAAAATCAATATGTGATTCAAAATGTGGTTACTTGGTCCTTTAATTAAATCCTTACAGCTGGAATATTATGTGGAAACTACTCCAGCCCTAATACCTATTAACTGCAGAAATTAACTATGCTGTGCACAATTAAATCACTTGAATAATCAGTATGAAACTTAATTCATAACTTTACAACCTTCATTCTTTATATATTAATGCTCAGAGTACTGGAAACAAACCAAATTATTATTTCAAGAATGCAGATTTGATTGAAAATATATATCTGAAACGTTGGATCAGTCTCATTAATAAAATACAGCAATTGACGGATACAGAAGCATGTTGCATTGGAGTAATTATTCAAGTTTTGATTTTGGGTTGCAGTAATGGGGTGTCTCATTACTTTGCCACATAGCTTTTCTGATGCATGAGTTTTGAAGAAATTCATATCAGAGACCAGAAACAAGCTACTTCAACTATTTGGAATAACTTTGGCACACAAATAAAAACTTTCCTTGAAAAGCATATTAGGTAAACCCAAAGACCCATTACTAATGGAAGAATACAGGACTGTAGGGAAAAGATCACTACATTGAGTGGCAGAAAGTTAATAAAACATATTCACAAATATCAACTAGTGATTAAAAAAATACAATATGACTTCATTAATCTTCTTCCACTCAAACATGTTTAACCAATTGGGAAACATGGAAATCTTGGAACAAGCCAGATTGAAAATTTCAAAAGAATTCTTAGAAGCAGTGACCAGCAGACATAAAGACCTAAAACTGGACATTACAAAGATCCAAAGTTAACACTTTCACAAAAAACATTTTCTCAAACACCTAGGTAAAATAGAACCATAAATCTAGTGTCCTAATTGTTAAACTCTCAGGCAGTCTTTGGGAATTATCATATTGCATGTTGCAAATATAACAAGTAAGCAAGCAAATTGATACATGCTAATAATTGATAATCATCTATAGTGAAACAATCATGGGGAAAGAACACCTTCCTAATGAACCATCTCATCATATCAACTCCACCAATCTCAAAAGATGCAATCAGAATGCAGATAAGACAAAAGCACCATTTTATCAATCAAATTATCTACCAGCATCAAGGATCGATCACTTGCAAAAAATACCATCCACCCATGTACCATCCAAGCCACTCAAGCATGTGCAGGGCTGGTATACAAGAGGATATGTAACTCCTTCATCAAAAACAATTTCTTCAGAATTCCTACTGCAATATTACCTGACAAAGTAATGAAATTACTGTATCCAAAACCCAATCACAGAGAACTCCCACACCATGAAGGCGAACCCCAAGCTATACATGTTTATTACCATCTCATGAATTGAAACTATAGAGACAAAATTGTGTTCTGTGTTATCCATATCTGCACAGAAGATCAAGAGAGGAATCTGAGTTGAGATATCTGGGTTAAAATGAATTGAACTAGTTCCACCCAATAAAGCAGTAGATCATGTTTCCCAAAAGCAAATTACAAATTTTTCAAAACATCATTGAACAGTGCTAATATTTCCATTTTCATCTTCAAAGTTACATACCAAATATAACTAGTTTGAGGAAGATACCTAAAAAGAAAAAGAAAAATTATTCTGGTAAGTGAATTTCTTACAAAATGAGCATGCAGATTATTTATGGAAAAATTGATTATTCAGGCTTGAAAACTCAGCAGAAATTATTAGCTGAAATTCTACACTCTGAGGAGATTCATATAAAGTATTTTAATTTTTTTTTTAAAAAATGAGTTTTTAACCTAAAAACATTGTACAATCAATAAATCACAGAGTTTTAAAAGAATATAAATTGATCTACTCATTCTGAAATAAATTTTTGATCAAAATTTCTTTTAAAAATACAAAAAAATAATATTGGTTATTTTAAAACAATTTTAATAAACACAAATAAAAAAATAAATAAGAATAGTCATTTATTTGTGGATTTATTCTTTATTATATCCTAAAGTACAATGCTGCCAGACACAAATAGATGACACATAGAGAAACACAGATAGCTCTTGAATATATTCTCATTTCAGGAAAATCCTAGTTAAACTGCCTCCAAATAGTCCTCTTTTATTAAAGTTATCTCTTTTCCTAATATATAGTGACCAGCTGAGATTAAGAACTGGCAGGATGAGGAATTTCCTGGGTGGCTAATCAAGTTCCATCTGAGGAGATGCAGATTTAAATAAGCTCACTGCTTGCTCACTCTTAGCACTGCTTGCATGTGAAATTGTAATTCTGTGCTTCTCTGTTGCTCCCAAATAGTATATCTGAAACTTGAATGGTTCTACGAGTTACTCACACTTCTGCTCCTCAAAAAAAAATGGATACAACCCAACTATCAATACTGATTGCTCTGTTTTGTGAGCCAGTTTCTTCTTCAAGCTCACTCTTTTAGCTTGACTTCACTTTTCTCTGGGCTATCCCCCATTTAATAAATTCTGTCTACAATTATATGGATGCTCACACTGTCAGGCAGATATTTAGACCAGATTAGGACTTTTGTCCTGCCGAGTCCTTCCTAAAGTCTTGGGATAGGCCACTGGTGATCTTAGATGCTGTTAAAGGTATTGCTGCATGATATAACTGTTCCAAATACTGCCTTTTCCAATTGACTGATAGTGATTATTATTCCTATTACTGTTGGTATTATTATCCCACCTTCTTTTAATATAAATAGATCAACTGACTATTTGGCTGTAGCAAAATAACTATAAAATTACACAAACTGACTACAAGCAGGGTCATGACTTAGTTGCCAAAATTACTTATTAGAAACTTTGCCAGAAGTCTGAATCTGAATGGAGTAAGAACTACTGGGATCATCAAATCAAGAAAGTTTGGGGAAATAAATAGGCTAAGATCTTATGAGACAAACCAAACAGACAGGCATCTTATTCATAACATGCCTGATATAACAGTAACTGAAAGTAAGAAAGTCTGGTTCATTAATGTTGCTATATCAGATGATGCTAGGATTGAGCAAAATCAATTGGGGAAAAAATGCAAAATACTGGGACTTGCAGATCATATTTGAATGCTTATGGAATAAGAAATCAGCTTTTATACCAATCATTGGACCCCTTAGAGTAATACCTTTAAAAAGCTCCCTCAACATTTGAAAATTTTGAATTTATTAGACCTAAATATCATAATTTTACTAAAAAAAAAACATTCTCCTAGGAACTGTGTGTATTCCTGGTTGCTAATTTAATAATTCTTAGGTCCTTGGTTAGGACTTGAGTTTTTAAGGTTCCAACAGTCTTAGAAATGAATCTAATTGTAGATTACCCATAATAGGTGAGTTACCTTGACCCCACCCCCAGTGAAGCACTACCTTGATGTGGTTGTCGGGCTTGTGTATTCTGAAGAGAATGAAAGCTATGCCAGAGGTTCAACCATATTAGACAGGTCTCATCAGAGTTAGAGAGAGTGCCTCTCCCATAAAAAATACAGTGAGATGTAAATTACAGAAATCCGTATCAGCTCAATGGTCACTGGAAAAACAAGGACTATGCTAAGTGTTGGAGTTCCTGGACATCTGGTGAAAAATAGGCTATAGGCAGTGATGGGTTGCCCCCGGTTCGCACCAGTTCTATAGAACTGTTAGTAAAACCGGCAGGAGGCTCCACCCACCGACCTCGACGTCATCAAAATGCTTCTGCACATGCGCAGAAGAGTTTGCGCGCGGCCCCGTTGCAAACCAGTAGTAAAGGTAAGTAGAACCCACCCCTGGCTATAGGGCTCAAGATTTTTGGCTGAACAACTAGGGCCAGCAGCTACAGTTGGAAAGAAAGGAATTTACCCATCACAAATATACAATGATTGAAAACAAAGAAATAATTATCTGTTATTGCAGATCAAGTCCAACAATAGGTTATTTGAAATGAATGCATCATTTTTGGAAAAAACAGAATCAGAATCAGAAATAACAGAACAGAGGCTATCAGATCAATGTTGATTTATAGTATTTAAGTATTCACACAGGCTGAATTGGAAGAATTGCAAAGGTTTACCCAGGGCAAAGAGATCAAAGCTTTCCCAGACCAGTAAAGTCCCTGACCAGATGCAAACTATGATGAGTTGACAGTAGAGGAAGCCAGCATAGCTACAGAATTGTTTTCATTTGGAAACCAGACACCGTCTCCTGCCTCAGATAGAACAAATCCCTCTAACTCTGGGGTGTCAAACTCACGGCCTTGTCACATGATGTATCGGGGCTTGTTTTTCCTTTGCTAAACCAGGCATGGGCATGGCCAGCATGTGACGCATCTGGCCTGCGGGACGGAAATTTGACAGCCCTGCTCTAACTAAAGAAGTAGAAGAATTGAAACAAAGAATAACTGAGCATCTAAAACAGCACAAAACAACAGAATAAGGTTGCCTACATTGAAGCTTTTTACAAAGAAATAGCTAGCACAAGCATCTCTGTTGTTAGCCGCCCAGAGTCCCTCGGGAGTTGGGCGGCATAAAAATGCGAATAATAATAATAATAGGCTGTGAATCTCACTAAAGATTAACCAATAATACTAATAATAAGTCAAATAGTGTATTATCAAATTTAAGCACTAGCTCACTCGGGTGAGATGCTCCCAGTTCGGACCAGATCACCCGATCCAGTAGCGATGGTGGCGGGTGGTTCAGAGAACTGATAGCAAAAATCCCTGCCCCTCCCCATGCCCAGCTGAGCCGCGCAATCATCAGAGGCTTTTTTTTTTTTTTACTTTTAAAAGCATTTTTTCTACAACCTCTTCAGCCGAAAAAATGCTTTTAAAAGTTAAAAAAAAAGGTTCTGATGATCGCGCAGCTCAGCTGGGATCATCAGAGCCTTTTAAAAGCATTTTTTTCTGCAACCTCTTCGGCCGAAGAGGCTGTAGAAAAAAAAAATGTCTTTAAAAGCCTCTGGTGATCCCAGCTGAGTTGCCTGATCTCCAGAGGTTTCTAAAAGCATTTTTTTCTGCAACCTCTTAAGGTTGTAGAAAAAATGCTTTTAAAAGTAAAAAAAAAAAAAGTTGGCCACACCCACCCAGTCACATTAACCCCCACCACCAAGCCACACCCACAGAACTGGTAGTAACAAATTTTACATTTCACCACTGAGCTCACTGCAAATAACAATCCAACTAACATACAGCAAAAACTGCAGTTACCATTGAATATCTGGGGTGCAAAGTCAACAAAAAAGGCAAACGGTGCCCCACCAAAATGTAAGATCAGGCTGGAAAGTAAGGTTAGCAAACTGAGTTAAGATTCAAGTAAACTAGAACAAATGAATGAAAAGAAACTTAACAAAAAAGAAGACCAAAGAATACCTAATCAAGAAATACCACTTAGAAACAAGGAAGATCAAGGAAGCACTGGAAATAATAAAAGAGCAAATAACAGTTATAATCAAAAAGATTAGCAGATTCGAAGCTTAAATTGAAAATTATAGACAGAATCTCCAATTTCAATCCAAACAGAAGCATTTCTATTAATCTATCAATGGAAAGACTGCAGTGAATCAATCAGCACCTGACAAGGAAGAAACGGGGCAGTTTTGGGTGAAGATATAAGAAATATAACAAAAATGCAGCTTGGTTAAAGGAGGTGGATAAGAAAAAAAAGATAAAATGAAAACTTGTAATAACAGCAGCAATGGTGCAGAAAAGGGCAAGGAAGATCACGAATTGGTTAGCATCAGTTGAAGATAAATTTCATGGATTTTTGTTGAAACATCTGACCAGTTTACATGTACTTGTTGCCAAGCTGTTTAACAACATCCTGCAAGGAGGTGATATGGAAGAGTAGCTAATATCTGGCAAAACCTATCTAATAATGAAAGATCTAGCAAAAGAGGCAGCATCAGAGCAAAGCAATACGTGCAATTTACATAGACTTCTGTAAAGCCTTTGAATTCAGTAGTGCACGACAAACTACTTCTAAAACTAAAATCTTATACTTCTGGATAGCTGCATTCCTGGTTGCTATGCGATGGTAATAGATTGACAGAAGTTAACATCAAGGGAGGAATCACAGCAAGGAGACTCACTTTCACCACTACTGTTTTTCATTGCACTGATTCCTCTGTCAACAATACTGAGAACTCGGGCCATGGCTATCAAACACCAAAATATCTGCCAGATTATCCCACCTCCTTTACTTTGATGTAGTTGTATGGAAAAACACTATCTGAATCGCTGCTCAATACTGTCCATCTATATAGCTAAGATATTGCAATGGAGTTTGGACTGGACAATGCTTATTATTAAATTGGGAAAATAATAATAACTGAAGGAATCCCCATAGAAATAACATCAAGAATCTCGATGAAAATGATCACTGTAATGAAAATGAGCATCTGAGCATCCTTCAAGTTGACAACACCATGCACACTGAAATCCGGAAAAGATTAGAATTGAATACATCAAGAGAGTGAAATATCACTTCAAGTAACAAGTAACAAGCCAACTAATGTACAGCACAGATGCAATGCAGTTAGGAGGAAATACCACAGAGTGATGGTGTTTCTTCTTCCAAACTCAATAGAGGAAATATCATCAAGGCAATTAACACCTGGGCAATTCCAGTCATCAGATACACATTTGCAATAGTGAACTGGATTCAAGCAGAACTAAAAGCCTGGATAAGAAGACTAGAAAAATAATGACAATGACAATGAATCATGCCCTTCATCCTGAGAGCAATGTTGAAGACTCATTTATCATGGAAAATGGGTGTGGAGTGTTGCAAGTACATCAGAAGTTGAAGAAGAAGAAAAAAAGCATTGAAAGAATATCTGAAGGACAGTAAAGAAGATTGTCTGAAGCTAGTATACTAGGAAGGTCTAATGAGTACTGCAGAGATGAAACTGGCCTGCAACAAAGATCAAATGAAGGACAGAAACAAAGGACGGGAAGCCGAAACATTACATGACCAATACATTTTTTTAAAAATAGCATGGAAAACTGAAAATAACAATACCTGGCAATAGCTAAGATCAGGAAAGTTGAAGAAAAAGACAGAAGGCCTAATTCCGGCTTCACAAGACCAAGTCCTAAAAACAAAAGCATACAAAGCCATAATTGAAAATATTGCAACAAATAGCAAAGAAGCTGGTTAGCTGCTGCAAGAAAATTACACAGACTGACAACAACAGCACCAACAACAGCATGACAAAGTAGCAACAATGGTGCTACCTTCAAAGATCTGCAAGAAATACCATTTGCCTGTAAGCAAGAACTAGTGGGACCATAAAATAGAGAAAATCATAGACTATAAAGAAACTAACTTGTTCTGGGATTTTAGAATTCAAACAGACAGGCACCTGCTTCATAATACACAAGACTTAACAATTATCAATTAGAAAGGCAAAAAAGGTTACATAGTGGACATGGTAGTACCTGGAGATAACAGAACAGAAGATAAAGAATTGTACAAGATAACAAAATAAAATAGAAATAGAACAACTGGCAAAAGAAAGCAAAGATAGTACCAATAGTAGTAGGTGCCTTGGGTACAGTCCCAAAACAACTGGAGCACCAATTAGACACCATCAGCATAGACAAATTCATCATCAGTTAATTGCAAAAGATAGCTTTACTGGGAATAGCTTACATACTTTGGGATAACTCTTAACAGCATAACATCAATATCTGCTTATCCAAAGTTCTTGGGAAGGACTTGATAGGTGGATAAGAATGCCAAATCCAGTCTGAACATCTGACTGACTGTGCAACAAACAAATTTTCAGCACAGCAGTACTAAAATGTTATTTACACATTATAGGAGCTGGCAGAAAATATACAGGTTTAAAAAGACCTGACCAGAACTTCCAATTTTTATTTTGCCTTGCTACAACAAAGCAAAATCTGATTTCTGTTCACATAAGAAATAAAGGGAATAGAGAAGTAAACTGGGAATTCATCCTTTGGTTCCATTTACTGTCTTCTAGCTGAGTGAATAGCATTTCTTCCTAGATCATTGCATTAGGTAGTATTTTTCTTTTGTGTGAAGAAAGCAAAAGCAGCTTTCTTCAGCCTTCAATATATTTTGTCAGATTAGAATTCTACAATCTTCAAATTCATGCTATATTTTAAAAAGAGAACAGCAAATAATTTCTAGGCAGTTAAAACAATGTTTACTTAGTATAGGTATATATTCTCATTGATACTTACTCAGATGACAATTTGGGACATTAGGAAGCCATTTCTTCCCACCAATATATTTAATCTTAGATGGCCCTATCAATACATAGCCAGCATGGCATGCAATATCCACCTCATCCCCAGGATTGTAATATTTTTTCTTCCCATAGACTATTTTTCCATGTTTGATGAAAAGTTGAAAATTATCTGGTGAAGTTTTAACTAAAAATACAAATAGGTATTATAAGCAAAAAAAGCAAATACTGAAATCGATGCACATCCTCACATCCTGGACATAAACTGTTTCAACTTTTCCCCTCAAGATGATGCTATAGGGCATTACACGTTAAAAAAACCAGACACACAGAGAGTTTTTCCCCCATGCTATCACTCTGTTAATCCCCACAACACTGTCTATGCCGTGGGATGTCAAACCACCTAGTAGGGCTGTATTACTTATTCTTCTCATCTATCTTATTATCTATTTGCTTAGATTCTTATGACTATGACTTTTTGTTTGTATCTCATGATTTATGCTGATTGCTTTTATTTAGTATCCTATTATGATTTATGTTGATTGCTTATTTAGTATTCTATGACTATCAATGTTGTATCTCATGATTTATTATTGTATTTTATAATTATGATCATGATTTATCACTTGTGGCTTGCATGTACTGTACATTGAGAGCTTATGCACCAAAAACAAATTTCTTGTGTGTGTGTCCAATCACCCTCAGCCAATAAAATTTCAATTAGAATAGAATAGAATAGAATAGAATAGAATAGAATAGAATAGAATAACAGAGTTGGAAGAGACCTTGGAGGTCTTCTAGTCCAACCCCCTGCCCAGGCAGAAAACCCTACACCACTTCAGACAAATGGTTATCCAACATCTTCTTAAAAATTTCCAGTGTTGGGGCATTCACAACTTCTGCAGGCAAGTTGTTCCACTTATTAATTGTTCTAACTATCAGGAAATTTCTCCTTAGTTCTAAATTGCTTCTCTCCTTGATTAGTTTCCAACCATTGCTTCTGGTTCTACCCTCAGGTGCTTTGAAGAATAGTTTGACTCCCTCTTCTTTGTGGCAACCCCTAAGATATTGAAACACTGCTATCATGTCTCCCCTAGTTTTTCTCTTCATTAAACTAGACATACCCAGTTCCTGCAACCGCTCTTCATATGTTTTAGCCTCCAGTCCCCTAATCATCTTTGTTGCTCTTCTCTGCATTCTTTCTAGAGTCTCAACATCTTTTTTACATCGTGGCGACCAAAACTGAATGCAATATTCCAAGTGTGGCCTTACCAAGGCAGTATAAAGTGGTATTAACACTTCACGTGATCTTGATTCTATCCCTCTGTTTATGCAGCCCAGAACTGTGTTGGCTTTTTGGCAGCTGTTGCACACTGCTGGCTCATATCTAAATGGTTGTCCAGTAGGACTCCAAGATCCCTCTCACAGTTACTACTATTGAGCAAGGTACCACATATACGGTACCTGTGCATTTTGTTTTTCTTCCCTAAATGTAGAACCTTACTTTTTTCACTGTTGAATTTCATTTTGTTTTCCCTAAACATTTTGTATTATTTTTCCTAATCCTTAATATTCGAGCTTAAAACCATTACAAGTTTTGTTTTGTTTGCAATAGATGAGAGGATATTCAAAAATGGAGGGAGAGTGCAATAGGATGGATGGATGGATGGATGGATGGATGGATGGATGGATGGATGGAGAGAGACAGAGAGAGAGAGAGAGGAAGGCAGGCAGGCAGGCACGTACCAGGGCCAAACATTCTTTTCCAAAGTTACCCTGCTAAAGTGACAAGATGATTATTATGGGACTTAGAAAAATTACTTCCTTATAATGGTTTGTCTGTATTGTTCCTAATCTTTTTCAGTACAAACTAAACTTTCATTTAAGTTCATCAAGCAATACATTACAACATTCAGAAACTGTCAACAAAAACATGTGTAATATTCTGCCTCTCCTGTAAATAACGGAAAACTCCAATCTTAAAGCATCTTTTAAAAAAAAATATACTCTACCAAATTTTAATACAAGGAAGATAAAAACTAAAAAGAACCAATAATTAAAAGAAAGAAAAGGGACAATAATAAATGTGTGAAGAACAGAAAGAAAATACAGTATAAAGCAGTAGCTTCAGATTTTCTTATGCAGCAGTTAAAAGTATAGATGTAAATTAACCTCTTATTTTATGGTTGTAGCATAATTTTCATTTTTCCTATCCATTTTTTCTAATCATCAAAACGATGTACAGTGGAAACTCGATACTTGCTTTGAAATTTATCAAATTTGGTACTCAACACATTTCGATGTGAAAATTTTCTCCTAATATTCATTGTTTGTCTGGTACTCAATGCACAAATTAGAACTTGTCAGTGTCAGCTGACATGTGACTCAATACATTATTCCTTATGGGAAAAAAATGTTTGGTACTCATCATTTTTGGTACCTCTTGGAACCAATTTAGGACGAGTATCACAGTACCACTGTATCATGTTCATTTTTAGATTCCTACAAAAAGTCTATGATTTTCAGTCAAGACTCAGTATATTACCCTGTTTCCCCTAAAATAATAAGCCCAATCGGATTTTTGAGTGCATGCGCTAAAATAAGCCCTCCCCAAAAAATAAGCCCTTCCCAAAAATATTTAAATGCATGCGCAGCCGTTTCCTCTGGTTAGGGTTAGGGAGACAGAGCTGGAAATTAGGTAAGACGGCAAGAGGAGCCCCATCTTGCTCCACGTGCCCCCCAAAAAAACATCCCCGAAAATAAGGCAAAGCACTTATTTTGGTGTTCAAAAAAATATAAGACAGACTTATTTTCGGGGAAACACGGTATTTAGAAGTTCATTCTTATAAATATGTGTGTTATAAGGAAGTTAATAAGTATTTATTGAGTCAATATTCACTTTATGGAAATTGATAATATTTAAAACATATTGCTTCTATATCTTTGTACCTTTGTCTACATTATAGCATTAGAAGCAATAGAAGAGAACATTTCACACCTAGATTATACTTACAGAAACATAATTGTAAAGGCGGATTCCAGAGATTATAACCTTGACACTGTGTAGTCATTGTTATGGTGTCATCAATAAAAGAATAGTTCTGGTTGCAAGTTATGACAGCTGTTTTTCCAGTTTCATACTGAGATTGCAAAGGCTGTATGTTGCCATCGAGAATCGATGGAAGACCACATATGCCTGGAGAAACTGTAATAAAAATAGTTTTTATGCAAAAAATATCAAGACATATCATCTATCTACATTCTGATAATGCTAAGACAGTATGTTACAATTCAGTTTCTCCTGATTAGTTCACATTCACATCACACAAAGTCACACACTTGATCCATTTCAAACTAGAGATGTGTCTATCTTACACTAAATTAGTCTTTGACATGTCTATAAATAAGTTTCTAGGCAACAAGACTAAAAAAATTTATTGAACTTAATTTCAATTTAAATTCTCCTTCAAATCATGCCCTGGGGAGGTATCTGTATAGGGTTAGTTTGTGAGTTGTTTTTGTTGTTACAACAATAAAAATCATTTATCATTGCCTTCCTCTGGGACTTTTTTTTTAATTTCCCAAGGACATCCCAATCCAATTCATTCCAGGTATGATCCTTTCTCAGCCCCAACCCTCAGTTCTTAAGGCAAGGAACTGCCTCACCTTCAACTCTCCCACCTGCCTATTTGCCACCATCTCTGCCCTTTTGGCTGCTCTGTATTCTGCCCAGCCTTGGGGCTGCTTGCCATACTGTGAGTCAGAGGTTTCTTGGTGTGCCAGACTGCTCCCAGCATCTGGCAGCAGCCTATTCTTCCAAAAAAACCAGACTAGAATCCAATCCACAAAAATGCTGCCACATCCACAACAAAATAGCAAACATCATTAGCAAAACAGGACTGTAAAATGCCATAAAATGGCCAGTGCAGTAAAACTATAAGAACAGCCCTTCTCTGGAGTCTGCTCCTGTCCAGCCCAGCCTACTCCAAACTCCAAACCTCCATTCTGAACAGTACATTCCAAGTAAGTGCTTCAGCCAACGAACAAAAAACACAGAAGTATCCATAAACATAGCACAAAAATTCACAAGACAGCCTAGCAGTTCGCTCCCTCTCTACCACATTAATCAGAAACTATTTCATTTATTCAATGAAAGCTAAAATAATATGGCATGCTCTGTAGTAAGATGTAATGTAGTGCATTTGCGATTCTAGAAATTATGATTAAAACTATAATTCTTGTCCTTATACCACCCCAAAGGGAGAAAAACTGTGGTTTTTCTTTTGGAGGGCCCAGATAATAGCCTGCAAGTAGTCTCCTTTAAAGGCAGCCACTATATATGCAGTCAGGTGACACTGATCTTCATAAGGCATATTTTTGAGGCTCTTTATTCTTCATCGGTGGTTCACTCATTTATTAGATAGCAACCTGCTTGTAAAAATATTGCTGAATGTTAATTTTTTTGTTAATTTTGTGCACTTATTGTAGTTTAGTATACTATTGAGAAAACTTAAATTCATATTCATCCTCAGACACAGAAGTTCACTGGGTAGTTTTTGCCAGGTCACTCCTCTTTGACAAAACTACCTTAGAGGGCTATTGTGGAGAAAAATGAAAGAAAAAAGTGCTATGTATTTTTCCTTGTGTTCCTGAAGGAAAAGTGTGACCGAAATCTATTCAGTCAGTAACATCTTCTCAAGTAGATAATCCCTGCCTACCAGTTGCTTTAAAATTACTTTTCCAAGAATTTGCTGTACACTTACAACTTAAAAGTACTTTGTGCTTATGGATTTTTCTACCTTTTCTATTTCTCCTTTTTCCAGCTTGGTGTTCTTTTGAATCATCTGCTAATATCTCCCATACTATAAGTGACTGAGCTTAGATTTTTAACTGAAATTCAATTTCCATGATTCTGTCTTTTTTGTACTGCTGGGTTACAGATATTATTTCCTGCCCATCCACCCACAGATAAAAATATGAAAATAAGAAAACAACTTGCTCAGTATGTCCTAATTAAAATAGGACAGTGTAAAAACCCCTTTGCTATTAAAGTTCATAGGATGATTTTGGCTGGTCGCACAGAGTTGTGTTAATGAAAAACTGGAGGAAGAAATGCTATCAACAACATGTTTCTCAACTTTGGAATACCTGTCATTCTATATTACAGTGCTATTATTATATGAATAATTATGCTGCTCACACATGACCAATTTTCCATAGATGCACAAGACCCTACATGACATTGAATGGGATAAACAGAAGTCAAGGTATGCATTTTAATGTATGAATGACATTAATCATTCTGAGGGCTACATTTAAATTATTTATTACTAAGAAATTCCAATCTAGTATTTAAAAATGTAAAATCTTACTCTTTTTACATGATGGTTCTATGGGAACCCAAATGCTGTTCTTTTCACATCGAATCGAATAATTTCCAATCATAAAATATCCAATTTTGCATCGAAATTTAACTTTGCTTCCATACATATATAGCTTCTCAGGTTCAGTTATCATTATTCCATGTTCTACCACTGGATCTTTACAGAATACCCCTAATAAGATAGGAAAATAAATACAACTATAAGATATAAAATATCACAGACTGTTTCTGTATATTTTTAATCTGTTTTTTACCTGAACGTAATCCAAAAATACAATACAGCAGAAATCTCCAGTGATTTCTCCTCCAAAAGGCAAACCTTTTTCTTGGAATCTGAATTAAATTTGAAGTGAAAACTTTTAACTGTTATTTCTTTATATGCCACTTTGAATTGTATCAGTTGGTATTGATCAATTAAATATATAAACAAAAACTACATTTACAGTATAGGATTAAGAGAAGGCTACCATTAAACAAACTGAGAGAACCAGATATAAATATTATGCTTAGAAATAAAGCAAAATAATTATTCAATGTTACTGAAAAAATAAAAAAAGAATATACAATTAAGTTTTAAACTGAAGGGGGGGAATCAACCTTTGCATTTCGGTGGTTTCTCTTTCCACAGTCCTTCTAGATATTTATTAGCACTGCAGACCATAAAGGATGCCCCAATAAGGGAAAGATTTTTATTGCAACCGTAATGTATTTTCATTCCAAAAGGGTAAGTAGTTGCATTTCCATTGTGAAATCCATCAGTAATATTTGGAGGCTGTCCACAATATATTCCTGGTAGAGGGAGGGGAAAAACAGTTTAGAAAAAAAAATACAAAATGATCATGGATAGACTAAGACAGACTACAAATAGTGTAGAGACCAGTGGTGGCGAACCTTTTACTCACCAAGTGCCGAACAGGTACGCACTTTGTGTGTGTGAATGCTATCCGCACTAATGCACAGCTCCCCCCCCCATGTTTTGCACATGCAACCACACCATCTGTGCATGCGCATGGCTTTTGCACCACCATGCACTGCATGTGCAATTGCACCATCTGCACATGCATACAGTTTCCATGCATGCAATGCACACACACAAATGCCATATGTGCATGCACACACTGCACACAAGTACTCTCGCATGCATGCGCAAACGTGCGTGCATGTGCAGGAGAGCTCCAAAGACCAATTGGGTTCCCTGTATTGCGCACATGTGCACCGGAAGCCTGAACACCAGTTGGGGCGTGTGCACATGCGCAGCTGCAAGTGAGTTGGGCAACAGCTCGTGTGCTACCTCGGGCACGTGTGCCATAGGTTTGTCATCACTGGTATAGACAATATTGGAGAAATATTGTTACAATTTGTAACTACTTCCCTATCAAGATCCATAAATAGAAAATGAACCAATCCTATGTGTAGAAAAAAAATCTAAAGCAGTTACAAACACTGCCATGTATCTTCCTATATTCTCAACAGATTTTTCTTACAAGATATAACACATTTTACACACTACACAATATTTATTCATTAAAATTATATACTGCCCATCTTGCTATCTAAAGATGTTTTCTCTGAAGGTATTTTCAGTATACTGTAGTTGGAAAAAAATGCAACATTAAAAGCCCATTTGAGAAGAACATGTTTCAATCAAAGAACATGCAAAATATACTATATATATATATATATATATATATATATATATATATATATATATATGCTACTCACCATTTCTATGTGGAAATGACATTCAAAACCAATATAAGAAAAAAAGATTACAAAAAAAGATTTTGAATGACCACTGGACATTAATCAATTCTGAAAAATTAAATCTACTATATGCTAGCAAAAAAATAACTTTCAAGAGGGATCATGCATGCTAGAGGAAGAAACATTTTTTTCTTGTGCAGCATACAAAATAATAACATTTAAATATAATTCTTCATTTATCTTAGGGAAGACAACTTGAGACTTAATATTTAATGTATTCTTTTGCTCAATCTATTCCTTGTAGCTTGAAATACATATTGCTGGGGTAAAAAGGAAGGAGAGCAGACATGTAAATTGTATGCATATTTCTGATACGCAAATATAAACAAACATGACACTATTATAAACAGATCTAAGTTTAATTATATATGTTGCAGTACTGTGGTTATCCAGTAGGCATTATCACTTTACCTCCTAAATACATTATTTTAACACATGAAAACGTAAAATATTTTGTCACAATTTAAATAGATTAGCATCCAGTTCTACTTATTACTGCAAATATTCAATATTTTTTCTCATGTAATACTTCCCAAGGTTTTTCTATTCTAAATGCACTACCAAATTTTATAATAATGTGATTTATTGCAAATCTATACACAAATTGGGGCTCCCCTTGAGGTGCACCCGGAGGCTCCAACTGGCGCAGAGTGCGGCCGCGCGGGTGGTTATGGGAGCAACATGGAGCTCCCATGTAACACCTCTCCTGCGCGAGCTGCACTGGCTCCCGGTGGTCTTCCGGGTGCGCTTCAAGGTTCTGGTTACCACCTTTAAAGCGCTCCATGGCTTGGGACCTGGTTACTTACGGGACCGCCTACTACCATCAACAGCCTCCCACCGACCAGTACGCTCCCACAGAGAGGGGCTCCTCCAGGTGCCGTCGGCCAAACAATGTCGGCTGTCGGCCCCTAGGGGGAGAGCCTTCTCTGTGGGGGCACCGACGATCTGGAATGAGCTCCCCCCAGAGATACGGAGGATTCCGGATCTGCGCACCTTCCGCCGCGAATTGAAGACGCTTTTGTTTCATCAAGCTGGCCTCGCCTAAATCTTCTCCCTTTTAAGTGTAAATTCTAAATTTTTAATGGATTTTAAAATATGGGTATTTTAAATTGGGTATTAATTCAGCCAAATTTATTTAATTCATTTTATTCGATTTTAAATTTTGTATATTTATGTGTTTTATTTCATGGCTGTGCACCGCCCTGAGTCCTTCGGGAGTAGGGCGGTATAGAAATTCAATAAATAATAATAATAATAATAATAATAAATTCCAAATAAATATTGAAGCAGTTGAGCACTTTAATCCAATCATGAATGGATCTTTACAGAGCAAAAGCTATAATTTTATCCTGAAATATATGTATAAATTACTTGATAAACTGATTAAACTCAGTGAGTCACAACTGAGACTTCATGGTTAAAAAATGCACAGGATCAGATGATATTTCCCCCAACTTTTCCCTTCTCTCAGCTCAGAACAAAGAAACCAAGGCAGTGTTTGATCCTATGATACCTTTTAAATCACAAATTCACAAATATTCTATAGACACAATAACTTAATGAACATTAATCAAAACCATATCATTATACAATTGTGGGAATTTTTTCCCATTACAGCACTGCTTATATAGGGCCAAGTGTCAGGGTGAAAAATCCTGGTCAGCAAAGAGGTCAGCAAAGAGCAAGAGCTTCGCTTTTACCATCTAGCAACCTTCCAGGTTTTTCAGCCAGAACTGGAAACTTTAGCATATTCCAAAGAAAGCATTACAACCACCACCTAATAGGAGGTCCTTGATGTTTTTTTTTTTTTATATTTTAAATCTTATAATACTTTTTTAAACATAACAAAAACAAATACATTTTTCCAGTAAGAAAAAGACATACTTCTGCAAAAGTCTTTATTTGGTATCCAGCTACCCTTAAGACACACCATGGTGAATACACGTTCACTGATTAGTTTAAATCCTAGTTTGCACTTGAAAGTAACCTTAAAATAATGTGTAAGGAATGGGAAAGTAAATACTGGTTCAGAACCTTCAAATACTGGTAAAGTAGAAATAGGACAGAACTCTAGGGGAAAAAAAAAATAATGGTTAAAGATGTCATATAAAACAATAGGAGTAAAAATGACATGTATTAAAAATAAACAGAATAAAGCATTTTTTACTAATAATTAATAAAGCGTGCAACAAAAACATTTTACAGTGTATTTATAGATCTTTTCCATGGATCTTTTCCTATGCAAACTCCTATGAAGTTAGCAAATACCCTCTTTTCATTGTTCTCATAAGATTCATGCTTAAAGCAACCCAAAGATTTTAGAAAAGATAAATCCTTTTAAAATCATGAAATATACAAAAATATGTAATAAAATAAAAAGTTTAAAATGATAAACAGATCTAAATATCAATTTGAAATCAATAAACAATATACCTGTATATAGAAACATGGAAAAAGCATAGCTCCAATTGTTGGTGTACAGGTGACTATCCCTTCAAAAAGCCAGTTGCTTTTTCCACCAGGTTCTCCTAAGCAATTCCTGAGTTTCCAACACTAATGGTCTGTAATTTCTTGGGTCATCTCTTTTCCCTTTTTAAAATTGGGTACTTTAAGTACATTGATTTAGTTATCTATGAACACAAACAGCAAAGCCAAAACAGAAGCTCACTAATCCAAATTATCCTTTATTATCTGAGATATTAAATCATTACCTGGAGCTTTATCTGCCTTAGGTTAGCCACTACTACTATATATATTCTTAACTTTGGCAATTCTTAATCAGAAGCTAAAAAAAGGAATGTCATCTTTATACAATTCTCTCCAATAGGATTCTAAGTCTCATGTGAAACAGTGCTGTCCTATGGAATGGGCTGTTTTGGGATGGCAGGCAGCATTAAATAAATTCTATGTGCAACCCTTGTTTTCAATGGAGCCATTCAAAATACTTATAGTAGCTAAAGGATACTAGCCATCCAAGCTGAATAAAATCCTAAGCAATTTAACTTATTATCCTTCAAATAGTGGATCAAGGTTCGTTTTAATGCTGGATCAGCAATCCTTGTATCTATCTTATAAAAAAATAATATTCTGGGATTTATCTAACATTAAAATCATGTTTGACTACTAACTATGCATCTAGAAAAAAAGGAATATGAATATATGAATATGTATATACATACAGAGAAAGAGAGGGAGATCAGTGCGGAACTGTTTCCTAATCTATGCATATTGCCTCAATAGGCATAATATCTATTAATACTATGACTAAAATAGATTGTTTTATTTATATGGGGATTGTCTCACTACTTCTTTTACTACTCAAAGCAATATAAGCTAATACCTGAAATCTTCCTTTAGTCTATTCTTTCCAAGATTAGCTATTGCTCCTAATAAAAATGAACAAATATCTTTCTGCACTATTTCTTTAGCTAACCGGATTTCTTAAACCATGACGACATATGTAGATGTAACTAAAAAATATTTTCCTAAAGCTGAAATAATGCATTGATTGACTGACTGATTTTATAAAATATATAAGGTTACCAAACACTATAATGATTCTGTGTAGTGTAGAATAAAAAGTACAAATAAACTAGAGATAAAATACAAATGGGAAACACCAAAAGTCCAGAAGTCAAAGTTACTTTATCCAAAAGAAATGCAGAGAGCCCACTAGTTGTTCAGGCCAAGGTCTGAGGGAACAGCCAAGATTTCAAGTCTCTTTTAAACACCAACTAAATGAGGTTCAGATGAATCTCAGGGGAGATGGTGTTGTCAATGGCAGGTGCTAGCATATAAGGCTCCCTAGATCTCACCAAATGGAATGGCTTAATAGAGAGGACCTAAATCATGCTTACTCTGCCAGCCATTACAATCTCGCAGAAACTACAAAAGACAAACAGCCCTTTCAGTGGTCACCAACTGGTGGTCCACGAGAAAATTTTGGTGGTCCGCGGTGCACCCGCGTGGAGGAGCTGCTCCAGGATGAGCAATGGCCAGTCCTGTGACTAGAGCTCTGGAATATGGGAATGGCCAGGTAGCTCATGGTGGGGCTGTAAATCTCCGCCGTAGAGGGAGGTTCGTGCAACTTGCAACTTTGCAGCGCGGCCCTTGCCGGCCAGAATCAGGTAATGGTGCAAGGGGGGTGGCGGTGCAGGCGGGCCGAAGCAATGGGTGGCAGCAACCCCGGGCTGTTTCTTCCCCCTGGTGTAGCTTTCTGTCGGCTGAATCCACAAGTGGCTGTCCCCGCCCCTCGCCCTCCCTTCCCAGTCACTCCTCGCCTATCTTGAGAAGGGAAGGGCGGGGGATGGAGATTCACCTCTTGCTGGATCTCGTGGGCGTTTCTTCCGGCCCTTGTTGGTGCTCCGCGCACCTCGGTCTTTCGGGGAGATGCTTGACTTCCTCTCAGCCCCAAGACACTAGCTGGCCCATGAGATGAGAGAGAGAAAGAGAATCAGAGAGAGAGAGAATCAGAGAGAGAATGGGAGAGAGAAAGAGACAGAAAAAATGAGAGAGAGAATGAAAGAGTGGGAGAGAGAGAGAATGAGAAAGAATGAAAATGGGAGAAAGATGAGAGAGGGGAGGGGAGAGAGATGAGAGAGAAAGACAATGAAAGAATCAGAATGAGAGAGAGAGAATCAGAGAGAATCAGAATGAGACAAAGAGAGACAGAATGAAAGAAAGAGAGAGAGAGACAGAATGAGAGAGTGAGAGAATCAGAATGAGAAAATCAGAATGAGAATGAGTGAGAAAGAATGAGAGAAAATGAAAGAGAATGAGAGAAAGAGAGAATCAGAGAGAGAATGAGACAGAATCAGAGAGAGAATCAGAATCAGAGAATCAGAATGAGAATGAGAGAATCAGAGAAAAAGAGACACAGAGAATCAGAATGAGAGAGAAGCAGAGAGAGTGAGGGAGAGAATCAGAATCAGAGAAAATCAGAGGGAGAGAGAATCAGAATGAGAGAGTGAGGGAGGGAGGGAGAGAAAGAGAGTGGGGGAAAGAGAAAGAGAGATGAGGGAGAGTGCCTGAAGGACCCCATCCCGTCTCTGGGAGTCCAGGCGCTTCAGCAAGCAGCACACTGGATTCATATTAGTGGGATTTAAAATTATGAACTTGGCGGTCCCTGAGGTCCAAAAGGTTGGGACCCCTGCTTTAGATAACCACTTCAATTCATGAAGTAATTATATGCCATGTCCATAATCACCCATGCTGTTGAATTATATACCAGGTCCAGTTTCTGGATAGCTTTCAATGACAGCTTTAAGTAGAGTGCACTGCAAAATTCCATGTGCAGGGTTATCACAGCATGAGTTACAGTTTAAAAGACACAATTTTAGCCAACTTTCGGAGGTAAACTTGAACCTATTCATCCAGGCCTTTACATCATTCAAGCATTGCCTGGTCAGTCTCAGATTGAAATATACATTTGGATAACATGCACATATTGATGATACCTGAACCCAAAATGATGGATGACCTCATCTATCAGCTTCACATAAATATGAAACAGAATAAGCAAGAACAAGGGGCCCTAAGATAAGTCACTTTCTAGAGTCTGGAATTTGTTCTGTCTTCTCTAAAAACACCCAGCAGGAACCAATCACGGGGAAAAGAGAGAGCCAGCCTAATAGCATTAAGTCCTATTCCTTTATTTATCCAATGTATCCAGAGAAGTATGCTGTGTACCAGAGTATCTAAGACCAATTGATATGATTCACCTTTAATTATTGATTAAGCGAGGTCTAGTAATACTTTGGCAGTACAAGACATCTTACATTTGTTTTATATATTTTTTGCTTAGGGCCATAGCTTTTGTATAGGTCCACAATTTTAAGTCCAACTCAGTCTTTGCCTGATAATCCATTGGACTTTCCATCCTCTTATTACTGCTTCCACTGTTATCAGATGGAACACAACTGTACTGAATAAATCATCTGATTAAAGGCCTTCTAGGGAGAAACAATATCTTCCAATAGCTCATGGTTTTTTGATGAAGTTATACATGTAATTGTTATAGCAGTTTTAGAGTTCATTTGTGGTTGTACATCAATGTTGCTTGATTGGCTAGTCATATCTAAAAGCATTCATTTCTATTTCTATGTCATCATTAATTGTGTGCTTCTTATAGCATTAGGGATAGCACTTAGACTTATAGACCACGTCATAGTGCTTTACAGCCCTCTCTAAGCAGTTTATAGATTTAGCATATTTCCCCCAATAACCAGGGTCCTTTTACTGACTTGGGAAGGATGGAAGGTTGAGTCAACCTTGAGCCAGTCAGAATCAAACTGCTAACAGTCAGCAGAGTTAGCCTGCAATACTGCATTCTAACCACTGTGCCACCCCAGCTCCTCTTATACCATATTCAATTCTATATTTACTGACAATTTTTCCTGCATAATTAAGTTTCAAAAAAACTAATGCAATTACTCAGAGCATTTTGAATGACAATCACCATCATTTCCTGGGCTTTAATTCACCATCCAAATTAGAAACCTTTTCTTAGAACTGTTTAAGGATACTATTGGTCTTTGTCGGTGATATTTAGAGAGAAGAGCAAGGTTCTTCTATTGGATTCAAAGCCTCCAAATGAAGAATATATCTTAATAAAGTACCCATCCTATCTTTCTGTGTTACTGTGTTACTGTGTGATGGAGCGATGCAGTTAATACAACATGCTTCTTTATTCTATTTGCCATGCTTTTATTGGAGCAAAACCCAATGAAATATTGCAATTTGTGTATCTTTAATTTAGTGGATTAATAAAATATACACAGCGGGGTATTTAATGTAGCTTAAAAGAGAAAATAAAAAGAGATAATAAGAGCTCTACATTACTAACTATAACTGAAAGTTTCAGTTTCTGGACTTTAAATGGCTTACCTCCACTGGACACCAGGAAAGCTTTGTTGTGATGGCTCTTGGTGGTTTTCTATTTAATCTATTTTCAAAGCCTTTATTGTCATTGTACATCAAGTATACAACGAAACTGGTTTTATAATCTGTTTTATATTGTGAATTATGAGTATTTTATTTACTTTTTTCCACTTACTTAAATCCATGTTTCAAGATGTTGGTAGCTAGAGTATGTGTTGGTGTATTCCTAAGAGCAGGAATCTAATGTTAGCAATGGTCAGTAAAGCAGGTTTTATAATTAGAGTAGAAAAGGGATTTATTTCATTGTAGAACAAGTGAAGCTTCCCATGTGACTAATTAGTTAAGGAAAAACTCAAAGACAAGTACTCTTCCCATGTTTGCCTGACAGAAGGCAGCCACCTCAGTTTATTTATTTATTTGTATGCTATCTACTCAAGGTTGGGAAAAAAATCCATACAATCCAAGTTTAAAAGTAATTATTTTTTAAAAAACACTTTTGAAATCTGGTTGTGGCTTCTAATTCATTCCCTTAAAACCCTAAGGAAGAGATGGGCCTTCAGTGTTACTGAATTTGGCAATCTTTTACAGGCAAAGAAGGAACACAAAATAATAGTTTAAAGCTATGTTTTTTTCAACCATGGAAACTTCTAAGATGTGTAAACTTCCATTCCCACAATCCTTAACCCAGACATGTTGATGAATTCTGGGGATGGACGTCCGCGCATCTTACCATCGCCAAAGTTGAGAAACCGTGGTTTAAACTCTCTAGCACAGGGGTCTCCAACCTTGGGCACTTTAAGCCTGGCGGACTTCAACTCCCAGAATTCCCAGCTAGCTAGCTAGGAATTCTGGGAGTTGAAGTCCGCCAGGCTTAAAGTGCCCAAGGTTGGAGACCCCCTACTCTAGCCATACTCCGTGTCCCCCGCCGCTAATAGCTCAGCAAGGCCGAAGAACCCACGCCAGTCTATTTGCACCTCCAACGCGACATGCCCCCCCCCTCCACCATCTGAAAAATGCTGGCGCAAAGGGCCTTTGCCTTTTACGCCACGAGCCCCGCCCGCCTCAGGCTTTTCGTCCCTGAAGCGGAAGCCTAGAAGACGTTGAGGCAATCCCAGCGTTGGGTTTCCGACCCGAGTCCGCTATCGCCACCTGCCTCTTCAGACCTCCTTCAGGACGCGCCGGGGAGGCAAGCGGAGATGAAACGTCCCACTTCCTCCTCCTCCTCCTCCTCTCCCAGAGGAAAGAGACAAGCGCGCTGCCGTTTGAGGAGAAAGCGCGTCAGATTCACCTGTGAAGGCCCAACTCATCGCTGCCAGCTCCACAATCGCGAAGAGCCACGAAGGGCGTCGTCGTCGCGACATGGCTCTCAACGCGCAGGAGGACCAAGAAGCGTTGGGATTCCGACGGGTGGGGCGGGGGAGGCGTTCCAGGGCTCGAACGCGAGCTCCGGCCGCTGCGGAGGGTGGGGGTGTCGTAGCCGCTGTCGCCCTTGTAGAGAAGTCGCCCTCGCTTTTCATTTCCATCTCAGGCCAGAATCGGCGTTAGACCGACCAAGGGGGAGGCGCCGAGAACGCGCGAGATCCTCGCGAGCGGATGGCTGAAAGCAGCTACGATATGTCCGCTCGCGGGTCTCGGGAGCTGGCCCTGTTTGGCTGCCCGTGCGGAGTCTAATAGGCTGCAGATCAGGGGTGAAATGTTCCCGGTTCCTACTGGATCGCCCGATTCCTACGCTCCAACACCCCCTCCCCCATGCCCAACTGCGATCATCGGAGGCGCTTTTTTTTTTTTTTTACTTTTAAAAGCATTTTTTTCTACAACCTTTTTGGCCGAAAAAAATGCTTTTAAAAGTAAAGGAAAAAAAAAAACTGATGATCCTGTGGTTCAGTTGCGATCATCAGATTTTAAAAGCATTTTTTCTACAACCTCTTTGGCCGAAAAAAATGCTTTTAAAAGTTAAAAAAAAAAAAAAAAGCCTCTGATGATCATGTGGCTCAGCTGGGATCGTCAGAGGCTTTTAAAAGCATTTTTTTCTGCAACCTCTTCAGCCAAAGAGGTTGTAGGAAAAAAAATGCTTTTAAAAGCCTCTGGCGATCCCAGCTGCCTGATCCTCAGAGGCTTTTAAAAGCATTTTTTTCTGCAACCTCTTAAGGCTGTAGGAGAAATGCTTTTAAAAGTAAAAAAAAAAAGGTGGCCACGCCTACCCAGTCTCATTAGAAGTAACAAATTTTAGATTTCACCCCTGCTGCAGATGGAACGTGGTCCGTAACAAATAAGATCTAGAAAGAGAAGCAGCTTCTTGGATGAGAAGCGAAACGCCTTCAAAGGAAAACCGGAAAGTCCAGTTGCCTCTTGAAAAAGCACCTTTGGGACAACCATGACCTGGATGACTGAGCATCTCCATAGACAAGTTCTAGAAAGGTTTGCTGCAAGCTTAATTTAGTTCTCCTCCGGATGTAGGCCAGGTCAGAAATATTGGGCATTTGGAAAATGCAGGCACTCTGATTTAGACTGGTGAAATTCCTCTGGTTGCCAGGGCCAGGCACAGAAGCAAAACAGCAGGCGAGGATGCTACCGTTTGGAGACCGGGCAGGCTTGAATGCCACCGAGTACTTTTTTAATCAGCAAACTTTATGGGAGAGATTAGCAATTCAATGTAGGAATCTCAAAGTTCCTACCAGGTTCTCTTGCAGTTCTGATGGACTGAATGGCATGAAGAAGCCCTGGCGGAATGATCTCCAGCAGTTCTTTATACGACGTAGTTTCAAAGTTGTGCCCATACTCATAATCTCCGCCTTCCTTTTTCTCCAACCCCCGCCAAAGAAATACATCAAAGACTAGTTTATTTTTTGTTTGGAAATTTATTTTCAGATTGAACCTAGAATTGTTTTAATAATTTCTAAAAATATAAATTGATTTATTATTATGTATTGGATATCCTAGTACCACCACTTCAAGTATTTGCTGCTTAATGAATATGGAATATGAATGGATAATTAAATTCATATGCTGCCAGACTCTCAACAACTCTGGGCAGCTTACAACAATTGAAAGACATCACAAAAAAATAAATACAACATAAAAGATGGCAAGCACAATGAAGTGGGAGGGTCTCAAGTCACCTAGGCCAAAGGCCTAGGTGAAGTCCAGAGTAATAAAACATTTATTTATGCATACATGGTTCATAACAAAACAAAAAATAGTGATCATAATTATCAAATAAAAAGAATGCTATAACAAAGTGAAAAAGTGCAACAAAAAGCATAATATACTGTATGTCAACAATAAATGGTCACAAATCTATACATACTTCTCTAATGCAAATGTTATTCAAAAGTATATATGATACATTCATACAACTTTTAACCTATTGTATTCTCTATAAATGTGTTCCATATTTCATTATATTTGCCCATACACAATCTTCTATAAGCAATTCACTCATGAGGGACAACTGCAACCAATTTTTCAGTTTGTTGAGTAAAAGGGGACATACATTTATCTTCCCAAGTTCCAGTCTTTTGGTCATAATAAGGGCATGAAGAATCAATTTACTGTATATTGTTCAGTTGTCAAATTCCCTGTACTGGTATGTAGTTCAAGAGAATGTTACCTGATAATTTTAGCTTTTGTAGCACGATCATTACATAATCCATTACTTTTTAAGCATTTATGGCTCTTGATTTTTATATCAAAATCATGGCTATGTCATATCAATGACTCTGCTTCATATTTATTTTCCAGGAGTATATTATGCATTCATTGCTTCTCATAGTATAACCATCAATGTCAGCATATGTCTTGCTCAAAAGAAATTGCCAATTAAGAATAATATCTTGTCCTATGAAAAAGTAATAATGACATTTCATTGAACAAGAACAAGAATTTCAGTAAATATAAAAAAGGCAGTTTATATGCAATATAGAAATAAAAGGAAGGTACCCTAGTAAAATCACTTGTAAGCAAAAACATACACACAACTGACGTCAGCTACTTTTTAACAGGTTACAATGGAAAGCTAGAGAAGGTACAAACAAATTTACCTAACAAAGAAGTTGCTGCATAATAGCATGCCCAACCCCAAATTATATATGTGCTATAAGTTATTTTAAACCATCTGACTCACAGTCATATTTATACAAATAATGTATTTTCATCTTAAAATAGTAATCTTACCGTGAGATTATTACCTGTAGCTATGAAGACAATTTTTTTTCTTTTTAGAGTGGGGAATCTTCATAACTAGCAACACAATACCTTCTTTGGGCTTCACAGGTACAATTGCTAAATTAATATGGAGAACATATAATTGAGAAGATAAACCAAATTATATGACATAAAAATACATTTAAATGCATTGTTTGAATTAGGCAGATGAGAATTCCTGTGAATTAATGGCCTGCTCTTATTTTACCAATGCGAAACTCAAAATAGATGTGCTGATTGGAATGGCAAAAACCTTTTCCTCATAAAATGCATGTATTTCAGTGTATATGTCCCATATTGATATTTGGTAGAATATGCATCTCAAATTATTACTACCACTTCCTTCAATGTAAATAATGTAAACAAATAAATGCTCACTGTTTTTTCTTTTGCAAAAGGACAATCCACATCACACCACCAAAAATGAGGAGAAGCAACAGGATACTTCCCAAAGAACCTGTTAAAACCAAATAAATATATTTTTCTTTATTTAGTTATGATTTTCTTTAAAAGGAAAGGTTAAAGAAAGCACTGATTTTATTATAAGCTAAACTGAATAATATATAAGTGAGAAAAGCAATATAATTTTCTAACATTAAAATGCAATGAAAATGGACCCATCCTAAGGAATTTAAGTAATGCACTGTAGAATCCATTCTACAGAATTCAGAATAATATTTAGGATCATAATGAAAAGTTCTTTTTTCCCCCTTTTCCTTAAATTGCTTCAACAACTTTGCTATTATCATATGCAGAGCAACACCTTTTCCTTTCTCGTCTTCTTTTCGCTACGTTATCGTGATTGCTCTGTATTATATGTGCTCATCTGACAAAGACAACTAAAGAACAGGGCAGACATTTGGTGGTCTATCTTATTCAGTGTTTATGGAATGCAAGGTCCACAATGCTGTGCCTTTCTGCATTCAATGGGAGGTTCTAGAAATTACTTACCAAAACCTATTGTAGCAAAACTGTAGGAGTCTAAAGAAAGAAACAAAACAAGAGTTACAAACTATCAGCAAAAGGGGAAATTAAATTTACCAACTCTTGAAAATATTTTTGAAAGGCTCTCCAAACAATATAAATTTAAATTCTTTGTCAAATCTTCAGAGCTTTATTTTCAACTTACCTTGTTTACTCTGTACACATGCTGGCACAGGGGCATCCTGTCCTATCTGCTGCGCTTGAATAGGAGAAGAATCATTCCTGACATAGCCATTTTCACACTCCAGAATCACATTAGCACTAGTCTGAATCACACTATTTGTTTCTGCTTCGGTGCTATCAGAAAGTGGTGGGAGCGGGCAGCCATCTACTGAAAATCAAAGTTGAATAAAAGTTCTTAGACACTTTCTTTGCAGCAAGGAGCCACACTTGCCACTTGCCTTTACAACTTGAGAGTTGTAGGGAGGTTGCCAGAGATGCAGTAATATCATTCAAAGAGTAAAGCAAAAACATTTTTATTGGAAAACTTTAAATAAAAATAATAGAAAATGGGAAAGTTAATTTATTTGCATCTTAATTTTTATACACACTTTCACCCTTACTGACAATCTCCTTCCTCTACCTAAATGAGCTTGTTGCCACCGAGGAGACTGATGCTAATAGATTTTTGGGAGGAGAAAAACTATTAATAGACCAGGGCTGTCAAACTGGCAGCCCGTGGTCCAGATGCATCACACACAGGCCACGCCCACTCCGGCTCCACGAATGGGAAAAATGTAGTGATACATCACGTGACAGTAACATGACGCCATGAGTTTGACACCCGTAACTTATCTGTAGCCTGGCCATCATCATTTTAGAGGAAGATAGACTCTCATGCTATCAAAAATTATCCTGGACAAGATAATGCCTGGACAGGAAACATTTTTTTGCAGAAGGTACTTTATTGGAGGCTGCAGGTTTCAACTTCTATATTTTTGAAGCAGGACCTGGATCCTAACTAATTATTATATCACATTCATCATTCATTAACATGCTATATCTGGGGCCTCCTTATGGGATATTTAACGAATTGCATTTAAAAATTCAATACATTAAAAAATAATTGATTTACAATACACATTCAGGGATAATGTGATATTTAAGCAATAATAGCCTATGAGATAAGGTAAATATTTATAAGGCACAGAAAATATGGCAGAAATAAGCAAATGCTTTTATTCCTTGTACTGATCCGAAAAACTCCAGGGAATTAATTACAGTCTTCACAGTGACTTGATTCCAGAAGTCCAGTAATGAGGATTCTCTGTCTGCCATTTAGTTCAAAACAGTGGGGGCTCAAAATATATGATATCCTTAGGCAGCATTGACTGATAGCCCCACGTCTGAAGATTTACATTTAAAAGGATTTGAAAAAGGAACAGTGTTGGCCAGCTTTCATTTAAAGTTATCATTCATGTCTCAGTCCAATATTATGCAATTGTTGCTGTTCAATATATTTTAAATGCAAATATGATTCAGAATAATAATCTACTAGTTTGGATTATGACCAATAACCATCCACGCATCCCATTGCCACTTATTAAGTACATATGTAATTTGTCTAGGTGTAATTGATACATAATTTCATATTTCATAGTGTCGCTTATTTAGAAATATGCCGTCCCTGATACAAAAAAAGGTGTCCCTTTGCAATGGAAACCTTGTGCCCTTTAGCTGCTGCTGAGTTATAATTGTATTGTAGGCCATCCAGCATCACTTTGGATAGAGAGATGGGCAACATATAAATGCAATAAATAAATAATTACTAGTATTCCTTACCAAAGACCGAGCTTAAGAAATATTGATAAATATAGTTATATAGAAATATAATAAATCATTAAATAAGAACACAGTTCTTTCTATTGGAAGCCAGGAAACACACCTTCTCCACTGCAATTTCTAACCTCTGGAAAAGCATCTGTTTGGTTCCCACCATTCAATCGGTCTGTTTGGTTCCCACCATTCAATTGTTCTGGAAGTCTTTGAATATTTGACTCTCCTCCAAGGCCTGGGGTTAAGGTGGTTGCTAAATCCTTGGTAGTTGTTTTGTTGATTTCTGAATGTATTGTGTTTTTTATGAATGATCCAGTTATTTTTTCTATTTGATTATTCCCATCCTTGGTAACCTGGGAGTCACTTGGGAGTTTGGTAGTCTCCATATCTAAAAAAAATAAAACAAAATGAAGAAATTCAACATTCAAAACCACTATGGCTTGATAACAAATTGTGTGATCGGGTTCCCTAAACCAAAATGCAATCATTTGCATGGTTTCCGCATGCAAAAGAAATACAAGTAGTCCTCAACTAATGGATCATAATTTTTGTTGCTAAGCAAGGCAGTTATGTTAAGTTATGTCACACCCAATTTTATCATCTTTTTTGCCACGATTGTTAAGCAAAACACTGCAGTTGTTAAGTGACTCACACAGCCATTAAGTGAATTTGGCTTCCCTCGTTGACTTTGCTTGTTGGAAGCCAGCTGGCAAGCTCACAAATGGTAATCACATGACCCTGGGACACTGCAACCATTGTAAATACATATTGGTTGCCAAGGGCCTGAATTTTGATCACATGACCCTGGGGATGTTGTCATAGTCATAAATGCAAGGAATGGTTATAAGTCTCCTTTTTTAGTGTTATTGTAAATTCGAATGGTTGCTAAACAAACGGTTGTAAGTCAAGGACTACCCATAGTGCCAAAGTGTTTAACAACAAAATGCTCATTAGCTTTAGAAAAGAATGTTTGTATAAAACACCACTTCTAAGTTTGCTCTTCTGGAAGAAACAAAGTTCAGCGAGACAACACAGGCCTTGCTTGCATATTGTCACAATGCATTTTCAAGAGACACAGTGACAAAGTTCTTGATTCATTGGCCCATGTAGTTCTCAGATGCTGCCAGTTTTGGTTACTGAGGTCTAAGCAGTATAGTTCTTAGGAGGCACGCCATGTCCTTGGCACCAGATGTCACTTAACACTATTGCGGTACAACCAGTTTAACAACTAGCTCTCACATACATTCTCTTCTTTTACACTGAGGGACAGGTTCATTCCATGTTCCAGAAATCTGGCAGTAAATGGTTGGTGCTCCAATAAGAAAAAAACCTGGATCACAATGATAAGTCACAGGGGTACTATAGGGGAAATCTTCCAACGTAACCTTGTCTCGTTTGCTATGGGCAATATTTGGTGGTGCAAGGCAACCTACAGAGAAGAGGTGATGCAACTGTATTACTGCAATTTTAATTTATTTCTCAAATTCCACCCAAATTTTGACATTCAGATCGACTTGGATGCACCCATCATAGTCCTTCAATAAATACTACTTATAAAAATCATTAGATTGACACTATGCACTGTCCAACTATAGTACTCTTCCTCATCTAGCTTCAAGCGCTCATCCCTGACAAGCCACCCCAATTCCTGTGAAAGGCAGCAGAGAAGACTGAACTGATCTGCAAAATACAAACAAAAAAGGACCTTGGCATCTGGGGGCTTCACTCCATTTTACAGAGTTTGAGCTGTTCCAAATACATGGGACACTGTAGTTTCCAATGCAGGAATAGCCAGCATCACAAATATAGATGACTGATTTCCCATATGTGAAGGAACATGCTTTCCATGGATGATTTTTGGGGGTGGGGGACAATGCATAACTACAAAAGAGCAAAGAGAGGTAAGTACGGAAAATATCTTCATTCTAGATCTGCAAGAAGTTATAACTATTCAAGTATTTTCCACCAAGAAAATAGTTGTTGTGACAGATGTGATACATGTATTCTCCAGAAACAAACTTTGGTAATTCTGCCCATGGTATTCACCATTTGGAACCAACTGAGAATGACTGCATTCTTATTTGCGAGCTATTTGTTCTCAGTCAAACTAAGGGAGTTGCCTTCCAACAATCCCTGGTGAGTTAGAAAATAATGTTTTTTTCCACAATTCTAAATGGTTTCAAATGTGTGCTTAAAAAACAATAAATTGAAGGAAAAGACTAGTAGGTGCAATATTACAATAATGATAATGTTAACCCAGACAGTACACATTGCAGTCTTTATTACCTTCACAGGATGGCACCGGAAGGCTCCAGTTTCCAGAAGGTCCACAGAAAATAGATGCCTTTCCAATAAGCAAATAGCCCGGATCACAAGAATAGGTTACAGACATTTTAAAAGTAAACATTTGCAAAGCTAAACCATCATGTTTTCCATTGGCTATGCTTGGAGGGAAGGAACACTGTGATTCTAAAAGAAAAGAAAAAGAAAAAAGGAAGTCAGAGAACAGTGTTCAGAATTCCATTTTAATGAGATACTTAGTGCAAAGTTACAATTAAAGGCTATTTACTACAAGTTGATCCCTCCACTTTTCTACAGGGCACAAGGCACATTGTGTGACATCTCCTCTCATATTTTTTTCCCCATTATTGCAGAGCCCAGTACAGTAGATTAGATATGGCTTAAACTGTGCTTTGTTAAATAGAATGGTTTGCCTATAATATTAAGCCATAGAACCAGTGGTGAAATGTAAAATTTGTTACTACTGGTTCTGTGGGCATGGCTTGGGGGGGCGGGGGTTAATGTGACTGAGTGGGCATGACCAACTTTTTTTTTTAACTTTTAAACCATTTTTTCTACAACCTCTTCAGCCGAAGAGGTTGTTAAAAATGCTTTTAAAAGCCTCTGACGATCAGGCAAGTCAGCTGGGATCGACTTTAAAAGCATTTTTTCTGGAACCTCTTCGGCCGAAGAGATTGTAAAAAAAAATGCTTTTAAAAGCCTCTGACGATCCCAGCTGAGTTGCCTGATCATCAGAGGCTTTTTTTTTCTTTTAAAAACATTTTTTCTACAATCTCTTCGGCTGAAGAGGTTGTTTAAAAAATGCTTTTAAAAGCCTCTCACGATCCCAGCTGAGCCGCGCGATCATCAGATCCTTTTTTTTTTTACTTTTAAAAGCATTTTTTCAGCTGAAGAGGTTGTAGAAAAAATGCTCTTAAATTTTTTTTTAAAAAGCCTCTGATGATCGCGCGGCTCAGCTGGGTATGGGGGAGGGGGCAGGGATTTTTGCTACCGGTTCTCCGAACCACCCGCCACCATAGCTACCGGATTGGGCGATCCAGTCCGAACCAGGAGCATTTCACCCCTGCATAGAACCTAGTTTACAAGTCACCTTTGTTGAGTTCACTAATATACAAAGTCAGAACAAACAAACCACATTTTGGGCTTAGTGCAATTAGGGAACCCTGGCAATATCTCATTTAGATTAAGTGAGGTTCATGACTGAGTAGATTCTTTAATCTGTAACTCGCATGTTCAAATTCAATCCCAAAGTCTTCTTTTTATGCTATGAAGTTTTATGCTACCAGCAGCAATTAATAAAAAAAAAATTACTTTCGCAATGAGGGGCAGGAAAGGTCCACGTGCCAGAGTCTGCGCAGTGAATAGTAGCATCTCCAATTAGAGTATAGCCAAAGTTGCATGTATATTTCACATACATTCCTCTTTTGAATACTATTACTTCCTGGTTGCTGTGAACCCCATTCTGGATATCTGGAGGTGACTTACATTCAATCTCTGAAAAGATATAAAAGTACTATTGGTTTTCAAAGAGTTAGTGCTATCTCTCAGAGGTATTCTTAGGAAAAAATAGCATATTCTTAGGAAAAAATAGTTTACAGCAGGCAAGAACACATGCAAAGAATTACTCAAGTCAGATGGCATTTCTCTCATGGATGGCCTATGGAATCTAAAAAGGGGTAGGGAGGGAAGGGACTCAGAGGATAGCACTTACAATACCATTTTGATATGATACTCAGTGGAAAGTTATAATTAAATATCAGGGGTGGGCTTCAAAAATTTTAGCAAGGGATTCTCTGCCCGGTTGCTGGGTGGGCGTGGCCATGTGAGTGTGGCCTAGTCAGCCTCCTGCACCACAGCGCGGGGAGGGGGGCGTTGCCCTCCCCGGGCTCCGGAGTCTTTCCTTGAGTCTCCACGATGGCGAAAATGACCTCCCCAGGCTCCAGAGGCCCTCTGGAGTTCTTCCCAAACTTCTGGTAGGCCCATTTTTCGCCCTCCCTGAGCCTCCATGCGTGCCCTGCACTTACCTGCATCCAAAATGGGCCACTTGGGGACTCCTGGGAGGGGCAGGGCAAGGTGGGTGGAGCCAGCCAGGAGTGGCATTTGAGGGTTCTCTGAACTGCACAGAATCTTAGCTAGAGGTTCTCCCGAACCCCCAGCAGCCCACCCCTGTTAAATACGCTTCTGATTTATTCCCTGTTTCTTCAAGCAGGGCCCTATTTCTAAACTCTGTAATAAGAACAAAACGACTGCAAAGGAATTTGCATTGTTTTATGATTAAAAAATCATTTAACAGACTAGTGTTGAGGTAACCTGTTTATTTTTCTTTGCAAAATGCAATTGTTCTTTGAAAAGAGAAATCTAGTTTATAAAAGTCAGATACATGCACTTGTAGATACATGGATTAGCATACGTTACTACAGAAGCAGATCTTCACTAAATCATATGGGTGTAAAGTTTAAAGCATTAAACTTCAGAGACAAACTCACTTAAAAATAATCTTGCACTATAATATAAAAGGAATTCACTGGTGGATAATTAGCTCTGCTAAAGATGACTTCTCATTTCTTCAGTTGTAGTTTGGGTTCCTTGACTGAAGGAATCCTTGAGTCATTTTATATACCACTAGATTTTAAGCCTAAATGTTCCTTGGTCTGATACTTTAGCAGTTTTGAAGCAGCCTTATGCTAGGGATACTGTATGGCCAGAATCATTCAATTCAATAAAAAACAGCAAAGGTGTGTGAAGACTAATTGTTTCTGTACCTCTCATCTTCATGAGGCAATACAGCCTATCTCAAGAAATGTACCTTCACAGTTAGGGACAGGAGAAGACCATCTGCCATTATCCATACACTGAATAGTTGCCTCTCCAATCAGAGCATAGCCAGGATTGCATGTGTATTTCACAAGTGTTCCACTGGAAAATAATGTTTCCTGGTTGCTGTGAATCCCATTTTGAATGTCTGGGGGTGGCTGGCATTGCACTACTGGAAGAAAGGAGAAGAACAAATTAACCAACTGAACAAATTAAAACAAATTTTACTTCACTGGGAAGAAAAACAAATTAAGAATTTACTTTGGCAACATTTCTTTCTAGTCTGAGCAGTTCTCCCTGAAAAAGGGATTGTGAAATGGTCCAAATCATCCTTCCAAACTGGGTGAATGGGGATTGGCATTCGGTTCTCATCGTTGTATGCTGTCATTTAATAAGAAAACTCCCAAGATGGACCTTCCACATTGTCTCATGGAACAACCAAATGCTCTAGAAGAAATTGTCTTTCATTCTTCAAAAGGGGCTGCAAATTTACAGGATGCTTCTGGATTTATTGTTCACAGAGAAATTAGCATAAAAGGGGGAAAAACTACTTAGTTTTTTCTAATTGTGAGAAGAGTTGATAAAATCCAGCTTCACTAAACATAGCCCTGACACAGATGGGTGCTGGCGAATCCCATGTGTTGCCACGTTGACACCGAATTGTATGCTTGCCTTTCATGGTGTAGCCAGAGTCACATTCAAATGTAATTGTTGATACAGATTGATCATTTACTTTGGGCCTAATAATTCTTCCATTCTGAATGTCTGGATTCACACAGCTTGGAACTAAAAATGAAAGGGGAGCAACTAAATTTGGTCGAGTCCTGTGCAAATAATGCCTTCTTGAGAACTAATTCACTGAACAAAGAGTAAATATAGATTTTGAAGAAAGACTTCGTCCTAAGAATATGATAGGATTTAGCTGGGTATTAATGGACAGGGATAAGAGGGGAAATAGGGTCAAAGATATGCACATGACACATTGGTCAGTTGATTCCTTTAGTGCAGGTTTCATAAATCAATGCATGGAAAGAGTTGACATTAAGATAGTCCTTGACTTATGACTGTAATTGAGTGCAGAATGGAAGGGGTGGAGAGGGGAGGGGAGGAATGGGAAGGGAAGGAGATTGTCTCTAATTAATATAATGCATACTTCATATTCAATAAAAGTTTCCAATGCCACTTTGCCAATAGTTGAATAATAAGATGAAAATATTAAGATACAAGTTGTTGCAACAAGGACCATACAGTCCACTGTGAGAGAAGGAAAATGTAATGGTTAAGTCAAACAAAATAAAACAGAGCTCCGAATATTGTTCAAAAAAAATGGAAAATCCAGATTTAAACTTATCTTGTTCACAGACAGGTGTGGGGGGATCCCACCTACCATCCACTTGGCAATAGATCTCTTTGGAACCAACCATCTTGTGGCCCCCAATACATTCAAAGCTAACCTTCTGGTTATATTTGTAAGCGCTGGAAATTCCAGCCACAATTCTTCCATTCTTAATCTGAGGATATGGACCAGTGGTGGGTTGCCCCCGGTTCAGACCGGTTCTATAGAACCGGTAGTAAAACTGGCGGGAGGCTCCGCCCACTGACCCTGACACCATCACAACACTTCTGCCCATGCGAAGAAGAGCGCACATGTGGCCCCATTGCGAACCGGTAGTAAAGGTAAGTAGAACCCACCCCTGATATGGACACTGTGTCACTGAAAAGGAGACATACTGTATATCAGAAGCAGATAAGGAGAAAAAAAAATGGAATCACTCTGCAGAAGTGTCAGGCCTGATTGATCCAGTTTAGCTATCTGAGGAACAGGGTTAATTAGTTTGTCTATAGATTTTCTGATAAACATTATAGTTCAATTAGCATTTAGGGCTATGCTGTAATATAACTTGCTTGCAGCTTGATATAATGTTGCCTAAGGATGAAGTACTCGTTTATGCAGGTTTCATTATCTTCAATATGATTTGCATCATTTTATCTGTCTCTATAGTTTCTGTTTTAGACTACTGGCATTCATTAAGCCTTCTCTTACAAATATCCTAAACTAGATCTGCATTTTGAGTGCTGCTTACTCTGGCAATAAGGAAGGTCACCTGTCCATGCCACTGTTTCACCAAACAATGCACAGCTTCTGGAAGACTTGCCAATCAGCCTATACCTGTAGCAAGACAAAAGAAACAGCATATAATCCTTTTATTTTTTGTAGAAGAATGCAGACTTTAGATGGTTGGAATCAAACTGTTCTACATCCTTTCGTTTACTCTAATTCAAAATGAGCTGCTTAGAGTTGTTTCAGTTCTGAAGTGACATTCAGGTCTGAATAAAATGCTGGGATAAAGATGACTAAGGACATCATAAAGTATTTTAGTATTCATTCATCCCATGCTTTTTTATTCATGCGGTGTCAGTTGATATGCATTCATACGTGTAGACAGACAGCATAAGTGTATGTGTAGAGACAGGTTGCTAGAAAGCAAAATAGCAACATGCAGGAGAATTTTTTCATAATTTCAAAGTTTTCATAATTGCTAAGTCTTATTTTGGCAAAAGTCTTATATGTTTATAATCATACAATAGAAGGAGAAATTTCATACTGATTTATTTTCTAGAGAAAATATATCAGAAGGAAGAACATGTTTAACTCCACTGTTCATTGATACAATCTATGTACCTGAAAACGGTCCTTCCTTTCATTCTGTTAAGTCCTAATTTTTGCTTATAATTGTGTTTTAGCAAACTTAGATTGAAAGAGAAAGATGCAAAAGATGCAACAGCAGGTTGAAACCTCTCAACCTGGCCAGGACAGGCTTCCCTGGATGCCGGCCCAAACAAGAGCCAGCTCTGGGGATTTTGGAAAAGGACACAGAGCAGTGTGAGTGGATGGCAAGAGGAAGAGAGGCCAGGAACATTGGAAGGGTTGGTGGGGTAGCGACTGGATGAGTGCCTGGCTGAAGAGGAAAGAGCAGAGATACAGTTGCAGCTGGGAAGCGTGGATGACCAGCCAGAGGTACAGGGTGAAGAAGAGGTATAGCTGCAGGTGGTCAGTGGAAACAAGAAGGAATTTCCTCCCCTGCCAGATCCCAGGGCATGTAGCAGAGGAAGGCACATGGAAATCAGTGAGGTTACTCATGAGGAAGCAGCCTCACTCCTCCTAATGAATTGCACCAGCTGGTTATCACTCAATCTGATACATGGAGCAAAGCGGTGTTGTAGCCAACCATTCACTTCCTCGCTGTGCATGTGCTTTGACTTCATGTTTTCTGATTCCAGACCTGTGTCTTGTTTTCTGACCACATGTTTGGACCTTTGATTTCATGCCTGGATTTTGGACTTGGACCTTGGATACCATGCCTGGACTTGAGACTTGGGCCTGGACTTAGTGTGGGGATCTGTAGACATATGCCTTGACTTCAGACTTCGTATTTCATGGTTAGATTTCGTGCCTGGACTTTGTGGACTCTTATTTATTGGGTCTTGGTGGAAGGCCATTTGCTGACAAGCCTCTGCTAGTGGGATCTGAGGAACAAAAGTGGGGGCTTGCAATGTTTCAATAAAATGTTAAAAACTCCTTGGCAGGTGTATATGTGCCTCTTCCCCATTGAGTTACAGACATTGCCCAATGGCTGGTGAGAAAAGTAAGATTCCTTACACGACCCCACCCAGAAGAATTCTCACCAGACAATTTCAGGTTACACTGTTGAAAAGAGAAAGAAAGAAACAGGAAGAATCTCACCACTAGAAATTGTGTTGGATTCCTTGAAACTTACCCTTCCTCACACTGGTAATTTACAGTGGAACCAAAGCGAAAATCTCCTGTTACAAGCAATCTGCCACCCTCTAGTTCTCCTGGATGTCCACATGATTTTCCTAGTGGAAAACAGAGAGATTCTCCTTTTCCATGTTATGTTTTGGGTAGCACAAAATGTATAAAACTGATTCAAGGTTTTTATCTGTATTTAGCAACCGACAAATACACTCCCAAGGGTTAAGTTGCACAATTTGATACCCCATTGAAAGGCCAATCTTATAGTTTGATCAGGGTAAACGAAGACTCACTTTGACAGAATTCTTGAATTTCTGACCAAATCTGATTCCTAATGCATGTCACTGATTTTCAGTTCAGGATACCTAACATAACCAGGATGACATATATATTTCACAACTGAACCCAGAAGAAATAACTTATTTTTTTAATATTCATTTGCAATCTCTGTCCAATCTAACTGAATAGGAAAGGCACAGGTGCCTCCAAAACAAAGAAACAAATTTCAGCTATTATTAATATTATTAATACTATTAGTGTTATCATTGAACATACTATTTCCATGTTCAATTTGATAGATAGGGAAACTTGCATTATTCCTAGTTCTACCTGATTATCTACAATAACTTTCTATAACTCTCAATTTTAATTACAGGGCAGTATTAATTAGAGAACAGTCAACCAAAGATAAAAAGTTTAGTATTTCTTTATATTCTTCCCTATCAAAAAATAGTTAACAAAGTGCACATATTTTGAAAACTTTAACCCTTTAGAAAGGGGGAAACAAAATCTTTCTCTTACACCAATTACTCTTCATGGTTTAAAAATACCAATAATTGATGGCATGACTGATTTAGTTTTATACTAATGGAATATGGAATATATTCTAAATATCAGATATATATCTTTCATCAAGAATGTAGAACTCAAAATCATGAGTCTCCTTGATTTATTAATCCAGAATTTCTTGATCATAATTTGCATTGGGTCTGAACATAAAATTCTGATATCTATGTCTGTCTGTCTCTCTCTCTCTCTCTCTCTCTCTCTCTCTCTCTATCTATCTATCTATCTATCTATCTCCAGTGAGCATTTATCCCAAATGTGGACATGAGAATGAATAAAACCGACCAGGAATTTTGCTATTTTGCACAGTCTGCAAGATTGGTTGGGTTCATCAGACTGTCTTGAAGAATTCAGGGCTTATTATTAATTGAGTACACATGCTTTTATTTTGTTTCAAATTTTTTTAAAAACCTAAATGTGTGATTTTCAAAAGCTAAATTCACACTAATATCACATCAGTCCCAATAAAACATTCCCAAACTTACCATAGCCCTCTGCAACTATTCCCAGATGAACACTAGAGATGAGAAGAACAGCAGCAGCATCCCCCAAAAGGAATGGCCAAAGGAAAGGGCTTTTTGTTAACAGTTACTCCTTTTCAAGAGCCCTTCAGTGAAGCTAAAATAAATAAAATGTTGGACTCCTACCCTAAATATTCCTAATTCTGACACCACAGCAGCTTTTGAATCAAGTTAAGTATTTCCTTCAAAACACTTCATTCAGTAAAAACGTAGAAACCCATATGAAGAGTGATCTTCTGTTTATGGATCTCACTCCTTCATGAGCTTACAGGAAAAAAAATGTTGTGGTCACAAAAGGTACCTTCACAGTTAGGGGCAGGAGATGACCATTTGCCAGCATTTGTGCAATGAAGGGTTGCCTTTCCAATCAGAGCATAGCCGGGATTGCATGTATACGTCACAAGAATTCCACTGGAAAATACTCCTGTTTCCTGGTTGCTGCAAGTCCCATTTTGAATGTCTGGGGGTGGTGGGCATTGAACCACTAAAAGAAGAGAGCAGATTGGGAAGAAAATCAAATTAAAAATATACTCCAGGATGATAAATCAGGGGGAAAAGAAGATACTAGTTATTTCTAGGCTCAACTGCAAGCACCATATTTTCTACTGACTGAGAATGAAGAAAAGTGGAATGCACAGCCAAAACAGAACAGCAGTTTAATATAGTTCAAACAATGGAAAATCCAGATTCGTCCTTACCAAATTCACAGACAGGAGTGGGGGGGTCCCATGTACCATCCACTTGGCAATAGATCTCTCTAGAACCAACCATCTTGTGGTCCCCAATGCACTCAAAGCTAACTTTCTGGTTATATTTGTAGGTGCTGGAAACTCCAGCCACAATCTTTCCATTCTTAATCTGAGGAGATTGGCACCGTGCCACTGAAAAATGAAACATATATCAGAAGCAAACAAGGAGAAAAAACTGGAATCATTCTGTAGAAGTGTCAGGCCTGATTAGTTCAGTTTGGGTAGCTGAGGAATAGAGATAACTAGTTTGTCAGTGTGAGGTCCCCAAGCAACTATTTGAAGGAATCATTTTAGCAGCTGATGGTCCTTGCTTGAGAAGGAACACAAGAACCAAAGATTGGGCAGGAAAACTCACCTCCACAATACGCACGGCCACTCCATTCTCCGTTTATCCCATCCTTAGATGTACAGGTAATAGAGGCATTTCCAATAAGAGGGTAGCCTTTGTCACACATATATGTTACAGTTGTCCCATAGAAGAAATCTTTCAAAATTTGTCCAGTGTGCTTGCCGTGGGGAATATTTGGTGGTGATGAACACAAGATAGCTAGAAAGAAGTGGAGGTTGCATAAAAAAGATAAATGAATTTCATTTGCCTTATTAGAGTGTGGATATAAAGCCTTGAACATTTATAATATTCATGACTCTAATGTAATCTGTGCTTTTAAAAAAGTGGACAAAGACAAAGGGCATGTTTATATCGAGCATCATTATCTGTTGTGGCAGTTGCAGCTGTAATGAAGAATTACCATGGAGTTAATATTTCCTCTTTTTTAAGGCTTTTACAAGCAATTGCATATTAGAGGTCTTAGTCCTCTAATTTTCAAAACAGTATAACTATCTCTGACATATAATTTCTCACATTGTTTCTTTTGATATTGTTTCAAAGACATACAGAAAAAAGTTTTTTAAAAAAATAAGTGAGGCCATTTTCCTTCAGTTGAAAACTGTTAGTTGGTAAACTTGAATTAGAAAAAAATACTCCAAATTATGAGAAAGTGTTATTCGGGGAGAATAAACATGGGGAAAGAAATCATTGTTGAAATTAAATACTGAAAGTTACCAAAACTGAAAATAAATCAAGGTTATGATGGAAGAGAAAATTTGTAGTTCAGGGTTGAATTGTGGGGTCTTTAGTGTTCTCTGACGTTGGTGGTTTTCTTCCAGATGTTTCATTACCAAACCACATAGCATCATTACTTCTAAATAAAGTTTTTTCGTCAGAGCTTTAGGCACGTTTGATTGAGTAATGTCATTTGACAAGAGTGTTGTAGCATATTTGCTTTTCTCTTTTCTTAGATATCTGAAATGAACTTTAATAATCTGTTTTGTACATTATTTCTGCGTATGCAGGGGTACATGCCAGAACGGTAGTTAAAAATGCTTTAAAAAGTAAAAAAAAAAAAAAAAGTTCTGAGGATGGGGATTTCTCAGCTGATTGTCGGAACTTTTTTTTTTTTTTTTTACTTTTTAAGCATTTTTTTACTACTGGCTTTAAAAAAGTTTTTTAAAAGGCTCTGACCATCACAGCTCTGCTGTGCAATTATTGGAACCTTTTTTTTTACAGGGATGGGGGGGGGGGTCTGTTTTTGCTCCCAGCAGGCTTCCCTGAATCCTGCTAGGCCAAAAAAGGTGGTGTAGGCAACTAATGATGGTGGGGGGGGTGTGGTGTTTTTTTGAAAAAAAGAGAGAGAGAGAGAGAGAAGAGGGAGGAGAGAAAGAAGGAAGGAGGGAGAGAAGGAAGGAAGGAAGGAAGGAAGGAAAAAAGAGAGGAAGGAAGGACTACAAACCTGGCACTAGATAGAGCTTCAGAAGATAATCCAGGGCTGGAAGGGACCTGGAGGTCATCTAGTCCAATCCTGCTCCAGCAGGACATTGTTAGTGAATTTCTGTCTTTTGATCCCCCAGTCATATGGTTACATAGCCACACCCACCCAGTCACATGACCCCCACCACCAAGCCACGCCCACCGAGCCACACCCACAGAACGGTAGGAAAGAAATTTAGATTTCACCACTGAGCTGCACTATAGCTGGATCACAGTCTGGTCAGCTCTCAGGTTTTTCCCCTCCAGGCCTCCCTATTGCAGCTCTCAAATTCATCCCTCTGGCAGCCATGGGACAATATTAAAATGGATGGTCCCCATGTGAGCAAGGCACCTGTTCCTCACAGCCAGGGGCATCTACTCCTAAAGCATTTTAGATCAACCATTGCCACCAAAAAAAACCTATTTGATTTCCTTTGAGAGTATGACACTAAATGAGCATAAAAAAGAAAGGTGGGAAGTGATACAATTGGAATATTACAAATTCTGCTGGACTCTCAGATTCCCATCTGCCCAGCTATCCTTGGGAATGGCCTTAGGTAATGGAAGCTAATTTTTGAACAACATACAATATAGAGATCCACAGGCTCCTCAAAACTATGCAAAAGGCTCTGAAATGTTATTTTATAATACCAAGAGCATATAGTACCTAAAATTACATCGTGTTTGCACTGCTGTGCTCTAATATCAGATTCATTAATTTGAATGGAGTCTGCAAACGAGACATTAATGATAGGTTGGGCTGCATTTTTGATAGTGATATCACCAACTCAGATGAACATACTTCATATACCCAACTAAAGCTTTTATCCTGAACTTTGGCAAGTTAATCTCCAGATGAATAGCATTTTAGCTTTCCAAATTCAATTCAATTCAGAATAGAGCTGGAAGGGACTTTGGAGGTCTTCTAGTCCAACCAACCCAATCCCTTTCAGACAAGTGGCTGTCCAGTCTCTCTTAAAAAACCTACAGTGATAAAGCACCTACAACTTTTGAAAGCAAGCTGTTTCACTGGTTATTTGTGATAACTATTAAGGAAGTTTTTCCTTAATTTGTGGTTGCTTCTCTCCTTGATTATTTTCCATCTATTGTTTCTTGTCTTACCTTCTGGTGCTTTGGAAAATAAATTGATTCCCTCTTCTTTATGGTAGCCCCTCAAATACTGGAAAGCTTCTATCATGTCACCCCTAATCCAGGGGTGAAATGCTCCTGGTTCTGACCAGATCACCCGATCTGGTAGCGATGGAAGTGGGTGGTTCGGAGAACCGGTAGCAAAAATCACTGCCCACCCCCATGCCCAGCTGAGCCGCACAATCATGAGAGGCTTTTTTTTTTACTTTTAAAAGCATTTTTTCTACAACCTCTTTGGCCAAAAAAATGCTTTAAGAAGTAAAAAAAAAAAAGCCTCTCATGATTGCGCGATTCAGCTGGGATTGTCAAAGGTTTTTAAAAGAAAAAAATCCCTTTTTTCTTTTAAATGCTTCTGACGATCCAAGCTGAGTTTTTTAAAAAGCTCCTGCCGATCAGGCAACTCAGCTGGGATCGTCAGAGCCTTTTGAAAGCATTTTTTTTTTACAAAAAATGGTTTTAAAAGTTAAAAAAAAAATGGCCACGCCCACCCAGTCACATTACACCAACCCACCAAGCCACGCCCACAGAACTGGTAGTAACAAATTTTAGATTTCACCACTGTCTTAATCCTTCTTTTTCCAAAGTCTCAACAAGTATAAAAGGTACATGATATGAAACATGATTTTGAAAAGAAGTCACAATGGAATTTAGCTAAAGAAATATGACTGTATGCTCTACTTACGCTGACATTCAGGAAGGTTGCCACTCCATTTTACTCTTTTTCCATTTAAGGCACATTTTCTGGAAGACTGTCCAATCAGTTTGTACCTGCATTAAAACAGAAACAATTATGGAATGGCCACTTATTCTTCCTGGGTTCAATTTCCTATCATTGATTCTCAGAAATGCCAGTGGAAAAGAATAGAACAATTACAACTCAACAACTTCTAAATAACCATCTGCTAACAACCCTGCATATAAATAGTCAAAATCTATTACTTACAAAGAACAAACAATGTATGTGTATATTGAAGAATTATTACGCATATCCCATCCAAGCCATTATTTTGCAGAGTCCTCTTACAATATTCTACCTTTGGATCCTAATTACCATATTTTTCGGAGTATAAGATGCACCTTTTCCCCCAAAAACAAGGTGAAAATCTGGGTGCGTCTTATACACCGAATGTAGCCCCACCCACCTGCCGGCCCCCACCCTTCGGAGGTTGTCGGCCTCTGCGTGTCACATTTTCCAGTGGTTCCAGGCAGCGGGGATCCTCATTTCCATTCTTTTGATAACGATCAGCACAAATGAGCCGAAGTGGCACAGTGGTTGAAGTGCAGTACTGCAGCTACTGTACTTCAGCTGACTGCTAGTTCAGCAGATCAGCGGATCAAATCTCACTGGCTCAAGCCTTCCATCCTTCCAAGGTGGGTAAAATGAGGACCCAGATTGTTGGGGGCAATATGCTATTTAGTATACTGTCTTTGGTGTAAGCTGCCCAGAGTCCTCGGAGAGTGGGTGGCATAGAAATATGAATAATAAAATAAATAAATAAATAAATAAATAAAAATAAATAAATAAATAAATAAATAAATAAATAAATCTTTTTATCCGTTTAAAACAAGCCCTATCACTCTAGGTGCATTTAACTGGAGTGGGTGGGGCGGGGTGGAGTGGGGGATGATTTTCATGGGGGCAGAGGGACTTGGCACTGAAGGCTACACTCTCGAGATGCCCCTGTCTTCCTACTTATAGAGGTAGGCATTGAAAGCCTGGCTTTCTCGCAGCAAGGCCCAATAGAGATGTAGCACTTCAGTCCTCCTGGACGCTGCCATCTCGTAAACACGGTGCCGGGCTTCCCGGCAAGCCCCCTGTGCCTTTCCTGCCTCAGCCAGAGTCTGATTCAGAAGCAGCCTGGGGAAGCATGGAGGTCGGGACTCGGTTGGCAAAGTGGGTGCTGCACAGGGAGCATAAAGCAAGGCGCTACTGCCTGAAAATACTTTCCTCCCTGGTTCCAAAAATGGGGCGTGCAGAGGCAAAAAAAGAGCATTGCATTTTCGAGTGATTCCAGGCAACGGAGATCGTGGCAACAGTGTTTTCGGGTGGCAGCGCCTTGCCTTACACCTCCTGCGCAGCACCCGAAAATGCGATGCTCTTTTTCCTCCCCGATTCCAAAAACGGTGTGTGGAGGCAAAAAAACAGCATCATGTTTTCAGGTGGTCCCAGGTGGCAGAGATTGTGGCAACAGTGTTTTCAGGTGCTTTATTTTACGCTCCATGAGCAGTGCCAGCTTCGCCAACCAAGTCCCGACCTCCGCGCTTCCCTGGGCCACAACCAAACAGGACAGGTACAGACTTCAGTGAATAGTTAGGACTGCAGGAAAAAAAACAATTGTAACTAACCTACCTTCATTGAGGACCGATATTGCACGGGTCAGAAAGAGGGCTGAGAAAATATCTACAGACCCCTCATATCCTGGACAACTGTTTCAACTCCTCCTCCAGGACTCATTGCATGCCAAAACAATTAAGCACAAAGAGACTTTTTTCCTTTGTGCCATCACTCTGCCGAATATCTAATTACCACAGTACTATCTGATATACCGGTATATATGAAACATTCCAAAGGGTTATAAGACAGGGTAGTATTATACATGTGCATGCAGCAGCATATAAAAAGGCTGATGCACATACCTACTTTGGAAATATGACTGCTCAGTTGACCATGATAAAAATTTTCTTGGCAACTTATCCCAGCTCAAAATCCATTCCTCTGAAAAATCAGGATGAAATTTCCATCCACCAGTCTTATTGCAAAGTAAATGAAAATCATACAAGTTTTGTCTATACTTACCCTTCCTCGCAAGTATAACTTAATGTAGAACCAAACAGAAAATCTCCTGATACAATCAGCCTACCATTTTCTGGTTCTCCTGGATGTCCACATGATTTTTTCTACAAAAAAGAAACAAGTTGTATCTTTCTTATGCTAAGACATTCAAAACTGAAATTTATGACTATATGAACACATTCACAACACATTCAAAAAATCGAGAATATTTCCACCTATTTTTAAGAACAGAAAAACAAAACTCACTTATACAAAATTCTGGAACTTCTGACCAAACCTGATTCCGGATACATATAGAAGAAGCATTCACTCGAGGGTGCTTAAAATAACCTGGGTTGCATTTGTATTGTACCAATGACCCAACAGGAAAGGAATTCATTTTCTGATACGCATCAGTCAGATCTGCAAAGTCTAACCTAATGGGGATGCCACAGCTACCTCCTGATTTAAAAAGAAGAAGAAATTTAAAAAATGATCTCAGTGTTTATTGTTAGATTTTTGTGCTTCAATCTTCTGATTAATTTCCTTTACTTAAAAAAATACCTCAACATTTGAAGAGCCAATATACAACATGCTGTGGTCATGAAATGTACCTTCACAGTTAGGAGCAGGAGAAGACCACATGCCATTATCTATACATTGAATAGTTGCCTCTCCAATCAGAGCATAGCCGGGATTGCATGTATACGTCACAAGCATTCCACTGGGGAATACTGTTGTTTCCTGGTTGCTGCGAGTCCCATTTTGAATGTTGGGGGTGGCTGGCATTGCACCACTAGAAGAAAAGGGAGAAAATTGGGAAGAAAAACAGATTAAAAGTGTACTTTGGGCTGATACATTTATTTCACGAATGAACAGTTCTCCCACAAAAAGTGATTGTGAAATGTTCCAAAGCATCCTTTCAATGGTGGTGGTGGGGGGGTGGATTTGGGAATCCTGTTTGATGAGCAGGTGACAGTTGCAATAAGAGGGCATTTATACAACTTCATTTTGTGCGCCATTTGTGCCCATTCCTAGATTTAGGGACCCTACTTACTCATGGTCACTCATGCCTTGGTCACCTCCTGGTTGGATTAGTGCAATGCACTCTAACTGGTGCTACCCTTGAAGACTATCCAAAAACTTCAGGTGATGCAAAATGGAAGCAGTTACCAGTATGTGTGTTCCTGGTAGAAGACACATTATATCTCTGCTTTGCGAGCTGCATTGGTTACCAGTTTGCTAATAGTTGTAATGTAAGGTGCTGGTGTTTACACTGAAAGCCCTTCCTGGAATAGGACTGGGATACGTGAGAAACTCTTTCAAATCCCAAATCCAGCCATCCGTCCCAACAGATCCAGGAAAGGGAACTGTGATGACCTGGGGCTAGGCATGGAAGCAACAACGCCGGAAACAACCATGACAGGCCCATGTTTTGGGGTCTGTTGGCTAAGGAGCTACATTTGGCAGCCCTGAGGCAGTAGGCCTTTTATGCTGTGATAAATTCCATTAAAGTGAGGTCTGAACTTCTGAAGGTCCCTTAAAATCTGGTTATGTTAGTAGACCTGGAGCCCCAGAGAATAGGAGAACTAATATATTCCATTATTATTAAGATCCTTTTGTCTGCTACTTCTTTTTTCTTGCTCGGTTTTTATAGTCTTTTTAAGGTTTTATAATGATGTTCATGTTTTTATTGGCTGCTTAGTTTTGTTGCATGCTGCCCAGAGTTACTTGTTTGGTGAGATGGGTGGCTATATAAATTGGATGAATAAATAAATAGGGTGAATGGGCATCAACATTCTTTTCTGAAAATAGCATGCTGTTGCTTAATAAGAAACCCCCAATAAAGACTGTGTTCATAGAAGAAACTGGCAAGCACAGGGATGGGAGGAGATAGAATGGGAGCTAATTAAGTTTTCTACTTATGAGAGGCATTGATGAAATCTGGCTTCACTACACATCACTGACAGTTGGATGCTGGAAATCTCACATGTCATGCTGACACTGAATTGTATGATTGCCTTTTAGGATGTAGCCAAAGTCACATTCAAAGGTAATTATTAATATGGGTTGATAAGCTTCTTTGGATTTAATAATTTTCTGGATTCACACAATATAGAACTGAAAATGAAAGAACAAAAACTTAGTCCACTCTAAGCTAAAGGTAAAGGTTCCACTCGCACATATGTGCTAGTCGTTCCCGACTCTCATCTCTGTTTCAAAGCCGAAGAGCCAGTGTTGTCTGAAGACGTCTCCGTGGTCATGTGGCCGGCATTACTAAAAGCCAAAGGTGCGTGGAATGCTGTTACTTTCCCACCAAAGGTGGCCCCTATTTTTCTACTTGCATTTTTATGTGCTGTCGAACTGCTATGTTGGCAGAAGCTGGGACAAGTAACAGGAGCTCACCCCATTACGTGGCACTAGGGATTCAAACCGCTGAAATTACTGACCTTTCGATCAACAAGCTCAGCGTCTTAGCCAGTGAGCTACTGTGTCCCTTAGTCCACTCTAGTTCTTTATAGGAGTTTGATCCTGTGGCTCCCGAGGATGTGGACAGGGTTCTGGGTAAGATTAGTGACGCCACGTGTTTATTGGACCTGTGTCCCTCCTGGTTGGTACTGGCCTCCCGGGAGGTTACACGAGGCTGGCTCCAGGGAATTATAAGTGCTTCTTTGAGTGAGGGTGCCTTTCCTGCCGCCTTGAAAGAGGCAGTAGTGAGGCCCCTCCTCAAGAAGCCTTCCCTGGACCCGGCTGAATTAGCTAACTACTGTCCAGTCTCCAACCTTCGTTTTGTGGTGAAGGTTGTTGAGAGCGTGTGGCACGACAGCTTCCCTGGCACCTGGATGAAGCTATCTATCTGGACCCGTACCAGTTGGGCTTCAGGCAGGGGTACAGCACTGAAACAGCATTGGTTGCGTTGGTGGATGATCTCTGGAGGGCTCGGGACAGGGGCTGCTCCTCTGTCCTAGTCCTATTAGATCTCTCAGCGGCTTTTGATACCATTGACAATGGTATCATGCTGCAGCGGTTGAGAGGGTTAGGAATAGGGGGCACCGTTCTGCGGTGGTTCTCCTCCTTCCTCTCCGACCGCTCACAGTTCGTGTTGGCAGGGGGGCAGAAGTCGACCTCGAGGCACCTTGCATGGGGAGTGCCGCAAGGGTCGGTCCTCTCGCTTCTTTTGTTCAACATTTATGTGAAGCCGCTGGGCAAGATCATCCGTGGTTTTGGGGTGAAGTGTCATCTGTACGCTGATGATACTCAGCTGTACATCTCCACCCCTGACCACCCCAACAATGCCCTTTAAGTGATGTCTCGCTGCCTGGAGGCCGTGCGGGTCTGGATGGGGGAACAGGCTCAGACTCAACCCTTCCAAGACTGAGTGGCTGTGGCTCCCGGCGTCCCGATATAGTCAGCAGGTGCAATCGCTGACTATTGGGAGTGAATCCCTGCCCCCCACAGAGAGGGCTCGCAATCTGGGTGTCCTCCTGGACGCACGGCTGTCTTTAGAAGAGCATATGACGGCCGTGGCCAGGGGGCCTTTTATCAGGTTCGCCTGATTCGCCAGTTGCAGCCCTTTCTGGACTGGGATGCCTTACGCATGGTCACTCACGCCCTTGTCACCTCCCGGCTGGACTATTGTAATGCTCTCTACATGGGGCTCCCTTGAAGAGCACTTGGAGGCTCCAGCTGGTCCAGAATGCAGCCGCGCGGGTGGTTATGGGCGCAACTCATTGCGCCCACGTGACACCCTCCTGCGTGAGCTGCACTGGCTCCCAGTGCTCTTCCAGCTGCAATTCAAGGTGCCGGTCACCACCTTTAAAGCACTCCATGGCATAGGACCCGGGTACCTTCGAGACCGACTTCTGCCACCAATAGCCTCCCACCGGCCAGTTCGCTCCCACAGAGAGGGCCTCCTCAGGGTGCCATTGGCCAAGTTATGTCGGTGGCGACACCCGGGGGAGGGCTTCTCTGTGGGTGCCCCAGTCCTGTGGAATGAACTGCCCCCGGAAATACGTAAGATCTCTGACCTCCGGGTATTTCGTTGCGCACTCAAGACTCTGTTGTTCCGCCAGGCTGGGCTATCAACGTAACAATTTTAAATTGGGTTTTAAATTTCTGGGGTTTTAAAATTTAGCTGAATTTATTTAATAATTTTAAACTATTTTAATTGATGTTGTAGAAATAAAATTATTATTATTATTATTATTATTATTATTATTATTATTTTATTATTATTAATAATAATAATAATAATAATAATAATAATAATAATAATAATAATAATAATAATAATAATAATGGCCTCCTAGGGAACTGATGGCATTCTTCCTTTTTATGGAACACAATTTCAAATATTCCTCTTCCAGCATAAAGAACTACACCTTTGATTTGAAAATATAATATGCTAAACAGATGGTAAACTTAGTAAAAACAGACTTTCACCCGCTTGATGATGGGCAAGATAAGAAAGGAATGGATGAGTGGGATGAGATGGGATGAGCATATGAGGCCTCAGGCAGGGAATCTTCTACTGGAAGTCAGAGAGGATAAATCAAATGTCAGTGAGAGGCAGTTGAGATTAAAAACCAAGGACTCCCAAACAGCTAAGAAATAGCTACAAACACAACGGCTGCTAAAGAAATGAATGCAGTAGAACATGAAGTTTGCCACATGTTTGTCACATCACCCAAATATCTGATGGTCCTCTTTACTCTTCCAGCCACCCAACATGTCCCTTGACAGCTAAGATCAGGCAGCATATTGCATACAGCACACTATTATCCTTATTTTATCGTTGTAGAGGAAACAATGTGTATGGAAGGAGAGTATTAAATTCTCCTGTCCCCCTTTACCTCCTTTGACTAGCCATGAAATTTATCTCAGGAGAATAAAAGTAAAAGCCATCTGCCTCGACAACAGTGGAGGTCCTATATTGTACATTAATTCCTGTGCAGTTTGCTAATAAGTTAGGTGACTTTAATTTCTAAAACTATTTATAGTGCTTCAGATTATACAGTATGTGATTTCCCAGGCAGGAATAAACAACCCCAAATCTGTGATTTTTCCAAAGTTAAATTCACACTAATTCACACTAAATTTCCAAAGTTAAATTCATGCATCAGTCGCAGTAAAATATTCCCAAACTATTCACAGCTCACTGCAACCTTTCCCAGATGAATACTATAGTTGGGGACAGCAGCATCAACACCCCCCCCAAAAGGAATGGACACAGGAAAGAGCTTTTTGACATCAGTTATTCATTTCAGGATCTCTTCAAGGAACCCACAAATCAATAGTTACAACTATTGTACTCTATTGTACTATTGGACTCTAACAACTAAATTTTCCTACTTCTGATATCAAAGTTAAATTTTAAAGCAGCCTTCAGTTGGGGATTTTTCTAGAAACATCCCATTCAGAATGAAGTGGAAATCCACGTGAAGAGTGATCATCTGTTTCTGGACCTCACTCCTTCAAGAGCTTATAGAAAGAAATGTTATGGTCACAAAAGGTACCTTCACAGTTAGGGGCAGGAGATGACCATCTGCCAGCATTTGTGCAACGAAGAGTTGCCTCTCCAATCAGAGCATAGCCAGGATTGCATGTGTATTTCACAAATATTCCACTAGGAAATACTCCTGTTTCCTGGTTGCTGCGAATCCCATTTTGAATGTCTGGGGGTGGTGGGCATTGAACCACTAAAGGAAGAAAAGAGGAGATTGAGAAGTAAACCAGATTAAGAATGTACTCTGTGATGATAAATCAGGGGAAAAAGTAAGAGACTAGTTGTTTCCTAGCACAGCTGCAAAGCACCATAGTTTCCACTAATTGAGAGTGAAAGAATGTGGAATACACAGTCAAAACAGAACAAAGATTTAATAGTGTTCAAAAAATGGAAAATCCAGATTCGTCCTTACCCTGTTCACAGACAGGCATGGGGGGATCCCATGTACCATCCACTTGACAATGAATCTCTCTGGAACCAACCATCTCATGGCCCCCAATGCATTCAAAGCTAACTTTCTGGTTATATTTGTAGGTGCTGGAAACTCCAGCCACAATCTTTCCATTCTTAATCTGAGGAGATTGGCACCATGCCACTGAAAAATGAAACATATATCAGAAGCAAACAAGGAGAAAAAAACTGGAATCATTCTGTAGAAGTGTCAGGCCTGATTAGTTCAGTTTGGGTAGCTGAGGAATAGAGATAACTAGTTTGTCAGTGTGAGGTCCCCAAGCAACTATTTGAAGGAATCATTTTAGCAGCTGATGGTCCTTGCTTGAGAAGGAACACAAGAACCAAAGATTGGGGCAGGAAAACTCACCTCCACAATACGCACGGCCACTCCATTCTCCGTTTATCCCATCCTTAGATGTACAGGTAATAGAGGCATTTCCAATAAGAGGATAGCCTTTGTCACACATATATGTTACAGTTGTCCCATAGAAGAAATCTTTCAAAAAATTTCCAGTGTGCTTGCCGTGGGGAATATTTGGCGGTGATGAACACAAGATAGCTAGAAAGAAGTGGAGGTTGCATAAAAAAGATAAATGAATTTCATTTGCCTTATTAGAGTGTGGATATAAAGCCTTGAACATTTATAATATTCATGACTTTAATGTAATATGTGCTGTTAAAAAAACGGACAAAGACAAAGGGCATGTTATATCGAGCATCATTATCTGTTGTGGCAGTTGCAGCTGTAATGAAGAATTACCATGGAGTTAATATTTCCTCTTTTTTAAGGCTTTTACAAGCAATTGCATATTAGAGGTCTTAGTCCTCTCCTTTTCAAAACAGTATAACTATCTCTGACATATAATTTCTCACATTGTTTCTTTTGATATTGTTTCAAGGATACAGAAAAAGGATTTTTAAAAAAAGAAGAAGGGAGGCCATTTTCCTTCAGTTGAAAACTGTTAGTTGGTAAACTTGAATTAGAAAAAAATACTCCAAATGATGAAAGTGTTATTCGGGGAGAATAAACATGGGAAAGAAATCATTGTTGAAATTAAATACCGAAAGTTACCAAAACTGAAAATAAATCAAGGTTATGATGGAAGAGAAAATTTGTAGTTCAGGGTTGAATTGTGGGGTCTTTGGTGTTCTCTGACGTTGGTGGTTTTCTTCCAGATGTTTCATTACCAAACCACATAGCATCATTACGTCTAAATAAAGTTTTTTCGTCATGACCTCTGAGCTTTAGGCATGTTTGATTGAGTAATGTCATTTCACAAGACTGTTATAGCATATTTCCTTTTCTTTTTCTTAGATATCTGAAATGAACTTTAACTGATGTCGGGATGTTGACATGCAGATAGAAGAAATTACTGCTGAAGGAAATGAAGATTTGGGTTTCATTGAAGTTTGGTATTTTCAGTTTGTCACTGAAGACCACATCTTCAGTGGTGGCACAGCAGTTCGAATGCAGTATTGCAGGCTAATTCTGCTGACTGCCGGCAGTTTGATTCTCACCAGCTGAAAGTTGACTCAGCCTTCCATCCTACTGAGGTTAATAAAATGAGGAACCAGATTGCTGGGGGCAATCTTTAAACCACTTAGAGAGGGCTGTAAGGCACTGTAAAATGATAAATAAGTTTAAGTACTATATCTATTGTTATCTGCACCAGGGGTGAAATGCTGCCGGTTCAGACTGGATCACCCGATCTGGTAGCGATCATGGCGTTTGGTTTGGAGAACTGGTAGCGATCCTGGCGCGAGGTTCCACCCACCTGCCTGGTTGTCGTTACTTCCTGGTTTTAACCAGGAAATAATGTGTTTTGTACATTATTTCCTGCGTATGCAGGGGTACATGCCAGAACCGGTAGTTAAAAATGCTTTAAAAGTAAAAAAAAAAAGAAAAAAGAAAAAAAGTTCTGACGATCGTGCATTGCTCAGCTGATTGTCGGAACTTTTTTTTTTTACTTTTTAGGCATTTTTTTACTACCAGCTTTAAAAAAGTTTTTAAAAAGGCTCCGACAATCACAGCTGTGCTGCGCAATTATTGGAACCTTTTTTTTACAGGGATGGGGTGGGGGGGTCTGTTTTTGCTCCCAGCAGGCTTCCCTGAAGCCTGCTAGGCCAAAAACGGGGGTGTAGGCAACTAATGATGATGGGGGGGTGCGTTTTTGAAAGAAAGAGAGAGAGAGAGAGAGAGAAAGAAAGGGAGGGAGGGAAGGAAGGCAGGAAAGAAGGAAGGAAGGAAGGAAGGAAGGAAGCAAGCAAGGAAAGAAAAAAGAGAGGAAGGAAGGACTACAAATCTGGCACTAAACAGAGCTTCAGAAGATAATCCAGGGCTGGAAGGGACCTGGAAGTCATCTAGTCCAATCCTGCTCCAGCAGGATTGTTAGTGAATTTCTGTCTTTTTTTAAAAAATTTATTTATATGCCGCCCTTCTCCGGAAACTCAGGGCGGCTTACAATGCGTTAAGCAATAGCCTTCATTCTTTTGTATATTTTATACAAAGTCAGCTTATTGCCTCCACAAACTGGGTCCTCATTTCACCTACCTTAGAAAGGATGGAAGGCTGAGTCAACCTTGAACCTTGGAGAGATTCGAACCAGCAGAAATTGCAGGCATCTGTGTTAATAACAGGGTGCACTAAACCACTGTACTATCAAGGCTCTTTGATCCCCAGTCATATGGTTATATAGCCACCCACCAGTCACATGACCCCTCCACCACCAAGCCATGCCCACCGAGCCACACCACAGAACCGGTAGGAAAGAAATTTAGATTTCACCACTGATCTGCACTATAGTTGGATCACAGTCTGGTCAGCTCTCAGGTTTTTCCCCTCCAGGGCTCCCTATTGCAGCTCTGAAATTCATCCCTCTGGCAGCCATGAGGCAATATTAAAATGGATGGTTCCCATGTGAGCAAGGCACCTGTTGCTCACAGCCAGGGGCATCTACTCCTATAGCATTTTAGATCAACCATTGCCACCAAAAAAACTATTTCATTTCCTTTGAGAGTATGACACTAACTGAGCATAAAAAAAGAAAGGTGGGAAGTGATACAATTGGAACATTGCAGATTCTGCTGGACTCTCAGATTCCCATCCGGCCAGCTATCCTTGGGAATGGCCTTAGGTAATGGAAGCTAATTTTTGAACAACATACAATATAGAGATCCACAGGCTCCTCAAAACTATGCAAAAGGCTCTGAAATGTTCTGATTGTTCTGTAGACGATCAATCTCTCTGTGGCTACTAGCAATAGCATTTAGACTTATATACTGCTTCATAGTGCTTTACAGCACTCTCTGAGTGGCTTACAGAATCAACACATTGCCTCCAACAATCTGGGTCCCCATTTTACTGACTTTGGAAGAATGGAAGACTGAGTCAACCTCAAGCCAGCGAGGATCGAACTCCTGGCAGTGAACAGAATTATCCTGCAATACTGCATTGTAACCACTGCACCAGTATTAATTGCAGTACCATGTTTCCCAAAAAATAAGACCTTGTCTTATATATTTTTGAATGTTGAAATAAGCGCTTGGCTTTATTTTGGGGAGGTCTTATTTTTTTGGGGCATGTGGAGCAAAATGGGGCTCCTCTTGCCATCTTACCTGATTTCCAGCTCTGTCTCCCTAACCCTAACCAGAGAAAATGGCGGGGACTGGCTGTGCATGCGTTTAAATATTTTAGAGGAAGGCTTATTTTCAGGGAGGACTTATTTTCGGGGAAGCATGATTTGTTAAAGTATTTGATTAAGATAAGATTTGATTAATACATCCATCCATCAATCAAAAATCCATATGTTTTACTTTAAGTCATATCTCTCCTTTCTCAGATTCTAGGAAAACCACAAAGATGTGAGAAAAAATGGATTCAGCAAATAATGTGACTTTTGGATATAATCACAAAAATATGTTTAATTCTTTAGAATTTAAGGGTAATTAATTTTATTGCAATACAGTTGTGTTCATGACAGGTTATGCCACATTGAAAATGGTAAAATGAAGCTGCTACAATTTTTTTAGTTAATAACAATTTTTTAATTAATGCTATATAATCAGTTCCTAGTGGGATAAAACGATTAGTAGCTAGTTAATAACAATTATTTTGTGCACAAGTTCTTTAAATGAAAAAATACAATCTCGGAATGTGTATATACATAACTGATTTATTGATAGATTTTTAATACTTCTATACTCAAAACATATATAACACAATTAAGGTTATTTTATAATACCAAGAGCATATAGTACCTAAAATTACATCGTGTTTGCACTGCTGTGCTCTAATATCAGATTCATTGATTTGAATGGAGTCTGCAAACAAGACATTAATGGTAGGTTGGGCTGCATTTTTGATAGTGATATCACCAACTCAGACGAACATACTTCATATACCCAACTAAAGCTTTTATCCTGAACTTTGGCAAGTTAATCTCCAGATGAATAGCATTTTAGCTTTCCAAATTCAATTCAATTCAGAATAGAGCTGGAAGGGACTTTGGAGGTCTTCTAGTCCAACCAACCCCAATCCCTTTCAGACAAGTGGCTGTCCAGTCTCTTCTTAAAAACCTACAGTGATAAAGCACCTGCAACTTTTGAAAGCAAGCTGTTTCACTGGTTATTTGTGCTAACTATTAAGGAAGTTTTTCCTTAATTTGTGGTTGCTTCTCTCCTTGATTATTTTCCATCTATTGTTTCTTGTCTTACCTTCTGGTGCTTTGGAAAATAAATTGATTCCCTCTTCTTTATGGTAGCCCTCAAATACTGGAAAGCTTCTATCATGTCACCCCTAATCCAGGGGTGAAATGCTCCTGGTTCTGACCAGATCACCCGATCTGGTAGCGATGGAAGTGGGTGGTTCGGAGAACCGGTAGCAAAAATCACTGCCCACCCCCATGCCCAGCTGAGCCGCACAATCATGAGAGGCTTTTTTTTTTACTTTTAAAAGCATTTTTTCTACAACCTCTTTGGCCAAAAAAATGCTTTAAGAAGTAAAAAAAAAAAAGCCTCTCATGATTGCGCGATTCAGCTGGGATTGTCAAAGGTTTTTAAAAGAAAAAATCCCTTTTTTCTTTTAAATGCTTCTGACGATCCAAGCTGAGTTTTTTAAAAAGCTCCTGCCGATCAGGCAACTCAGCTGGGATCGTCAGAGCCTTTTGAAAGCATTTTTTTTTTACAAAAAATGGTTTTAAAAGTTAAAAAAAAAATGGCCACGCCCACCCAGTCACATTACACCAACACCACCAAGCCACGCCCACAGAACTGGTAGTAACAAATTTTAGATTTCACCACTGTCTTAATCCTTCTTTTTCCAAAGTCTCAACAAGTATAAAAGGTACATGATATGAAACATGATTTTGAAAAGAAGTCACAATGGAATTTAGCTAAAGAAATATGACTGTATGCTCTACTTACGCTGACATTCAGGAAGGTTGCCACTCCATTTTACTCTTTTTCCATTTAAGGCACATTTTCTGGAAGACTGTCCAATCAGTTTGTACCTGCATTAAAACAGAAACAATTATGGAATGGCCACTTATTCTTCCTGGGTTCAATTTCCTATCATTGATTCTCAGAAATGCCAGTGGAAAAGAATAGAACAATTACAACTCAACAACTTCTAAATAACCATCTGCTAACAACCCTGCATATAAATAGTCAAAATCTATTACTTACAAAGAACAAACAATGTATGTGTATATTGAAGAATTATTACGCATATCCCATCCAAGCCATTATTTTGCAGAGTCCTCTTACAATATTCTACCTTTGGATCCTAATTACCATATTTTTCGGAGTATAAGATGCACCTTTTCCCCCCAAAAACAAGGTGAAAATCTGGGTGCGTCTTATACACCGAATGTAGCCCCACCCACCTGCCGGCCCCCACCCTTCGGAGGTTGTCGGCCTCTGCGTGTCACATTTTCCAGTGGTTCCAGGCAGCGGGGATCCTCATTTCCATTCTTTTGATAACGATCAGCACAAATGAGCCGAAGTGGCACAGTGGTTGAAGTGCAGTACTGCAGCTACTGTACTTCAGCTGACTGCTAGTTCAGCAGATCAGCGGATCAAATCTCACTGGCTCAAGCCTTCCATCCTTCCAAGGTGGGTAAAATGAGGACCCAGATTGTTGGGGGCAATATGCTATTTAGTATACTGTCTTTGGTGTAAGCTGCCCAGAGTCCTCGGAGAGTGGGCGGCATAGAAATATGAATAATAAAATAAATAAATAAATAAATAAATAAATAAATAAATAAATAAAATAATAAATAAATAAATCTTTTTATCCGTTTAAAACAAGCCCTATCACTCTAGGTGCATTTAACTGGAGTGGGTGGGGCGGGGTGGAGTGGGGGATGATTTTCATGGGGGCAGAGGGACTTGGCACCGAAGGCTACACTCTCGAGATGCCCCTGTCTTCCTACTTATAGAGGTAGGCATTGAAAGCCTGGCTTTCTCGCAGCAAGGCCCAATAGAGATGTAGCACTTCAGTCCTCCTGGACGCTGCCATCTCGTAAACACGGTGCCGGGCTTCCGGCAAGCCCCCTGTGCCTTTCCTGCCTCAGCCAGAGTCTGATTCAGAAGCAGCCTGGGGAAGCATGGAGGTCGGGACTCGGTTGGCAAAGTGGGTGCTGCACAGGGAGCATAAAGCAAGGCGCTACTGCCTGAAAATACTTTCCTCCCTGGTTCCAAAAATGGGGCGTGCAGAGGCAAAAAAAGAGCATTGCATTTTCGAGTGATTCCAGGCAGCGGAGATCTTGGCAACAGTGTTTTCGGGTGGCAGCGCCTTGCCTTACACCTCCTGCGCAGCACCCGAAAATGCGATGCTCTTTTTCCTCCCCGATTCCAAAAACGGTGTGTGGAGGCAAAAAAAACAGCATCATGTTTTCAGGTGGTCCCAGGTGGCAGAGATTGTGGCAACAGTGTTTTCAGGTGCTTTATTTTACGCTCCCTGAGCAGTGCCAGCTTCGCCAACCAAGTCCCGACCTCCGCGCTTCCCTGGGCCACAACCAAACAGGACAGGTACAGACTTCAGTGAATAGTTAGGACTGCAGGAAAAAAAACAATTGTAACTAACCTGCCTTCATTGAGGACCGATATTGCACGGGTCAGAAAGAGGGCTGAGAAAATATCTACAGACCCCTCATATCCTGGACAACTGTTTCAACTCCTCCTCCAGGACTCATTGCATGCCAAAACAATTAAGCACAAAGAGACTTTTTTCCTTTGTGCCATCACTCTGCCGAATATCTAATTACCACAGTACTATCTGATATACCGGTATATATGAAACATTCCAAAGGGTTATAAGACAGGGTAGTATTATACATGTGCATGCAGCAGCATATAAAAAGGCTGATGCACATACCTACTTTGGAAATATGACTGCTCAGTTGACCATGATAAAAATTTTCTTGGCTACTTATCCCAGCTCAAAATCCATTCCTCTGAAAAATCAGGATGAAATTTCCATCCACCAGTCTTATTGCAAAGTAAATGAAAATCATACAAGTTTTGTCTATACTTACCCTTCCTCGCAAGTATAACTTAATGTAGAACCAAACAGAAAATCTCCTGATACAATCAGCCTACCATTTTCTGGTTCTCCTGGATGTCCACATGATTTTTCTACAAAAAGAAACAAGTTGTATCTTTCTTATGCTAAGACATTCAAAACTGAAATTTATGACTATATGAACACATTCACAACACATTCAAAAAATCGAGAATATTTCCACCTATTTTTAAGAACAGAAAAACAAAACTCACTTATACAAAATTCTGGAACTTCTGACCAAACCTGATTCCGGATACATATAGAAGAAGCATTCACTCGAGGGTGCTTAAAATAACCTGGGTTGCATTTGTATTGTACCAATGACCCAACAGGAAAGGAATTCATTTTCTGATACGCATCAGTCAGATCTGCAAAGTCTAACCTAATGGGGATGCCACAGCTACCTCCTGATTTAAAAAGAAGAAGAAATTAAAAAATGATCTCAGTGTTTATTGTTAGATTTTTGTGCTTCAATCTTCTGATTAATTTCCTTTACTTAAAAAAATACCTCAACATTTGAAGAGCCAATATACAACATGCTGTGGTCATGAAATGTACCTTCACAGTTAGGAGCAGGAGAAGACCACATGCCATTATCTATACATTGAATAGTTGCCTCTCCAATCAGAGCATGGCCGGGATTGCATGTATACGTCACAAGCATTCCACTGGGGAATACTGTTGTTTCCTGGTTGCTGCGAGTCCCATTTTGAATGTCTGGGGGTGGCTGGCATTGCACCACTAGAAGAAATGGAGAAAATTGGGAAGAAAAACAGATTAAAAGTGTACTTTGGGCTGATACATTTATTTCACGAATGAACAGTTTTCCCACAAAAAGTGATTGTGAAATGTTCCAAAGCATCCTTTCAATGGTGGTGGTGGTGGTGGGTGGATTTGGGAATCCTGTTTGATGAGCAGGTGACAGTTGCAATAAGAGGGCATTTATACAACTTCATTTTGTGCGCCATTTGTGCCCATTCCTAGATTTAGGGACCCTACTTACTCATGGTCACTCATGCCTTGGTCACCTCCTGGTTAGATTAGTGCAATGCACTCTAACTGGTGCTACCCTTGAAGACTATCCAAAAACTTCAGGTGATGCAAAATGGAAGCAGTTACCAGTATGTGTGTTCCTGGTAGAAGACACATTATATCTCTGCTTTGCGAGCTGCATTGGTCACCAGTTTGCTAATGGTTGTAATGTAAGGTGCTGGTGTTTACACTGAAAGCCCTTCCTGGAAAAGGACTGGGATATGTGAGAAACTCTTTCAAATCCCAAATCCAGCCATCCGTCCCAACAGATCCAGGAAAGGGAACTGTGATGACCTGGGGCTAGGCATGGAAGCAACACAGCCGGAACAATCATGACAGGCCCATGTTTTGGGGTCTGTTGGCTAAGGAGCTATATTTGGCAGCCCTGAGGCAGTAGGCCTTTTATGCTGTGATAAATTCCATTAAAGTGAGGTCTGAACTTCTGAAGGTCCCTTAAGATCTGGTTATGTTAGTAGACCTGGCAGCCCCAGAGAATAGGAGAACTAATATATTCCATTATTATTAAGATCGTTTTGTCTGCTACTTCTTTGTTATTGCTCTGTTTTTATAGTCTTTTTAAGGTTTTATAATGATGTTCATGTTTTTTTTAAGAAAAAAGTTTTTTATTTTATGAACAAACAAATATACAATATATAATATATAATCAATCATTCATGTTTTTATTGGCTGCTTAGTTTTGTTGCATGCTGCCCAGAGTTACTTGTTTGGTGAGATGGGTGGCTATATAAATTGGATGAATAAATAAATAGGGTGAATGGGCATCAACATTCTTTTCTGAAAATAGCATGCTGTTGCTTAATAAGAAACCCCCCAATAAAGACTGTGTTCATAGAAGAAACTGGCAAGCACAGGGATGGGAGGGAGATAGAATGGGAGCTAATTAAGTTTTCTACTTATGAGAGGCATTGATGAAATCTGGCTTCACTACACATCACTGACAGTTGGATGCTGGAAATCTCACATGTCATGCTGACACTGAATTGTATGATTGCCTTTTAGGATGTAGCCAAAGTCACATTCAAAGGTAATTATTAATATGGGTTGATAAGCTTCTTTGGATTTAATAATTTTCTGGATTCACACAATATAGAACTGAAAATGAAAGAACAAAAACTTAGTCCACTCTAAGCTAAAGGTAAAGGTTCCACTCGCACATATGTGCTAGTCGTTCCCGACTCTCATCTCTGTTTCAAAGCCGAAGAGCCAGTGTTGTCTGAAGACGTCTCCGTGGTCATGTGGCCGGCATTACTAAAAGCCAAAGGTGCGTGGAATGCTGTTACTTTCCCACCAAAGGTGGCCCCTATTTTTCTACTTGCATTTTTATGTGCTGTCGAACTGCTAGGTTGGCAGAAGCTGGGACAAGTAACAGGAGCTCACCCCATTACGTGGCACTAGGGATTCAAACCGCTGAAATTACTGACCTTTCGATCAACAAGCTCAGCGTCTTAGCCAGTGAGCCACCGCGTCACTTAGTCCACTCTAGTTCTATGTAAATAATGACCTCCTAGAGAACTGATGGCACTCTTCCTTTTTATGGAACACAATTTCAAATATTCCTCTTCCAGCATAAAGAACTACACCTTTGATTTGAAAATATAATATGCTAAACAGATGGTAAACTTAGTAAAAACAGACTTTCACCCGCTTGATGATGGGCAAGATAAGAAAGGAATGGGATGAGTGGGATGAGTGGGATGAGCATATGAGGCCTCAGGCAGGGAATCTTCTACTGGAAGTCAGAGAGGATAAATCAAATGTCAGTGAGAGGCAGTTGAGATTAAAAACCAAGGACTCCCAAACAGCTAAGAAATAGCTACAAACACAACGGCTGCTAAAGAAATGAATGCAGTAGAACATGAAGTTTGCCACATGTTTGTCACATCACCCAAATATCTGATGGTCCTCTTTACTCTTCCAGCCACCCAACATGTCCCTTGACAGCTAAGATCAGGCAGCATATTGCATACAGCACACTATTATCCTTATTTTATCTTTGTAGAGGAAACAATGTGTATGGAAGGAGAGTATTAAATTCTCCTGTCCCCCTTTACCTCCTTTGACTAGCCATGAAATTTATCTCAGGAGAATAAAAGTAAAAGCCATCTGCCTCGACAACAGTGGAGGTCCTATATTGTACATTAATTCCTGTGCAGTTTGCTAATAAGTTAGGTGACTTTAATTTCTAAAACTATTTATAGTGCTTCAGATTATACAGTATGTGATTTCCCAGGCAGGAATAAACAACCCCAAATCTGTGATTTTTCCAAAAGTTAAATTCACACTAATTCACACTAAATTTCCAAAGTTAAATTCATGCATCAGTCGCAGTAAAATATTCCCAAACTATTCACAGCTCACTGCAACCTTTCCCAGATGAATACTATAGTTGGGGACAGCAGCATCAACACCCGCCCCCCCAAAAGGAATGGACACAGGAAAGAGCTTTTTGACATCAGTTATTCATTTCAGGATCTCTTCAAGGAACCCACAAATCAATAGTTACAACTATTGTACTCTATTGTACTATTGGACTCTAACAACTAAATTTTCCTACTTCTGATATCAAAGTTAAATTTTAAAGCAGCCTTCAGTTGGGGATTTTTCTAGAAACATCCCATTCAGAATGAAGTGGAAATCCACGTGAAGAGTGATCCTCTGTTTCTGGACCTCACTCCTTCAAGAGCTTATAGAAAGAAATGTTATGGTCACAAAAGGTACCTTCACAGTTAGGGGCAGGAGATGACCATCTGCCAGCATTTGTGCAACGAAGAGTTGCCTCTCCAATCAGAGCATAGCCAGGATTGCATGTGTATTTCACAAATATTCCACTAGGAAATACTCCTGTTTCCTGGTTGCTGCGAATCCCATTTTGAATGTCTGGGGTGGTGGGCATTGAACCACTAAAGGAAGAAAAGAGGAGATTGAGAAGTAAACCAGATTAAGAATGTACTCTGTGATGATAAATCAGTGAAAAAAGTAAGAGACTAGTTGTTTCCTAGCACAGCTGCAAAGCACCATAGTTTCCACTAATTGAGAGTGAAAGAATGTGGAATACACAGTCAAAACAGAACGAAGATTTAATAGTGTTCAAAAAATGGAAGATCCAGATTCATCCTTACCCTGTTCACAGACAGGTATGGGGGGATCCCATGTACCATCCACTTGACAATGAATCTCTCTGGAACCAACCATCTCATGGCCCCCAATGCATTCAAAGCTAACTTTCTGGTTATATTTGTAGGTGCTGGAAACTCCAGCCACAATCTTTCCATTCTTAATCTGAGGAGATTGGCACCATGCCACTGAAAAATGAAACATATATCAGAAGCAAACAAGGAGAAAAAAACTGGAATCATTCTGTAGAAGTGTCAGGCCTGATTAGTTCAGTTTGGGTAGCTGAGGAATAGAGATAACTAGTTTGTCAGTGTGAGGTCCCCAAGCAACTATTTGAAGGAATCATTTTAGCAGCTGATGGTCCTTGCTTGAGAAGGAACACAAGAACCAAAGATTGGGGCAGGAAAACTCACCTCCACAATACGCACGGGCCACTCCATTCTCCGTTTATCCCATCCTTAGATGTACAGGTAATAGTGTCATTTCCAATAAGAGGGTAGCCTTTGTCACACCTATAGATTACAACTGTCGCATAGTAGAAATAATCCAAATACTCTCCATTATGGCGTCCATGGGGAATCTTTGGTGGTGGCAAACATGGAATAACTAGAAGGAATGGGAAAGTCAAAAACTGAAAAGAATATTTGGTGTCTTTTTTAGCTGAATATGTACTTTTCAATTAATTCATTAGTTCATTTTCTTCTGGACTTATATTGGCATGAAGCAATAAAATACTTTTATATATTACATAGTACTACTTACTCTCACAAAAGGGAACTTCATCAGTCCATTCCATTTTATTGTCCCTTACTTTACACTTTCTGGTAGACTTGCCAATCAGCCTATACCTATAGGAAGACAAAAAAACAAAAACAAACAAACAACCCAGCATGTAATCATTTTATTTTTTGTAGAAGAATGCAGACTTTAGATGATTAGGATCAAAATCAAATGGATATTCTAGATTCATTTGTCTACTCTAGTTCAAAATGACCTGTTGTTTCTAGAGGTGGCCTTCAGGTCTGAGTAAAGTGCAGGGATAAAGATGACTAAGGACCTCATAAAATATTTTAGTATTCATTCATCCCATGGTTTTTTATTCATGTTGTGTCAGTTGATATTTACATGCATTCATATGTGTAGACAGACATCATATGTGTTTGTGTAGAGACAGATTGCTAGACTGCAAAATAGCAAAGTGCAGGAGAAATGACTTTCCCTAATTGCTAAGTCTTCTTTTAGCAAAAGTCTTATATGTTTATAATCATACAATGCAAGGAGAAATTTCCTATTGTTTTTTATTCCTTAGAGGAAATATATCAGAAGGGAGAACATGTTCAATTCTGCTGTTTATTTATGCGATCTGTGAACCTGACAGTTGTCTTTTTTCATTCAGTTTAGTCCTAATTTTTGCTGGTGCTCTTGTTTTAGCAAATTTAGATTAAAAGAGAAAGATGCAAAAATGCAGCAGCAGATTGAGGGCTCCCAACCTAGCCACTACTGCTCCTTCCCCATTTAGGCACAGGCCTTGCCCAATGACTGGTGAGGAAAGTGGGATTTTCTCCATCCCACCCAAAAGAGTTCTTGCCAGACAATTTCAGGTTACACTGTTCAAAGGAGGAAGAAATAAACAAGAAGAATCACACCACTGGAAATTATGTTGGATTCCCTGTAACTTACCCTTCATCACACTGGTAAATTGCAGTGGATCCTAAGTCAAAATCGCCTGTTACAAGCAATCTGCCACCCTCTGGTTCTCCTGGATGTCCACATGTTTTTCCTAGTGGAAAACATAAGAGGACTTCTACTTTGCCATGTTACATTGTAGCACAAAATGTATAAAACTGATTCAAGGTTTCTGTCTGAATTTAGCAGAAAAATCTATTGCCTTACATAAATTTACAGAATTTGTAATCAGAATAAAAAAGACTTACGTTTACAAAGCTCCTGAACTTTTGACCACTGCTGGTTTGTATTACACGTACTAGAGTACGCCCCTGGCTTTTTCACATAACCTGGTCGACATTTGTATTTCACTGTTGATCCAACAGGAAAGAAATCTTTTTCTTTATATTCATCCGTTAACTCAGCAGAAACTAACCTAGGTGGGTAGTCACAGCTATCTAATGGGGAAAAAAAAAAAGGCAGCAATGAAATTTGCCAGATTCAATTTTCAATTTAGTTTCCATTTCTTGCCCTATGATCTGGAAGCGGCTCACCATATCTTGGAATATAAGGGAATGTGATCATACTTACAGAGTTAGAGCTGATTTATTCCATAAAGTTCCTAGGCCTCTCCCTAAATGTCAAATTTTAAGACCATCTTTGCTTAATAGCTTATTTATTGTCTCCTTTCCATTCAAAAAGGGATGTGGTGGCTCAGTGACTAAGACGCTGAGCTTGTCGATTGAAAGTTCGGCAGTTCAGCGGTTCGAATCCCTAGTGCCACGTAACAGGGTGAGCTCCCGTTACTTGTCCCAGCTTCTGCCAACCTAACAGTTCGAAAGCACATAAAAAATGCAAGTAGAAAAATAGGGACCACCTTTGGTAGGAAGGTAACAGCATTCTGTGCGCCTTTGGCGTTTAGTCATGCTGGCCACATGACCATGGAGATGTCTTTGGACAGCGCCGGCTCTTCAGCTTTGAAACAGAGATAAGAGTCGGGAACGACTAGCACATATGCGCGAGGGGAACCTTCCATTCAAAACACTTCTTCCTGTCAGCTCCTTAGTCCATTTCAATCCCCCCCCCCCCGGGTTGGCTACAGTACCTGGAGAAAAACTGTGTGTGTGCACGCGCACGCACGCGTGCTAGTGTATGCCCATGCATTTGAAAAACCTTGTCATGTTCTTTTTAGTCATAAATATGAGAGATCCTTCCAATGCCTGGGCTTGGTTGTTTTCTTGCAGACATTTCATTAACCAAACTAAGTGATATCACTGATGATGTTAACTAGTTTGGATAGTGAAACATCTACAAAAAAAAAAAAAAAAAGTTCAGAGGGTAACAAGGATCCCTCATTTCAGCCCTGAGCTACAAACATTTTCCTTTATCGGAGTCATAAATATGCCTGCATATTTGGGAGATTACATACCAGGATAGCAGACTGTGTCTACTTCCCCATTCTATGACGGGAGTGGATGAATGGATAAATAATATAACTTCCAATAACAATTATGTATCTTGAATTGTCATGACTTCCTCCTGTAAGTTCTCTCATGTTGTTTCTCCTTTGCTATAGGCAGAAGTAAGCAGATCTAAGATGAGCATACATGTCTTGTTTTGAAGCAGAACACTGTGCCTCAAAAATTCTCCCAAACCATCCTAGGTGGGTTGCAGTTCAACAGGACTAAAACCTGGATTTCAGTTCTTCTGGGGCTCAGTGGAAACAAAATGTGAAACTGGCGTGTGAGTCAAGCATGGCAAGGCTTGCATACTCTTGTCTCCTTCCTCTTTTGCATGGTCCATGTGCTGGCCCACCAGCCCACCTTCCCAGAACTTTTGCTTCCCTACTTCCTTTTCACTTCATGTGTGGTTTTAAGATATTATTTCAAGACAAATTATAGCAGATGGGAGATGCCATTAGAGGTTTATCAAATAAATGGTTATGGGAACATTTTGTGAAAAAAGCTTCAGAGACCTCATACCTTAATGAAGTTAATAATAAAGGAGACTGGAGGGATCATATCACAGTTTTTAAGATACTGCATTCTAATGCATTATAACTTATTAAGAAAGTCTGTGATTGTATTCTGTTGATGGTGGATATCCAACCAGCCTCCCCCCATACACGTTTTCTTCACCTCTCATTACATAATTTTTGAAAATGAGGACATCATTGGCAGCTTAGGACAAGTAGAAAAAAGATATATGTGAAAATAGCCAAGCAGATTGGATATGTTGCATTTGAAACCAAAGACACTGGTGAAGGCTATTGCACTGACCCACCTATTCCTTTTTCTAGAGCCTTACTTTTCTTACCTCCTCTCAGATGCAACTGTGCTACTGCCATCACTGTCTATTGGCTTTTTCTCACTTTTCACCTGACACAATTCCATTTGAAATTCAAGTTTTTGAGTTTTAATATGGATCAAGCACATTTATCTTAGTCTGCATATTGGCTTCTAGCAACTAGCTGTCCCATACATGGATCATTTTACACATCTCCTGGAGGCAGGAGTAACAAGACAAAATGTTGGAGGATGGACCTGTTTTGTGCCATCTAGTCTGTTGCTCTCCCATTTCTGTCCTATATGGTAGACCAGATCAAGAAACAGATGCCATGTACACCCTAAACCTTTTATTAAAATGTCTACAGTAATTTAAAAAATCTGAATATTTTCTCCCATCCCTCTTATCTATGTATGAATTAAGGAAGAGAGGTGCCTAAATAATTTTCATAAATCTCCACCTGGTATGAGCTTAAGCTATTTTATTTCTTTGATAATCTTTCCTCTCTCCACCAAGGCCATTCCCTCTACGCTATAGCCCCCCTTCCAACAAGGCACATTTCCTACTACTCAAGATTCAGAGTCTAGCCTGGGCAATTTCTTTATATGTAAGAAGGCATTTATAAGTGTTCAAAAAAGCTTTGTGTCGGGCAGGACATCTTGCCCTAAGTATAACTTTCTGTGAGAAATCATCTTTTTTCTGGAAAGCCAGGCTACATTATATTTGGTTCCATCATTGTGGAATAAGCAATTTCATATTACATCAATTTCTAAGAGATTTCCCTTTAGTTTGTAAGCCAAGATAATTTCAGCAAATTGGAATTTTAATGCTAAGCACAGTATCAGTGAATATATAAAGCTGGTATTTAAAAACATGCAGGGATTGCATATACTCTAGAGGAAGGTAGTAGCCCATTTTTTTTATTATTTCAAGTTTCAAAGTTCCATGAAAAAAGAAAGCACAATCGGTTGAAGGATCCTATAAAGACTGAGAAATAGTTAAATCTAAAGAAAAAGTAATATCCAGGCTTTGTTGTCTGTGGTTATAGCTATCAAGTGTCTACTCTGTAAAGGGTAGCTAATTTCAAGGTGTTGCTTTTTGCCTTAAAAGTCCTTCATAGCATGGGTCCAGATTATTTGAGGAACTGTCTCACCCCAATGGGAATGGCCCGCCCCACCTACTAGCAGAAGGGGAATGCTGCAGACTGTGTCAGTCAAAGGCTGGCAGGGTCTAGAAAAAACCTTTTTTGCTATGGGTCCTGCCCTTAGAACATCCTGCCCCCCGAGGTCAGATCTGCACCCACCCTTTTGGCCTTACAAAAAGACCCGAAGTCCCAGCTCTGGTCTGTGTCCCCGATGGGGCATGTCATCCTGGGAGGTGGGTAATTGGAGCCAGAGTTGTATTGCAGCTAGATTGCTAGATGATGATTCAAGCTGTTATTGTATATATTTGGGAGCTGGCCCAATTCATCCCACCAGACTGTTGTGAGAATAAAACAGAGAAGAAACTACATTTGCTACTTTATTTTGCTGGAATAAAAAAAGTATGTATTGGCATATTTTTAAGATAAGTCAGTTTATTAAATAATCTGACAGAATTGTGCAAAAAGTGGCAAGAAAACAATTTCCATTTCTAGTAAATTAAAATGTTGGCAAGCTTTGACGAGAACCAATTCTCAATCATACTCTTCCATGGAGTTCAGTGGATAATCAGTATTTCTCAGTTTAAACTAATAGTCAGGGCTGAGAAGCTACATTTCAGGTGGTCTGTGAAGTCAAATAAGTATTTTTAAATTTCTCATTTTTAATTTCTAACACAGCCAGTATCAATAGATATAATCCATATAAACCAAAGCTTTTTGGCTTTCTCAATCATTTTTAATCATGTAAATGGATCCTATAATCAAACTGTTGAAGAATCATTATTTTAAGAAAAGACAGGCTTTAAATGCAACACAACAAAATGAATTCCTCTTAATTTTAAAACTATTTTCAAAGTGTTTGCCAAGATAATAAGCAAGGTAAAAGGCAAACAAGGCTTGGAGGAAAACTAACAGTATTCTAAATTTAGCCAGGATGAAGACCAGTATTGCGGTTACATGACAGTGTATATTTACAGGTACAAATGTGGAAGGAAATTCACCCTGCAGCTAAAAACTGAGCAAGAAAAGGAAATGAAAGCTATTATCAACTTTATTTTAAATTTAGATTTCTCCCCTATCATATTTCAATAACAAAAAAAAATATACTTCATATGTTACTATTGACACAATATAGTAATGGATTCAAAAGCTACCAAGAAAATGATAATGGCTCTTAATTTCATTAAATCTATGAATATACAAACAACACTCAGAATTTTACTGCGTATATTTAAAATCTGCAATGTAATACAGTAGAAACCTTCAGTTAATTTAGAACCATTAGATCTGAACTGGAAATATCAAGAGTAATGGAAAGAAGGAGATATTCTGCCATGCAATGATTTATTATTATTTTTTGAAATTTTGCAAGCTAGTTCCGATAGACATAACTCCAGTGAATATAAATGAGGGGAGAAAAGCCAGTCATAACTGAGAAAATACTGCATTTAAATAATGGCGTTCAATCACTAAATATCAGGAGCTGAACACAAAATCAGATTTAATTCCTTGGCCTTTGACCTCTCCAGAGCTTCCAACAAGCTCTTTTCTCCCAGGTGAGGATCAAAGTTCAGAAGAAAAGAGTTATCAGAACCGGAACAGAATACATAGTTAATTTTTAAACTATTTGTGGAGAGAGAGAGGGTTGACAGAGAGAGGTTAACATTACAGAAACTCAACCAACTTCCATCTTCTCACCTTGGTTCACTAAAGGAGCAGCCAGGAAGGTAGCAGCAAACGAAAGGCTGAGTGTGCAGACAGAAATCATTGCTCTTGTTTCAGTGATAACTATGAAGCTGATAGCAGAACTCATGCCCTTATGTATATAAATACAAAAGAGGAAGCAGCAATAGTAGTAAGCAAATAAAACAGGGGCTTTCGTACCAAAAGCCCCATAGGAACCAGTTTTAGACAATAGAACTTGCTGTTTCTTCATCTTGCACATCCTGCAGTTTTATCAATAAGACCAGTTTCAGAAGTACTGGTACTGAGCACCCCATAAATATAACATACATACAAAATCAATGCATGCATATTGGTCACCCCAATAGTTCTGTATCCATTTAGTCTGAGGTGAAATAAAATGCTGGATTATTATCTAGGCTGTTCTTGCTGCCATTTGACTAGGAAAAATTATGGGAGTTTTTTAGAAACTAATGAATCTTATTAGCTAGCACAAGGAGAAATTAACATTTGAAGGTTGGAATAAAAATCGCATAGTCATTTATTGTCAGTAATGATTGTTAATAACAGACACCAAACTGCATTTCCCAATTAGATTAGATGAATAGGAAGGACTTTTTGATAAATGCTACATTTAATAACTGCCACAAAACCTCTTGTGGAAAGTTGTTTTGCATGATCTTCTCAAAAAAACCTAGCCCATTTTAAGAAATGCAATCTTTAGAACTTTTTGTCAGTTGAAATAAATCAATAAAAATCAAAAAGAGTTTTCTCCTACCATTCAAAATATGCAATTCTAATACATTCATATTTCAACCAAGGACACTTATCGGTAAAAACCTATTTTGTTACAGTAAGATTTCAGTTCTACTCACAAAGCCTCTCCCCCCCCCACCCCCCAAACTATGTATGAATGTATAACTGGTAGTTTCTACAGTCAGCGTTAAGAATTACCCTACCATCAACTCCCGAAATAACTTTATAAAGAACTGTGGTAAGTGTTCAGTGCAATGCAATCTTTAATATTACCATTGCCAGACATTTCTCTATATACAAACATTGCATTTAATTTTTTCATATAAGGAATACAATAAAATTTACAAATACAACTTTTACAAACTAAGGCAAAATACTTTCTTGAATACTGTAAGTATCCATGCTAGCCAGACTGATGCCAAAATGACCTAATGTATGTTGCAAAATCACACAGAACATCACAACACACATTTTGTCGCACAGACATACACACCCCGTCCCAAACTCGTATGCTGAACATTTCAGGATCGGTTCCATTCAGTCAAAATATACCTTCTCATCACAGTGATGTTGACTGTTAAAATATAAAACAGAACACAATTTATATTAGGCAAAGCTTACTGTTCCAGCATAAATTTAAAACCCAGAAAGCAAGGTTAACTTTTCTTTGGCTTGTCACATGAACTCAGAAGCCTGATTTAAGAGCCAGGGTGTTAAAAGAACAATACAGAACTTGTTGACTCTTCCATTCTAATATAGTCATATCTTGATAACTGCATAATGCATTATCCCTGAAGTAGAAACATGATAGGTCCCTCAAATTCTGTATCTGAGTGATAACAAGCAGACACGCTAAGAGATACTCTGAAAGGATTTAAGTGAATGTAGAAGCAGCATATGTAGTCTTGTAGATCATATGTTGATTGTTTCATGTATTAACTGCCTTATACAATGGTCAAACTGTAAAACGATGAACTTTGAACTCAGATCTTCAGTGAGTTCCTATCTTCAGTTCTCAAGCGAAAATGTTACTGAAGGTTAAATGAAATTTTATTGCAGAAGTTCAATGGACTCAGATCAGACTTTTTCTTTTTCTTTTTCTTCCAAAGCCATATCTTTCTCTGAAACTACACGATAATTATCAGTAGAGGCAGAAGGAATGTTAGTTTTCCTGTAAAAAAAAAAAAGACACAAAAAATAAATTCATATTTACACATTCCTTTTAAAGAAGTTTTCAAAAATTATTTTCTTCAGTCCTGTTAATAAGCAAAAACCACACACACACACACATTCATTCTGTGAGATAAAAGAAAATGTAATATTAGGAAAATCCACCTCTGGAAATATAAGCGTTTTACATTAATAATTGCAGAATATTTGACATAAAAATGAATTATTCTATAAGCACAACAGATTTAGTGTACAAAAAAATGATGTTTTTAGATAATTGCTGTGAAATCACAAATCAGAACCTCTTTTTTACCCATGGGAAAGCTGTGTGATGTCAATGCTGAAATCTCACAAGTCAAATATCTTCAGTCAAAACCAAGCTTTCTCTACATCTAGCACTGAAGCTATCTCAGATGTATGGCAGTGATTAGAAGGATGGGAGGTATAATACTTAAGAGAACCCTTGCATATTAATACTTCTCATGCAGTGCATCACTTCGAGCTAGGAAGTGTATAAGGAACTGTAGACTATGCCCAACACTAATATATAAATTTACAAGTTTATATAAAAGTTTAGCTTCTCAGGTTTTGATGTTGATAAAAATATTTAAATCATCTACAGTAGACCCATTCATTTGAACCAGAAGTTAAAAAGCAGAAAGGTAAAAAGTATATAATTACAGTATGTTCCCTCATGATAAGTTTCGGAATATAGGGAACCATTATTAAGTATAACCCTGGTTATATGTGTGTGTGTGTGTGTGTGTGTGTGTGTGTGTGTGTGTGTGTATATATATATATATATATATATATATATATATATATATATATGTGTGTGTGTGTGTGTGTGTGTGTGTGTGTGTGTGTGTGTGTGTGTGAATATATATATATATATATACACACACACACACACAAATATATATGATGCAGACTGCATCATCTGCAAACTATGAGTGAGCAATAAGAGAGAATCCCATTAGTGATGAAGTTTATGCCTGAGTTGATTTACATGCTTAGTGCATCAGTAATACCAAGCTTGACATGAGAGCATGGCTTCTGGAAGTTTTTCCAATCTCTTAATAGCAGTATAGCACCTAGGTCATGTGACCAGGAGAAAGCAGGCTTAAGAATGAAGCAAACCACAACCTTCTGAGCTATTGGCCAGCTAATAGCCTTTTCCATTGGGGTCTAGTACATTTTCAATCTCAATTTTTCATTACATTTGGACTGCTGGATTAGAAAGAAAATGGATATTACATAAAAATCCAGCAGACAAGAAAATCCATATTCTATGCTCAGAATTATGAAAACAATTCAGTTGGTAAACTGACCAGTAAAATGTTTAAGTGCTTATGCAGTTCCAAGAACTATAGTTTAGAACTATGACACATTTTTTCAGAAAACATATTTCTTATCTTTACTTTTACCTGCATCCCAACGCAGGCAAACACTACTCTTAATCGTAATGTGAGATACTTATTTAACATTGAGAACACTGTATGATAATGTGTATAATCCATAAATTCATTAGTTACAGCAGTGGTTCTCAACCTTCCTAATGCCGCGACCCTTTAATACAGAAACCAAGGGTGGGTTCTAAATTTTTTTACTAGCGGTTCTGTGGGCGTGGCTTATTTTGTGGGCGTGGCTTGGAGGTCATGTGACTGGGTGGGTGTGGCTAGCTGGTCATGTGACCAGGTGGCCATGGCTATGTGTATAGGGACTACTCAGAGGGCTGAAAAAAGTCATTTCTGACAGGTCCTCGCACTTTTGACTGGTCCTCACACTTATGACCATCCTCACATTTATGCCCGTGCAGCATTCTTAACAACCATGTCACTCATTTCACAACTGCTTCTCTTCACCATGGTGACAAGATAGGGCAAAAACGTAAAATGTTAGGACAGTCATAAGTTCGAAGACTGGTCAAAAGTGCAAGGACCAGTCAGAAATAACTTTTTCAGTCCTCTGAGTAGTCCATATGCATAAAAGGATACAGCAATAGAGAGGGATGAAGGAAGGGAAGGGAAATTAGAGTAGGAGTGAGGGTAAGAGAGGGAGGAAGAGAGGAGGAGAAGGAGAAAGGAAGAGGAAGTAGGGAGGAGAAGAAGAGGGTGCGGAAGAGAAAGTTAGAAGGAAAGAAAAGAGAGAGGTGGTAGGTTTGAGGAGAAAGATTGCTGTACAATAAAAAAGATGAAAGGGAAGAAAGCCAATCCCAAACAAATATAAAGATATTAAGATAAAGAATGAATTGTTAAACTTTAAAGAATAAAAGAGAACAAATATGAATAAATAACAATAATTAGAAACACACATACAAACATACAATGTATTTTCTTTGAACAGAGTATTTGGCCGGTTCATAAATTTAAACAGTGTTTAGTCATTTCAATTAAATTTACAATTTCTATATTTCCTTTTTGCCATATTTATTCCTCATCTATTTTTGTAAAAAAACCAATATTACCCTTCATTCTCATCTCTAATCTTAATCAAATTCAATTTTTCCCTACTATTCTATATTATACCCCTTCCCATTGTCATCTATTTTTATATCCATCCTCACATTGGTTAATTATGTAATATTACAGTTATTTAATATGAATTCAACATTTTAATATAAATCAATTAGTTATATAACTACCTTTTTTGTATATTAATCAATATGAACATGAATATTCCAATTATTTCCATGCAATCCAATTTCTTACAAATCAATTAATTATATTTACCAATAATAATAAACCAAATAATTTCCCCATATATTCCTCCAAACCACAACTTAACCATTTCTGCTTTCAACACAATATACAATTAATAGTATCTCAATTATTACAATTCCCTAGTTAATTCCCTACAATTCCCTTTTTTCTTTTGTGTTTTAAAATCTCCTCTTTTTCCCTAAATTTCCCGTTGTTTGCACCTACCTTTTTTGGTGAGGAAAAAGAAATCTGCCTGCCTAATTTTTCAACGTGCAAAGCCAACAGCCTGCTTTACTTTCTCTTTTGTTTTTCAGTATAGCTAGGGGGAAAAAAATCTGCACTCTTTCCAAGCAAGCAGCAGAGCTCTGAGCAAAACAGCTGAAAGCAAATCAGCTGGGGGTCGGGAGCTGATCTAAGCAAGGGCTAATTAGCCTATGCTGAAGCTCCGTGGGCCAATAAAATTACAAAAAAACACCGAACCCTTTGTTAAATTGCTGGCTCCCCCGCCCCTCGCCCACCACTATTTATTGGCAATAAATAGTGGTGCGGAGGGGCGGGGCAAGCCAGCAATTTAACAAAGGGTTCGGCTGCACCACTGGCTCTAGGGCGGCCCTTTGAAGCCCCGCGGCAAGAATTTAAACAGTTTTTTTTCCTCTAGCCATCGGAGGCAGCAATAGATTGGGAGTGGGCGGGGTAAACGAACGGCCGGCGATCCAACAGAGCAGAGAGTGAGGGTGAGTGAAGGCGTGGGGGGGGGGAGAGTGCTTTGGCGACCCCTGTGAAATGGGGTCGCGACCCCCAGGTTGAGAACCGCTGAGTTACAGGATATATTTGCATTTTTCAAGTATGTAACCTGATATGTGTTAGCAATTTATTTTCAAAAGTCTATCTTTAAAAAGAGATTTCAGTAAAATAACTTTAATGCTAGCCTAGCACAGATACAGAATCTTGGAAAGTCCAAGAGAAATCTCTGGTCCTCATTGACAGTTTATTAAGACCGTTTCTTAAATAATTTGAAAGGTTTCTTTCCACCTGTGCCAAGGTACTGCTTTTTGAGATGGGCCATTCCCTTTCCTCCTCTAAAGAAGGAGTAAAGAACAAACAGTGCCATTAGCAGCTGAAGACAGTTGTGATAGCCTTTGGGTTTTTGTTTATGCAGATGTGGCAACTGAACATACATGTTGAATGTAAAATGCTGGTGCGACCCCTCAAGGAGCCATTGTTAAACCCCACCATTCAGGTGGTTACAGCTTCAGAGGATCCTGGAAAAAAACAGATTATCCGAACCCTTTTCAATCAAGTTTTAGACCTGAATATGAAGCAAAATTCAAAATATGAACAAAATGAGGAAGTGATAAGCTGCAAAGGGAAAGCAAAGGGAAATCAAATCATTAAAAAGCGAAAGTTAGAATATTTTGGACATGTGATACGACAACCAGAAAAATATGGCCTCCTTCACTTAATCCTCCAGGGAAAGATTGAAGGCAGAGGAGGTCCAGGCAGAAGATCATCATGGCTTCAAAACCTAAGGGTCTGGTTTGGACAAAACTCAGCAGCTCTTTTTCATGCGGCTCTTGACAAAAATAGGATTGCCAACATGATCGCCAACATCCGATGACGGATATGGCAGAAGAAGAAGAGTAGAACAAAATTGGTTGCACTCATGGATGACCTCTGGTGGAAGGGGGATGGAAGTGCTACATACATCCTTATTCTTCTTGATCTCTGGGCAGCTTTCAATACCATTGACCATGGTATCCTTTTGGGCTGACTTAGGGAGTTGGAGATGGGTTGCACAGTTCTGGGCTGGTTCACCACCTTCCTCCAAGGCTGCTCTAAATCAATGTTGATAGGGAGCATGAAGTCCACCTCTCGGCCCCTGCTAGGTACTCTCTCTACTACTTTTTAACATCTATATCAGGGGTGTCAAACCTGCGGCCCGTGGGCCGGATGTGTCACATGCTGGCCACGCCCACCCCCATTTTAGCAAAGGGTAAAAAAGTCACAATACATCACATGATGTGATGATGTAAGTTTAACATCCCTGATCTATATGAAAGCCCTGGGTGACTTCATCTGTCACCATGAGATAAGGTATCATCAGTATGCTGATGATATCCAGTTGTACATCTCCATCCTGGATGAAGTGAGTGATGCTATGGATGTTCTTTTGTGGAGTCTGGAGGCTGTGGGGGCCTGGATGAGACATAACAAACTTCGGCTGAGTAAAATGAAGTAAAATCCTAGTAAAATGGAGTCGCTGTGAATAGGGAGCCCCTTTGCATCCAGGAGTATATTTAGCAATATAAAATCACTGCTATTTATTATAACAGTAAATAAGTTATATGCGTTTCCAGCCTTTAGTGGATGATATAAATTTGATTGAAGAATGGTTCTTCATGTTATCCTGTAGCTAAAATATAAAATCTAAAAGTAAAGAACATTTCAGCACTTTTAATGCCACAGTTAATTAGAAAAAGAGGGATAATTCTTAAATGAAGTCTGAGGTGCTCAAGTAAGGGAAGGGAAGGAAAGTGGGGAGCTGTAAGTCTCTGGAATAAGAGCTGTTTTAAAATATACATTATCCAGAAGGATGTTTTTGACTTCAAGTTATTCAAAGCATTTGATCAGGAATCAAACTGTACAATTTATATGAGTTAATTTTATAAAAAAAAAAGGAAACAAGGCGAAGAAAGCAAAATCAAATCAATTGAGAAAACAGGCATTCCCACTTCTTCTGGGTGCTTGTTTAAATCAGTTCGCTCATCTTCATTATGAAGACCTCCCCCCACTCTGCAAAAGAACATAGTAAGTTGGATGATGTTAATAGAAAATCTGAAAACAGAAGATTGATTATTTAAAGAAGATTTTTAGTAAAATAAAGACTTAATTAGCATGTTGTGGTCTAAAAGGCATCTAAGGGAAGACAGATAATATTCAATTAGAAATTAGAAAAATGAACAGATTCAAGAAGGAAAGATCCAGGATTTACTAATCTTAAGCAATAAGACAGTATTTCATAAATGCTAGAAAAAAGAAAGTTCATAGTATTTTTTTTTGCAAAGCATCACATTACAGCTTCCTACAGATTGCACAAGTGTTATGTCTACTAAGACACTCAAAAATATCTATTAATTACTCTATCAAAAGATTACATCTATATACTCTTCAAAAGTAAAAATGAGCACAAGTAATGATAGTGATTAAAGCATTACTGCTCAAAGTGCCTGTGGTTAAGAAAACTGATTTGAAAATCAATTTATGAACAAATCTAAATTAGTGCTTATAACAGTGATGGCTAACCTTTTTGCCGTCGCGTGCCAAAACCGGGGGGAGCATGGGAGGTCACGGGTGCCTGTGCCCACATCCATAATTCAATGCGCCCCGCCCTCCCACGCATGCGCACGTGACCCCCCCCACTTCCCCTGCTTTTGGCACGTGGTGGCACGGTGGGCCCAGTAGGCCTGTTTTTCCCTCTCCCTAGGCTCCAGAGGCTTTCTAGGAGCCTGGGGAGGGCAAAATCAGCCTTCCCCATCCCCCCAGAGGCCTTCCAGAGGCTGGAAACAGCCAGTTTCCCGACTTCCGGTGGGACCGGAAGGCCTGAAAATCAGTTGGCTGGTGCGCGCATGCAGGCTGGAGCTGAGCTAGAGCAACACTTGTGTGCCGACCAATATGACTCCGCGTGCCATCTGTGGCACCCGTGCCATAGGTTCGCCATCACGGGCTTATAACATCCTGAAACTATATATGAATGATATGAAAATAAAGTTAACAATGCTGTATCAAAAACAATACTCCTGCACAGAGACAGAAAGCAAGCAACATACAAAACAAGATTTCCATTGTAATCTGTCTAGAAAGATACCAAAGTTGCAAGTAGACTAAAAGCTGTCCAAAAGGACAATACAAATTTCACAGAGAACCATTCCAATGATTCCATTTCATTAGGGTACTAGGAAGTCAGAGACAAAAATCTCTGATATCAGCAGATCAGGGCAATATGAATACTCTTACTTTTTTCAACAAACATTGCCAAGTCTGCAATTAAACAAATAGCAAACAGAAATAGAGACAGTTCAGCCCTGTCACTCCAGAACACCAGTGCTGGAGATGTGATTAAATTCAATTTAGCCATTCTAGACAAACTATAATTCTTCCTTTGCTGCAGATCTTTGCAATTGTTAAGCACACAGCATAGAAGTTACTTCTGGACACAGAGCACATTTATAAGAAAATTGTAGGCTTTAGAGACGGCACTGGCAAGTTGGAGATGGCTGCTCATGCAGCTACGAAGAAGCTAGGAAGAATCAGAGACAGCATATCTTGGGCTGACTCACCCCTGGCGAAGGAACCATTTCACAGCTACTATAATTAAAGCAGCCAGAACTATAACAGCAAGGACAGCTCCTTGAAGGGAAAAAAATAATGTGATAGCTTCAAATTCAAAATTATACCAATCATCACATACAAACTCCTGACAGTACTTTCAAGGTATGTTACAGACCACCTTGTCCATATCACATTGTATATACAGCGGAAACCGAAAACCAGGATCCACAGACAATTTCGTATATAAATTACATTACATGTTTGAATTAGTGGCCATTTTTTTTCAACATTTCCTTATTTGCTGCATTATCTTTGAACACTTAGTAACATTTTCTCTGAAAATAAATAAATGAAATATATTCTGATTGGCCTACGGGGACTGACATTTGGTACACTCCCTTATGTATGTAAAAGCATCTGACTGCAGAAAAAAAAGGGGGGATTTGAATTGCTTTAAAAAGATGTTTCAGAATGCACGGAAGCACATTTGCAGCATCCATGTGAGATTAATTAAAGTTCTACATTTTTTTTTATCTGGGATCATGTGACTGCAGAAAGGAAGCTTCAGATTCTGCTGAGCATTCCTGGAATCAGACGAAGTTTGCTATAGTGAGTTGTACATAGCTGCTGCTTTATGCTTGTACATGTTCTGAACAGAATCTGAAGTTCAACATTCAATAGAACTGTCAACCCTGGAGCCATTTGGAGTGTCTTCAGGGTTGCCACAGCGAGGCCCGATAGAGCTGTGGGAAAGGGAGGGGGGAGTAGAGATAGCTGGGGAACTATGTAGCCAAAATGACATTCTTTCTTCTGGGAGCCAGCACCTGGCGGGGCATCGATGGGAATCATCCAGGGCATGGATGGGAGTCATGTGACCTGATTGGGGCATGTGATGGTTGTGTATAATGGGGAGAAGAACTTTGGATTTTGAGTTGGGTGGAAAAACCTGGGGAGATTCAGAGTCAGGTTTTCACCAGCTGTGCCAATATGACATGCCTAATAAATCTATACTTTGAGGAAGCCTCAGGCCTTGGGAGTTTTGATTTCATTCGGGCTGTTACTTGGAACCCCGACAAGAATTTTTATAGAAAAAAATGTCAAATGCAACAAAGGTATTGATAAATGGGGGGGGGGGGGAGACTAATTACACCACTGAGTGGCAAACAGTCACCCTGCACAAGAATAAAACCAAACCAGAGATAAAATAAATGTAGCGTCAAGAATTGTACCTTTAATATTTTCTCACTTTCCTGGTATCCAATTTAATTCAATAATAAGGTATGTGCTATATTTATAATAAAACCAGAAAAGGCTTAAGCCACTCCATAAGCATAAATAGTGATTACTGTTAATATTGATGAGAGCAGCAGAGAAAAGAAAAAATTAGTGCGGCCTTCTAATCTCACAAATTGGACAAAGTCCAGAATAGAACTAAGGACTTGTTGGAGTATTGAGAATCAGGGGCCCTCTCTGGAATGAGAAAACAGAGAGGGAGGAGCCTGTCTCTCTTTGACCCCAGCTGGCTGAGAACTAGATAGTGATTGGTGGGCAGGATAATTTAAGAGAGGGAATATAAAAGCTACAGTTTTAGACATGGGGACAGAAATTGCATTGGTCACTCTCATGGTTGACTTGTGCTGGGAGGGTCTCTCAACAGCTCTCCCAAATGGGGACATTTTGTTACAGTAGTTCCACATCTACCTGATCTATTAAACATTGAAATGAAACCTACTGGGCAAATTAATTTGCCACGGTAGGATGATGTATCTTCAATATGTGGATGATACCCAATTGTACATCTCCATCCAGGCTCAATTATAGATGTAGTAGAAATTCTATCCCAGGGCTGGTGGCTATTATGGTTTGGATGGGGAGAAACAGACTGCAACTTAAGCCAAACAGGGTAGTGTTACTATTACTTTAAAAGCCTTATGATTCCAAGTGTCTTTGACCCTTGATGAAGTTATGGCCCTGCAGAGAGAACAAATTTGCAACTTTAAAACTTCCGGATTTACAGCTCCTGCCTAAGGAGCAGACAGAAGTTAGGGCAGGAGGCATTTTGCCCAGCTTTGGCTGATTTCCAGTTGCAATCTTACCTAGAACAGGATGCTATGAGGAAGATTATGATCTTGTCTCTCCTGATTACAATAATTCTGTGCTGGTTACCAATGTGTTTCCTAGAGTAATTAAAAGTTTTGGTTTCTTTATGGCGTGGGACTGGGTAGCTAACAAATAACTTTCCTTTTATTGCTCCTGCCCATTGCACTTTTCCCAAATTGTTCCTGCCCATCCCTCTTGGATATGGAGACAGTATCCATGGAAGGTCCCTACCAAACAGAAGTTGCAGTGGAAGATGTGTTAATAAGAAGTATTTTCAGTGGCCGTTCACTGAGGGACAGCTTGTCCCCAATCAAGAATGGCTTGCAACGCAACATTTTCAAAAATAGTAAAAACTGATTTTTCCAGAAGGACTTTGGGAATTGATTACTGTAGAGACACACGTGTGTGTGTATGCATGTGTGCATGTGCATATGCATGAATATATGTAAAGGGTACACTTTTCTTACATGCTAATATTTGCTATGGATAATATTTTTATGGAATTTTAAAAATGTATATTTTGCTATTTTAATATTTGCAGCCCCTGTGATCTATGAAAATTGAGATGGTAGAGTATTCAGTCTGAAAACAGATACCTTGAATAATAAGCTTAATATAAACCTGGACTTCTTCCTTTTTTGGAGGGGGGGGAGGAAAGATGACAAATACAGTTTTCCTCTTGGAATGACTGATTTCTGGAACAACCAGATTTTTTTTTCTGCCTTTTAAGAGATTCCAGCTGTAAAAATGACCCTGATAATAAAGAGGGGGAAAAAACCCCACCGTTTAACCAAAATAATTTCTCAAGTTGAAATACTCTCCAATGAGTTTAACTAACAAACAAACACAGGAAACAAAATATTTAAAAATAGCCAAAAGAGTATCTAAAGCATGGGAAAAATTGTGAAGGCAGAAAAAGATCTTGCCTTATAAGAAGGGGTGGGAGTCATAGCCCCTTCTAAAGACAAAAAGGGAGGAATTGTGCATTAAATAATCTTTGTTAATTTCTGTCAAACATTAAATGCAACCACAGTAGTTCAGTCTGTAAGTACTTACCAATAGCAATTCCAATACGGCTTACAGATCCTAAAAGAGAAAAGAATCCAAAAAAGAAACGTGATCAAAAACTTGAACATATATAGTAAAAAAGAAAGAAAACATTTCTTTAGTTTCACACTATTTTAACATGAATGTACAGTAAATCCATCATGTTATTCCCTTTTTGGGTAAACAAAATTACTCAAAGCACGTAAAAAGTATAAAGCAAAATAAATAAAAAAGCTAAATTTTTGAGATAGCCAAAATGATTAAGGCTAATTATACTAATACAATTCACTACTTGCTATATTGTCTATACTTTAATTCATCAGTACTGTTCTGATAGATTCAATCACTTTCATTCAGAACTTCAATGTCTTTCCCACTTTTTTTAGTTTTGCATACTCATACACATGCATGCAAAACTAAACAAAAGGGAAAGATACTGACATTCTAAATGAAGGTGTCTGAATTTGAATTCAATTTGAAGGTGACTGAATTATTTAATTTGTTAATTTATTATCTTTAACAGTGATTCCAAAAATATTTCAGGACTTTAAGTACAACATTGCACATATATTTTGAAGTATAGGACTGTACAAGAAATTTTGAAATACATTTGTATGAAATTAGCCAGAAAGATTTAAAAAAGGATTCCTGAATAATTCATAATATTCCCTCTCTCTCTTTTATCTCTCATATTTCAGAGAATTTAGAGAAAACTATTTCAGAACAAAAAGTCAAAAGTGACCTCCTATAGAAATGCAAAAACTAATCTAAATAATTACTTTCCATCATCAATACTTTGGGGTTTTACCTGGTTCATCCTTGGGAGTTGCTTGAGTTGTAGTTGGGGGCACTGCAGTTTCTATAAGAAAAAAAAGAGGTTTAAACACTACTCTGGATTTTTCAGGCAATGTCATGCATAACATTTAACAAGCTGATAGACTTGTCTGGGAATAAAGATACCTCAATGTACATATTAGATAAGAATATCTTGCAGGTTACACAGATATCTCAACAAAAGTAGAACAAACCTCCATAAATTATAACAGCTATCTAATAAAGAAAACAAATAGTGGGAAGATAAACAATTTAACTGAAAAAAGCTGAAATAGTATAGTATAGTATAGTTTAGTATAGTATATAATATAATATATAATATAATATATATACACTATAACAGTAATATAATAAATATAATATATAATGTAATAATATATGTTAACATATGTTATAAGTAAAATTCTGCAAGGGTAAATTCAATCAGTATATTAACAGCATCTAGTTTAATCAGAACTAAGCAATGAAAACATATCAACACAAAATCCAAGGCTCGGAGGACCAGTGGAGGTGGTGGTTATGGCAGGGAGGGAAAATGGTTTTGCGCATGCACACTGCTTTCACAAATGTAGTTTTGCATGCATGCACATGCTCACCCACCACTTCTGCAACCCTGTTCTGAATGGGCTATGGTCCAGCATTGAGCTGTGGACCGGGGGGGTGGGGACCCCTGGTATACATGGCAGTTTATAAAAAATTTAAATTTGCCTTTCTTTTTTGAAAGAAAATTTTGATACCGGGGTCCCCACCCACCTGGTCCACAGCTCAGTGGTGGACCATAGCCCATTCAGAAGGGGGCTGCAGAAGTGGTGGGTGACTGTGCACATGGGCATGTACGGAAAGCTGCATTTGTGAAAGCAGTGTGCATGCGCAAAACCATTCCCTCTCCCCTCCGCCCGCCACCACTGGTCTGCCGAGCCTGAAAGGTTGGAGACTACTGATGTATATACTTTTTAAAAAGGGCTTCACAACTTTTTTAAAACAACTTTTTTAGAAACTAAGTCTAAACTGGAATTCACATTCCAAGTTACATGACACAATAGAACATGCACTTCATAGATGAGGCAGAAATTGGATGTAAAGCAGAAAACAGAGGTAAAAATATAAAGCACATATAAAGCATCAAAGAATGTGCAAAAGAACACTATATTAGTGATACCTAGAAATTTACAACACATCATCATCATCATCATCCGCAAAGACGTATATCCAGTGGTGGGATTCAGCCAGTTCGCACCACTTCGGGAGAACCGGTTGTTAACTTTCTGAGCAGTTTGGCAAACTGGTTGTTGGAAGAAATTATTAGGGCAGAGAACCAGTTGTTAAATTACTTGAATCCCACCACTGCATATATCCACAGATATCCATGCACACATTGTGTTATTTTGTTTCCTAAAAAGTCAGAGGAAAAAAAGATCTCTTTGTTTCTCCCATATTTTTCTTTGATTGTTGTGAACCACCTAATTGTTGAGAATTGGGTTGCAATAAAATTTAATAATTATTATTATAGTTCATTGCACAGTTAACCAGATGTTTAGACTGGGTTTGGCGTTTTTATTTAGCTATCAAATCTTTTCCAAGGACTTGGGACAGGCAGATCTAGATGTGTGATAGTGTTACAGATATCATCACAGGATGGAAGCTTTTCTGAGTAAAGCTGCCTTTTGTAATTGGCTGATGATGACTCTGTCAATGCCAATGGTATTCAAGTGGTACTCCAGCTGTTTTGGGATTGCACCCAAGGCCCCTATTACTATTGGGACTACCTTTGCTTGCATTTGCCACAGTTGTTTTATTTCTATTCGTAGGTGGTTGTATTTAGTTCCCTTCTTCAGTTCTTTCTCTTTTATTCCGCTGTCTCCAGGTACTGCCACATTCACTATCCAAACATTATTGTCTTTTTTATTGATAATTGTTAAGTCTGGGTGTTATATGTCAGGGGTCTCTCTGTTTGAATTCTAAAGTCCCAGAGCAATTTGACTTCTTCATTGTTAATGGTTTTCTCTATTTTATGGTCCCATCTGTTCTTGCTTGCAGGCAAATAATATTTCTTGCAGATTTTCCAGGGCACCATTGTTGCTACTTTGTCATGCTGTTGCTTGTAGCCAGTCTGTGTGATCTTCTTGCAGCAGTTTACAGAGTGATTCACTGTTTTTTCAGCTTCTTTGCATAGGCAGCACTTACTGTCTGTGGCTGTCTTCTCAATTCTGGGTTTGTATGCATTTGTTTTTAAGGCTTGGTCTTGTGCAGCCAGAATTAATCCCTTGGTCTCCTTCTTAAACTTTCCTGCTCTTAGACATTGTCAGGTCTTGTTATTATCTGCTTTCTCTGCTTTTTTTTTTTATGTACTGGCCATGAAGTACTTTGTCTTCCCATGCCTCCATTCTGTTCTTCATTTGGTCTTTTCTGTAGGCCAGTTTGGTCTCTCCAGTAGTCTGTAAGCTTTCCTGGTATACTAATTTCTGTGCATCTTCTTCATTGTCCTTCAGATATTCTTCCAAAGCCCTTTTTTCTTTTTCAATCATCAAATGTACTTGCAAGCTTCCATGCCCACCTATTTGTCTTGGTAGTTAAGAGTCTGTCAATGTCGCTGTGAAGATGAAGGGCATAATTCAGGGTCATTTTTCTGGTCTTCCCATCCACTGCTTTTAGTTCTGCTTGAGTCCAGTTCATTATTACCACTTTGTATTTAATGACTGGAATTGCCCAGGTGTCGATTGTCTTGATGGTATTTCTTCCACTGAGTTTGGATTTTAAAATCTTCACTCTCAATATTTTCACCTCTAATTTTTTTTTACTTTGATGTGCTTGAAGGATACCCAAGTATTTGTACTCATCATCTTCATCCAGATTCTGGATGTTATTTTCATAGGGCATCTTGATTCTTTCAGTTTTTTGCTATTTTTCCCTTTGAGTGTGGCATATTTGTCCAGTCAAAACTCCATTGCCATATTTTGCCTATATATAAGGACAGTGTTCAACAGCAATTCTACTTCAGGTGGTGTTTTTCCATTATCCAGATCATCCATCTAAAGGGGGTGAGATAGTCTTGCAGATGTTTTTGATGCAAGAAATGATCATCATGGGCTAAGTTAGTCAGTATTGTTGATAGAAGAAATAGTGGAATGAGATATAGTAGTGGTGATAGTTAATCTCCTTGAAATATTCCTCTCAATATTAACTTCTCCTAGTCTTTCACCATTAACCTGCAACTGTCTTCCATTGTGCCATTGATCTTTGCACAAAGCTTCTAATATTTCTACTGAATCCTGTTATTTCTAAGCACTTGATTATCCAGTCATGTGGCAGAGTTGAATGCTTTTTTGTAATCAATCCATGCTACATTTAAACTGGTCTTTTTTCTCTTGTACTTTTCCAAAAACGTCATGTTGTTTTGTTATTATAATTATTTAAATAAATCCCCCTACTGACACAATGCATTGTCTGTTTAAAAAGAAAAATATTAAAATGTATACAAAGCATAAACAATTAAAGCAGAAGTTAACAGGAACAATTAAGAATAATTGCATTGAGTCAGATATCATGATGGCTGATGAAGAAGGTGCCTTATAGAACTTCCTCCTTTAAAACCTCAAAGGAACAAAAAGGGCAGAAGGAAGGTTAAGGGGAAGAAAAAGCTGAGAATGTATAGAACATTAAAGAAAAGCAAGATGCAGAAATACACTTTCTAAATTAGGCCTTCTGGGAAACTCTTAGACTTAAAGGAAGTCCAAAAATCCCTAGCAATGATAAAATATTCCCAGTAAAAATGAAAAATGAATTCCAGCTACCTTCCCTCTGAGTTAAGACAACAAAGGTTGGCATTATTGAGGATGTTTAGCTCATATTTGGCATAGTTTTAGAGAAAATTTGAGAAGTCAAAAATGTTTTGTCATGGAGAACTCCAGCTGATATATATCAATTTCAGAGATGTGTATAGAACTACAATGATTTTTTTTTTCTTGAGAGGTTTAAGACACACTTCCCCCCTTAAATTTTCCCCTCCCGGAAAATTATTTTGTTTGTATAGACTCCAGATGCACTTTGGGGGTTAAAGTTCAGTAAAGAGATGCTGTCTATTGTGTTGTACAAAAGTAGAAAGCTGAATTCTTGTAGCTACTTGCAGAGTTTTGGTAGACAAATCACATAAAGCAAAGCTGCAAATGTTGCCACAGCTTCCTTAGAGAGATGGCAGATCCCAAGAGTTACTGTCACTTGTCAGCTGTTGATATATGTTTACATAATGATTATGCTGGTTAATGAAAATTAGAAAGAAAGATCCAAATAGCTTTATTAGGCCAAAAATAAACAAAGTCCAAACAAGCAGAATAGTGCTTTTGAGGCACTGAGAAAATCGACCAACTCTATTTCATGTTAACTGATTGAAGAAAGGGCAATATATCTATGGCAAAATGTTGCTTAGCAGTAAGATCGCTATGGCAGTAAGACAGATGTTTTGACTGGGTTTGGCATTTTTGTCCTCCTGCAGATAGTCCTTGACTTATCACCACAATTAAGCTTAGAGTTTCTTTAGAAAGTTGTAGCAATCATTACGGAAAGCACCCCATGTGACTGTCTTGTTCAACAACTGTGATACTGGCTCTCTCAGATATGGCCTTTGCCACGTCTTGTTTATTATCTTCTTTGCCAATTTTGTTTAATGTATTAGCCATGTAATACTTTGCCATGTTTTGTTTTTTTTTATTCTTCATTTGGTCTTTCTTCTGAGCCAATTTGGTCTCTCCAGTACTTAGTAAGCCTTCATGGTATACTAGCTTCAGTGCATTTTTTTTCACTATTCTTCAGCTATTCTTCCAATAACCTTTTTTCTTCCATTGTCTAGTGTATTTGCAACATTCCAGGCCCATCTATGCTCCTTGGTAAACAAATGGATAAGGACTGGAGATGTGGTATTTTGTACTTACTGGTAAGCTAGGTTCTCTATACTTGTAAAGACTATTGATCTTCCAGGCTGAGAAACAAATGCCATTTGACAAATTTGGCTATAACCATAAAGTTGACAACAAACTCAGCATCTGGCTCACAAAGTGAGTATCAACAACCACAGCAACAACAAAAATAGAAACCAATAAAAAAAGTTATACTGGATAGATAATTATCACCTTCTAATAGAGAAATCAAATTGCAAAATGGTGAATAACAAGACAGAAAGCAGTTACAATTATTTGGGGTTTGATAATGTTCAAAAATGCAGAACAGCTCCCTGATGATTAAAAAGACAATGATTTTAGAATAAACAACCATTCGAGATTTGAACCACATGAGTTGCCTTGAAAGACGATCCTGAACAGAAGAAACATCCATGTTTGGAGCTACCACTTATAGATCATTCCTGAAAACAATTCTAAATTAGAGACTCATGGCTCTTAAGTGGAAGAAAACAGGAAGAGAATGGGGTAGAGGAGCAGCACGTATAATAGGCATCACTGCATCTTGAGCTGCATTAGGAATTATACATCAACTGACTAGATGTGACAAATTTTACATAAAACCAATAGCCAGTCCTAGAAAAGGCTGATGTGAAGATAACTGGGATCAACAGTCAAAATACTTTGTAAGGTGATTGGCTTTGGATACATTTTGATAAAGTGATCATCCCACTCCTAGCTAGTTTTGAGCATAGATAAATTATTTACAGAGCAACGACTTACAGCAATGTCTATCAAAATGAATCTCCCCCTCAACACAGTCTCAACTCTGTGGAGTACTCAAAGAAAAGTACAGAACAGTAAGCCTAGCAATGGCTATCAGAGAAAACTAGCATGATAAAACCTATAATCACAGGTTCTGTATTAATGGATTCTGTGTGGGCAGGATTCTTAACTAATATTAAAATATTTCTTCCCCTCAGATCAGGACTGAGTAAGACAAATCTTTTAGGAGTCTTTAGCTTTAATCATATGAAGCCTGTAATAGCAATAGCACTTAGACTTATATACCGCTTCATAGTGCTTTCCATCCTTCACTAAGTGGTTTACAGAGTCAGCATATTGCCCCCAACAATCTGGGTCCTCATTTTACCCACCTCGGAAGGATGGAAGGCTGAGTCAACCTTGAGCCTGGTGGGATTTCAACTGCCAAATTGCAGGCAGCCGGCTGTCAGCAGAAGGAGCCTGCAGTACTGCAACTCTAATCACTGCGCCACCAAGGTAATGTTAATACCTACGCAGGAGAATCTTGAGGGTTCCAGCAGATGACCAGTATTTCATGCACACTTGAGAAGATGCATGAAGGCTCCCAGGAAACCTCTGAGGTATGGCAGAAGCTTTGGAAATAGTTGAAGATGATGGGATTGGAATTTGCAGCTGTAACACACTTGCTCCCCAAGTGTGGCTCACAAATGGATGAAAGATTGCAAAAAGCTTGTTCAATAATCACTTGGCAATATTTTCAAGAATTTACAGTATGATGCCCCAGCAAACAGAAAAGAAAGTCCCTTCTATCTAAGGGGAAGATTTGCTTCTGCAACAATGGCATTTGCAAAACAGGCCCTTCAAGGTCATTAGGTCAAGACTAAAAGGCTCAGAGAAGAGCAGTTCTCCTAAATTCGTTCATGCATAATAGCAATTAATTAAAAAAGATACAATACAATAAAACCAAATTTAAAAATGGATAAAATATAAAAAATTCCAGATCAACGGCAAACTGAGAAAATAGACACAGTATTATTCTGGTTTCGAAAGACCAGTGAGGGTTGCATCTAGTCCTCCACAGGCTATATGAAGAAAATTCTTGTCAAAGAATCTGTAAACTCCAGAAGACTCTCTACATCAGGGATGTCAAACTCAAGGCCCACAGGCCAGATCCGTTCCGCAAGGTTGCTTAAATCTGACTCACGGGGCTGGCCTGAAAATATGAGAGGACCAGCCTGCGGCTAAAAAACGGGCCTCAAAACGGGCGAAAAGAGGCCCAAAAACAGGCAAAAATGGGCCAGAAAATGGGCGGAAAATGGGGCCTAAAACGGGAAAAAAACAGACCAAGAAATGGGCAGGAAAACGAGCCGTTTTCAGCCTCCAGCAGCACTCTGCTTGCCAAAAGCAGCCCCACGCCCCATTTTGGCTGGTAAAGTGATGCAGGAGGCGTCCGTCCTATCTCCCCCCCACTCTTCACCACCCTCTTTCAACGGTGCGCAGAGAAGAACTATAATACTGATCTGGCCCTCAAAGAAATACAGTTTGACCACCCCTGCTGTTCATCATGAGTGTTAATCTTGCCACGTCACGTTGCTGTCATGTGATGTTTCATAACATTTTTTTTCGCTTTGCGGAGCTGGGGTGGGCATGGCCTATACATGATGCATTTGGCCCTTGGGCTGCCAATTTGACACCCCTGCTCTACATTATTCAGGACTTGAAGATCTGCAGAACTGCCTTTCTCCATGAATTTCTGCTCTGGCCCATCATTAAAATAATGTTTTAAGAGATCCAGGATGCATATTTTCTCTATTGTGATGCCTGCCCTTTAGAACCACACCCTAAACTGACTCTGTTGCTCTTTAAAGAGGACCTTAAAGATCTAAACCACTAACATCTTTTTTAAAAGTTGTGAATTTCAGTTATAACCATGGTGATAGTAAAATGGAATCAGTAACACTGTAGGATAATTTGTTTATACTCAGTGCTCCACAGGGGTACATATTTGTTCCATGGGCAAAAGGGAGATTTACATCTCAGTTTCTTAGACTTCAGCTCATGTCATTCTTTTTCAAAAGGCAAGGAAATACTACAATTGTCTGTTAAATGAAATGAAACATATCCCTCAAGTACGCACAGCTCCATGATTGTAAGACATTCTGTAGATTAGCTGCCAAGAAAAGGATGGAAATATAACACAGATGTGGCTACAGGGTCTTTCCTCCAAGACCAAATAATCTGAACCCTGAAAAAGGGCTGTGATCCAATCATGTAATAACTCACCTTCAGTCCCATCTTCTTTTGGAGTAACAATGCCAGGCGTAAGGGAAATTGGGGGAGTAGGAGTAACAGCAGGTGTTGGGGATTTAGAAGTGGTAGGGACTATACAAAAAGAGAGGGGAAAATGTTTATGTAGTTTTCTCCAGACCCAGGATACTCAACTTTAAAGTTTTCAACTCTGATGTTCAACAAAGATTTAAGAAAAATTACTTACTCTTATCACACCATGGACCAGACGGTTTCCACTGACTATCAGCATCACATTCAATTAAAGAAGACTCTACGAAAGTGTAGCCAGGATCGCATTCAATAAGTAATTTATTCTGATACGTATATGTAGCTTGAAACACACTTGCCACTTTTCCATTTGGGATGATTGGTCTACGGCACTTGACATCTGGAAAAGAAATCAGCATTTAGTTTGCACCAAATAACTAACTGGCTTCATGAGGGCAAATGAAAAAGTATGCCATGATGTTATTATTACACAAATGCTGTAAGTTATATATTTCTGTCACAGAGTGAGAAATAAGTACATAATGGTGGCATGCACGCATATAGTGGCATCACCATGTGATGTAATTATGGTTTGCTGCTGCCACTAGTAATCTTAGGCCTAGAAACCATTATTTGCTTAGCTTTGGCCAAAAAGAATAACTATCTAATATGGCTGCACCTTGTTTGCAGGAGTTGCATGAAACAAGATTAAATGGATACACAAATGATTATCTGTAGATTTAATAATTAACTGACCCAAATATATAACTGTTATTATAAATATGCAACACTGACAGCCAGTGAGGTATAGTATCTTAGATTAGGATGAAAGAGTTCACCCTAAGACTTTTATGATTAAGAAACACATTTCTCTTGGAGTTGGGAATGATCTCATTAGAATTTAAGATACTATCCAATGTTTTAGCTTGTAATTACTCCATGGATGGTGTGGGGCTTGATAGAGATGCTTTAGGTTGAAGAATATACCATTCCTCTTCTGTTTAAGTCCTTGGTTTTTAGTCTATTCTTTAATTTTTGTAATTTCAATTGTTCTTATAATTGTATTTATATTTTTATTTTTATTATATTGTAAGCCAGTCAGAATCACTTTGGATAGCAAGATGGGCAGCATATAAACATAATAATAAAATAAATAAATCAGAAAGAAATGAGAGAGAAATTATTTTTATTATGCTCCTAACTCAATGGAACACAATAAATCCAGTCCAGCTCAAGGGGATAATTAACAAATTTGAACACAATTAATAAATTATCCAAACTATGTTTGCATTTCTTTCAATACTAACTTGTATGAACAAATTTCACTGTGATAATTTCCATTTAGTAATCCACAGCTCCCCAATGCTTAGAAGACAAGATTACCAGATTTCAGCAAGAGCATAAATGTAGGGAACTAATGGAACTAACAAAAAAGCAATTTGATATATTGAAGGTAAGGAAAATAACAAATCCCATTACTTTTGCATTCAGGTGAAGGCAAATTCCACTTTCCATCTACACCATTTTCTGCAACTGTACATGTAATAGTAGAATTTCCAATAAGGGAGTAATCGGCATCACACCGATAGATGACTGTCCAGCCAGCATCATATGTATCTGAAGGACTGGGATCATATCTTCCATTAGCAATTATAGGAGGACGAGCACAAGGAATACCTGGAGAAAAAAAATTCAACAAATTCAACTAGGTTACCATTCGGATTTTCTCATGGTATAAATATTTAGCTACTTGAATTAATTTCTTGAATTCATCAAATAAATGCACATCTTTGGAATTCTTTCTACTATCAACCAGAACACCACATTCACTTTTCTAGTTCCAGGGACAACATTCCTATCTAATAAATATCTCCTGTCCAGATTCTGCTTAGGATTTCTTCATAAAGTTATTATCAAAGTGGCCTTCCTCGTTAGGATCTCTTCCATATGCAAGTTTAAACTAGAAAAAGTACATTCTTCCTATGGAAGTAACATGGTGGTTACCCATCTCTTGTCAGAATACAGCAAAAGTATATACTTCATTGAGAAAAGTGATACAACTGACTACATTGCATGGCAGGTGATGCTCACAATAGAAGAATCATAGACTGAAAGTTTGCCTGTTTACATTGTGCTAATGTGACTTGACCTAAAAGTTAATTTAAAGAGGCAGGATTCGATGCAAGGTTGTGATTTCAAAAAGGATTCATTCATAAATTATATCGGGAAAGCATTAAAATGCTTACAGTTGCTTATATGGTGGCAGAATGCAATGCTAATAGCAGGAACAATAGTTTCTTTAGTGGACATGAATCATGCCAAGGTTAAAACTGGTTATTTTCAAAAGTTCCTGATTCCATTGCAATAATTTTTTTCAATATTTTCTCCTATACTTAAACCAAAGATATTAAAAATTAGGAAAAGGCAGCATATGGTGGCTTCCTGAATCCATTTTTTTCCTCTTTGTGTAGATCGGAACCACATTAGCTCTTCTCCAGTCTTCTAGTCATTCCCCTATGCTCAGGAGCTATGAAAGACTATATTCAGTGGTTCCAAGATTATGCCTGCCAGCTCCTTCAGAAGCCTGAATTTAATCTAGTTGGTAAAATGTCTGTGGTCAGTCATCCAGACCATTGTTTTTTCAAAGATGATTTTTCAAAAGGAATCTGGACTGATTTTTCCCCTGAGGAAGAAGAACAAAATGTTTCACTTCTCATCCAAGAATTGATGAAACTGATGAAGCTTCTTGGATGAGAAGCAAAACGTTTTGTTCTTCTTACTCAGGGGAAAAAAAATCCAGTTACCTTTTGAAATAGCATGTTTGAGACAATCCATCTGGTCCTTTGAATTTGAACTCATCTACAGTGGCTATGTATAGTATATCCAGGTTATGGTTGTCTGAAAGATGGTTTTTCAAAAGACAACTGGACTGTCTTTGTTTGTGCTTGAAGATGTCTCATTTCTCATTCAAAAAGCTTGGGTGAGGCGAAGTTTCAGAACTGAAGCAGCTTCTTGGATGAGAAGTGAGACATCTTCAAGCACAATCAAAGAAAGTCCAGTTGCCTTTTGAAAAAGCACCTTTGGGATATTCAACTAAAAGCTAAGCAGGCTGAACTTTTGCTGTTAAGCTAAACGTAAAAGCACTAAAAGAAGCTTAATAAGCTTAAAATAAAATATCATCTTACGTTCGCAAACTGGAAGTTCTCTATTCCAGTCAACTCTGCCTGATTTCAAAACACATTGACGAGTAGCGCCACCTATTATCCTGAACCTACAGGGAAGAAAAGTCTTATTGATTTTTTTAGTTGCAATTTCTAACATAAGCCACAACAGATTGGGTTCACAGAACATGCTGACTCAAACCAAACAAATTATATTATGATGTACTAAAATGTAGGACTCCAACCATTATAATACTTTGGTATTTATTTGTCTAGTAAGAATTTCTAGAAGTATATTCTGAGAACTTGATAGATGCTGTATATAAGAAGTGTTCATCTTCAAACTTGTAGCAAAGCGTTATACCTACATCACTCTGGCCGGTCTAAATCTTGCTCTCCTCTCTCCATTCCACATTCCCAAACAGATACAGCAAAGTTACTTTGTTGTACAAAGTTATGTTAAAAAGACTTTAGAAGTCACATATATAACTTCTGAGGATACTAGCACAGTAGAAATGTGATCTATTTCAGTCCCAAACTTCAAATCCTGACCCTTTTCCTTTCACTTTATAGAGCCAGTGGTCTGTAGCTGGTCCTTTCTTGGTTTGAAAGTAATTTATACATCAAGCTAGCAAGAAATGTAGGTTAAGATAAACAGGGCCAATTAAGTTCAACTTCCTACAAGTTGGACCTAATTTAATATCCATTTGTAAGGCACGATAGCAATTTGCAATGCTGACAAAATAGGCAGATAAAGATAGCACCAGAGTTTCTTCCAGTTGATTCTGTCACCTCAAAACCCAGGATGATTAACAAACACCTACTGACGTATTGGCAGAATTTTACTGAGTTACATATAAACGATGCCTTTAAATCATTTCTGCAGATTTCTGCAAATCTGTTTTAAGTTACTTTGAAAGATGTATACCTTTCAAAGTAACTATATGTTATAATTATTTATAGGAATATACTGTAGATAATTATAATATATAGTTCATAATTCAGATTTTATTACCACTATTTTTTGTCCATTGTCTCCAAAGATATTTTTACAATTTGCTTCAACAAATAATCTCTAACTTACCCATACTGACAACCAAGGGTTATTTCTTCACCAAGCCGGAGGTCATCTGAACTTACTATTTGGCCATTTTCTATATGTGGAATGGGACATCGCTTTCCTAAAAGATTGGAACTGATGTTATCATGTGTCCTTGTGAGACTTACAACAAAATAAACACTTGTAGAAAATTGTATTATTCTAGCTTTATACTTCTCCATATTATATTATAGTTGTATCTCTCAAGAGTTGTTTTGCAATGCAGAGCTGCTTGGTAAACTATCCTCAGCTTCTCTACGTATCTGTTCACTTCAATGGCTGTTCATGGACTTACATATGAAAATAATTAAAAGTAGTTTATGAAGCAGCTGCATGAATTGGAAAAAAACTTGGATGCTACTGAGTCAAAGTCTTTCAAACATTATCTGTGTATATTAAAATCTCTTGAAATTATAATTATATAGTAACAATAAAAATAATTACTGACATAATTTAATTACCATATATTTCAGCGTATAAGATGCACTCCCCCCAAAAAAGTGGGTGAAATTGTCTCTTATACAGCAAATGTTGCCAAAGGCCCCCACCCTTTGGCCTCTGCCTCCCAGCAATTTGCCTCTTTGCAGCAAACAACCTGGTCAGCTTCAGCACAGCCTGATTTAGCACAAGCAGCTCCTGGAATACCAACGATCAGCTGTTCCAGGCTGCGGGGATCGCCACTGCCTTTCGGAGCCATCGCTGCTGCCACCTATCTCTGCCTCTGGATGTTTCAGCCTCTGTGCATCCCATTTTCAGCCCGTTCCAGGCAGCAATCAGATGGGATGCACGGAGGCTGAAAATGGAGCGTGCATAAATGGGATGCATGGAGGCAGAAAATGGAGTGTGCAGAGGCGGAGATAGGTGGCAGCAGCGACAGGTGGCAGCGGAAATGGGCGCTGATGGCTCCGATGGGCAGTGGCAATCCCCACAGCCTGGAACAGCTGATCGTCGGTATTCTGGGAGCTGCTTGTGCTAAATCAGGCTGTGCTGAAACTGACCAAGCTGTTTGCTGCAAGGAGGCACATTGCTGGGAGGCAGATTTTTTTTTCTTGTTTTCCTCCTCTAAAGCTAATGTGCATTTAAAAATACACCGAAAAATACGGTACATATGAATAATATGGGGTTACACGCTTAAAAAGACAACAAACTAAACAAACTAAAAACTTTAAAACAGACAATAAAACACTGGAACTATTGATTCCAAACATTATTTTTCAATTGTTAAACCATAAACTGAACCTACGCAACACAGAATGGAATTCTTCAAACTTATCTCTGTTTTGACACAAAGCCAGTTCAAAGGTCAGGTGTTGAAAAATGTTATTAAACCAATTGTTTTCTAATATATAAACATCCTTCCATGTCTACACAATTATCTTTTTTGGAAAAGACCAAGCAGAGCATGCAAACTAATCTTTGTAGATGAAAACAATCCTAATTTGGAGGATATATTTTACAAGATCATTAAACCACTTTCATTCTTAACTTCCTTCTGAGTCACTCTTCATCACAATAATAATATTTAAACAATAAGTAATTATTATTGGTGTATCTAGATCATGTATAGCAGGAAAATTGTTTTTCAAAATTATTACATCTCCATCATAAAATGAATGGTATCAATATTTTTACAATATTTGTTCATTAGCACAATAACCCACCTCTTCTCAGTTATTTTGTTTACCTCAAGTTTTTAAATCATATGAAACATATTCAGTGCTAACATTTTTTAAACCTGAAGACATGATTGGACAATAGAGGAGAGTCTAATTCTCCATTTCAAATTTCTTGAACACTTATTTTTATATTCTTTAAAAAATCTTGATGTTAATAAATTGTGGGTTTACTCAATGCCTCTGGAATTTCCAAAGTCTGTATGGCATCAGAGCCAAGCAATGAATACATCAAAAGCTTTTATTCTATGTGTTATATTCCTTCTACAGAATGTCAGAAGTGACCATAGTTTCTAAAATAAAAGTGTGACCAAGTATTTTAAGCAAAATATTCCAAATTTTTAATTTCTAATGATAATGAAAATAAAAATTTAATTTCTGTCCCGTAAGGCCCAATTACTTCTGATCAATATCAAAGGCTTAATTACTAATATATTTTGAATCAGGGATTAAAAAATGCTAAATAGTAAATTGAGCCAACAATGGTTAGTAGTCAAAATAATTTTAATACCAGATTGCTATTAATAAATTAGTCATTTAAAATCATAAAAATTAAAATCACCATAATTGTATAAAAGCTTAACTTTAAGAAATCCTGGTTACTTGTTCCTTCCATGAATATTTCACTGTTAATTTATCAATTTGTTTAAAATATTTAAATGGAACCAACTACCTTGGTGCAATATTAATGCTCTCAGAAACAGAGATATCTTCAACCACATCTTAATATCCTCACTCATCTGGGAAATTTAAATTGCAAAACTCTTATCTACTAGACAGGATATTTTCCCAAGAATAATAATCCCCAGGTATTTCATAGATTCTGAAGTATCTGTATAATTGAAGCTTAATTTTTATGTCTATCTCTTAGGACTTTTTTTATCAATAAATATATTAAACTTATTTCAATTTATTGAATTAAATTTATTGAATACCCATATTGTACAATTTGTACACTTTAAGGATCTCTGTCCACTCCTACCCCTTAATGTATTAACTTGAAACAGGATACCATCTTTCCCCAAAAATATGACCTACACCGAAAGTAAAGCCTAGCTTATTTTTTGGGGGGGGGGGCTAATATAAGGCTTACCCCAATAAGCCCTAGTGAAGGGCGTGAGCATGGCCAGCACAGGAGGCAGCCCTTCCCTTCCCCGGTCACCTCATGGCTGCTCAGCCCCTTAATCGGGGCCTGCAGATCAGCCGAGCCAGCTGTTGTGGTCCGCCAGCAGCCTCTGGAGGTGGTAGCAGAATCGGACAGTAACAAGACTGGGGAGGAACATGGGCCAGTCCTGGAGTCTGGGGAAGGCTCAGACAAGAGCTCTGCATCGGAGGCAGAGATGGGGCCAGGGCCATCTGGGAGTGTTGCGCAGACTCCGAGCCCCCAGAGTCGGACAGCAGAGAGGCAGAGGAACAGGTTCCTAGTGCACGCATGCGCAGAGCTGCCAGTAGGCAAGAGCAGCTAAAGCAAAAGGGACAACTCGGAAGTAAGGCCAGGAGATGATTGGCCCCTCCCATAAGGCTTAAAAGAGAAACAAAAGCACTTGGGCCTTTTGCAGGAAAGCAACATTGCTAACTTTGTTTCCAGTCGGCATCTCTTGTTTGTTTCTCAACTCCGTGGGGCTTTGCCAAGTAAGGCCTTTGGCAGGGGGTCAAAGAAGATAAAGGTTGGTGATTATCCTGAAGGACTTCTGAAGGACTTTTTTGCAACTAATTGGGACACAGCTGGGAATGAATATAATTCTCAGCTGTTACAATAAAATAGGTTTTTTTGGGACTAATTGTGTATTGTAATGACTCAGTAAGCCTAGGTCACAACACCTGCAAGGGCCAGGAGCTACCTCTCGTTCTGTCTCTCCAGGCACCTGGAGATGTTTCTTGTGCACGCTTGCCACCTCCAGCCCTGCCCTGCCCTGCCCAAGTTCCGTGGTGGCCCTGTAGCGGGATGGAGCAGGGAGGGGGAAATTGCCCCTTCATCCTTTGCACCCCAAAACCCCATCTTCCCTGACCACTGAGCCCCTGGCCTGCACCCCTCTTGCTGGAGCAAGATGTGCAAACTCAATGTTACCCATGGAGGTCTTCCAGTGCAAGCACGGCCACTTTTGCCACCAATTGCAGCCGCAAAAGCAGGAGGAGGCCAAGCGAACCATCTCATACTTGTACATAAGGGGGGGGGGGAAATAAGACACCCCCCCCAGCCATTTTTTGGGGAGTCAAAAGAAAATAAGACCCGGTCCTATTTTCAGGGAAACACAGTAGTAAACAATTATCTCTTTGTCACACATAAGGTAATGGGGGAATAAAAAATAATTTTCTGCATTATTGTCCAAAGATTGGATAACCATTTATTCAGGATGATACAAGGATTTCTAGCTTGGCTCTTGGACTAGAAGATCCCCAAGATTGCTTCCAGCTCTATGATTCCATTATTGTAATATTGTTATATTTTTTGGTTAAAGTTCAGTTAAATCTTCTTGTTTGCCAACATGTGGAAATGGCAGACCTTTGTCATCTTTGCCTGCTTGCTTGTCTGGAGTCTGGGACAACTCACCATGGCCAACTCATGACAGGACAACTCGCCACAGGACAAGAGTTACAGTAATATCAAAGAAATGGTGGAATAGAATCATTAAAGAAAGAATGCAAAAGGAGGGACAAAATAAAATGTGACAGGCAAACATTAAAATAATTTTTAATTATTTTAAATAAATTGAATTGAACTGTTCTGCAGCAAGTTCTCCCATGGTGAGTTGGCTGCAGCAAGTTGTCTGATGCTCTTGCCTGCATTCTCTCCGCTGGGCTCATCATCCCAGCCACATGCAGGGGGAGGCACCATGGAAAGGTTCTAAAGCCTGGCAGGGCTGTCTGTGACATGCTGTAACCCAATACTGATGGGATCCTTCTTTCACGCACCACTTAGAGCTTTTCACACTGGCCAAGACCTCCTTATGCAAAAAATGGCTGGAGCTGGCTTCTTGAAAAAAATTCTTCAACTCTAGATGTTCTTGGAACTTTTTCTGGCTTTAACTTCTTAACTTAACTACAAACTTACTAAGATAATTTTTATGTTTTCTTCTGTACTGTACGTTCATTTTGCTAAGCAATTTTTAATTTCTAAAAAAGAAATCATATTTTTTATTTGAATTATTAAAACTTTGCATTATACTTTTTGTTTGGTAAAAATATCCTTTGTTAAATTCTCATGATCCAATAATCAGAAGAATTTTCAGTTACTGTTTTATTCCAAATACCGTAAATTATAGGCTGGAAATTAAATGTACAACTTTAAATCTGACAATTTTGAAGAGCTGAATGTATTTCACTCAACATTGCATAGCAGCCACTGTTGTTGACAAAAGATACTTACCTTGACAAAGTGTAGGAAGCTCTGACCACTTATTAGTGTCAAGACATGTCATCCTAGGAATTGTTCCAGTTATAATTTCATGACCTGCGATGCACTGTAAACGCAGAACAGTTCCAGTTGGAGAGGTATCTAGTAGGACTTCTCCTGTTCTAAGTGAAGAATGGGGAGGTAGAACTGGATTTGGGCAATCACCTGTAGATAAGTAAAAATGAGGAAGTTCCGAAGTAGAGAACAGAAATAAATGTCTATTACACTACTGAAGCCCAACCATTCAGTTTTAAGCCACTGGGGGCTTATGCCAAAGAATTTTCAGCCCAGAAATGTAGGAATAAGGTCAGGATGGCAAAAGCAGAAAATGAGTTAAGCAAGAGGTAGCAAGAGGGCCATAATCCAGGAGGTTTTTCTTGAAATATGTCAAGAACCAGAAGATAAAAGAGATGGCAGGCCCACTGCTTACTTAGGATGCAGAAATTTTAACAGATGACCAAGAAAAAGCAGATAAACTCGACTTCTGTTTTTACCTCTGAAATGGTGGTTTGAGTAGTAGATTGGAAACAAATGCAATATCGTACATACAGGCCAATAAGGATATAGTAAAGGTGTTATAATAGGCATTAAATAGAGCTATTTGCAGGGATCTTAAAGACAATGCCATGACCTAAAGGCCAGCATAGCTTTACAAACTAATAATAATAACGTGAGAGAATCTTGTGTCCTTCTCTGACAGGGTAACCATTCCACTGATCTAGAGGAATATGACCGATATAAGGAACCTGGATTTTCCCAAGTTTTGAAAAAATCTCAATATTTCAGAGAACATCTTCAATGACAAGCTATTAGTGTAATATAGAAGACATTCCCATAAAGCGGGGTTGGCTAACTGCATCAGAGAATCAGCATTGAAGAATGCTGATTGCGGTGTTGCGGCAAGACTGGTTGGAAAATAGCAGGTTCCAACGAGCCTTGCGAAAATCCAAACAGACAAACCGCTGTCGGGGGAGTCTTCAGACCAGAAACGTCTTGTAGGGATGGTGAAGAAGGAGAGGTGCCTCGGACGACCAAGAGGAACAGGTAAGTTCCTCAAAGGGTTGGAGGCAAGCTCTTTGGACCGGCGGCGGGGGTGGAGGCCAGGTAAAAAGGAACTTTTTAAAAAAATCTTAAAAGTGGTTCCGCGTGGAAATAAGCAGCTAATTGGCACTTGGGGATTTTAATAGAGGGGAAAGAACAAAGAGGAAGTTAAAATACTAAAGCCCAAAAAGAAAAACTTCTATCTGGATTTAAGATTGGACTTGGAGAAATTAAAAATAATACAAGAAAAAGAAACCCGAGGGAAAGCATTTTTTAATGAAAATTTTAACTATTTTTGAAGTTTTGACACTGGAAGGAAGAACAAAGAGGAACCTAAAAATTTAAATACAAGAAAGGAAATTTTATAATTAGATTTAAAATTGAATTTGGAGAAATGTAAAACAGTAAAGAGAAAAGAAACTGAAGAGAAAGTATTTTTTATGTGGATTTAAAATATTTTTTTTGACAAATGTGATATTTTGTTGCTTTGGGAATTGTGGATTGAAGAGAGACATCTGCTGGTGGAAAGAAAGTACTACAACGATTGCTTTGAAAATTGAAGCTTTAATGACCTTGACGATCATGAGAGATATTTGTTTCTTTTGGAACTGTTGGGTCTCGACTCTGAAAGGAGGTGAAAAGCAACAAAACTTTAAATTGGAGTGGTCTAGAAAAATATTTGAACTGAATATTATTTGGAATAAAAAAAGAAGAACATGGAGCATGGGGAGTATGAGGAACTAAGAGAGATGATTAAAAATATGCATGAAGCATTTAGGGGTAATAAAAAAGCAGAAGCCTGGTTAGAAGAAAATTAAAAAAAAGGATGAAGAAAATAAAAATGAGAAGCAAGAATGCAAGGTTGAAGAGTAAATTATTGAAGAAAAGTTAAATGATTACACTGGGATTAAAGTGGGGGGAAAAGAAGGGACAGGAGGAAATACTTTCTAAAAAAGAAGCGAGCAAAGGGGAGAAAAGGAAGAGACTAGGTTAAAAAAAGAGCCTTGATGGTACAGTGGTCTAAGCACCCTGTTATTAACACAGCTGCCTGCAATTACTGCTGGTTCGAATCTCTCCAAGGCTCAAGGTTGACTCAGCCTTCCATCCTTTCTAAGGTAGGTGAAATGAGGACCCAGTTTGTGGGGGCAATAAGCTGACTTTGTATAAAATATACAAAAGTATGAAGGCTATTGCTTAACGCATTGTAAGCCGCCCTGAGTCTCCGGAGAAGGGCGGCATATAAATCAAATTAAAAAAAAAAAAAAAAAGCTAGACAATTACACTGAGTTTATCAGTGGAAAAAAAAGAATGGAGAGGGGGAAATATTTTCCAAAAAAGAAGCAATCAAAGGGAAGAGAAAGAAATGGAAACACACTAGATAAAAACTTGGGGTGAATTATGCGAGTAATAGACTTAAAAGTAAGAGAAAGGATTCAAGAAAAAAGATATAATAAATATAAAAAGAAAAAAAGAAAAAAAAGACAAGAGAAAGGGAGAAAGGGAGAAAAACATTAAGAAGTGGAATTCTGGAGGGACCAAGAGAAAATGGCTAAAGGGGGAAGAATAGAGGAAAGAAGGAAGGGAAATGAGGTATATATTTATAGATTTAAGAGAATTGTATTAACATTAGTAATTATGAATGTAATAAATAAAAATGATGAGATATATTGTGTATGAAAATAATTGAAATTAAGAGATAAACTTGAAAAGTAAAAAGTGTGATTTCAATGTAAAAATAGAATAAGATGAGTACATTGTTTATAGCAGGGGTGAAATGCCCCCGGTTCGGACCGGATCACCTGATCCGCTAATGATAGCGGCGGGTGGTTCGGAGAACCGGTAGCAAAAATCCCTGCGCGCCCGCACCACCACCATGCCCAGCTGAGCCTCACTATCATCAGAGGCTTTTTTTTTTTACTTTTAAAAGCATTTTTTCTACAACTTCTTCTGCCGAAAAAATGCTTTTAAAAGTAAAAAAAAAAAAAAAGGCTCTGATGATCGTGTGGCTCAGCTGGGATCATCAGAGCCTTTTCAAAGCATTTTTTAAAACACTTTAAAAGTCTCTCTGACGATCCCAGCTGAGTTGCCTGATCGTCAGAGAGACTTTTCAAAGCATTTTTTTCTGCAACCTCTTCAGCAGAAGAGGTGGTTAAAAAAATGCTTTGAAAAGGCTCTGACGAGCCCAGCTGTTTCCTTTGCATTTGCAGAAAAAATGCTTTGAAAAGTTAAAATTAAAAAAAAAAGTTGGCCAAGCCCACCCAGTCACATTAACCCCCCCCCACCAAGCCACGCCCACAGAACCGGTAGTAACAAATTTTACATTTCACCCCTGGTTTATACCTAAAAAATGTGATGTAAAAAATAAAAATGATGTATATTGTTTAGTGAAAACAAATAGATGAAGTATGAAGTGATAATTTGGTCCATTTATGAAGAATTGAAATTGTAATGGGGATTTTATATGAAGTGTTATAAGTGTGACATAAGATAAATAATATTATAATAAGAAATCAGGAATTAAGGATGGAAATGATATTGTTTAAGTTAAAGGGTTTCAATATAAAAATTAAATAGCACGAAGTATGTTGTTTATATAAATGGAGAAATAAGATAATTAATTGAAGCAATGTTAAAATTAGGATGTGAAGGGTGGATGATAATATTGTTTATACACTATGCATTAAGAAGAGATTAAGAGAAAATAAAAAAGTAGAGAAAAAAATATTATGGCAGAAATTGAAATATGTAAATTGTATTTGGAAAAACCAAAAAAGAAGATTAGAATAGATTATAAAATATATATAAGTATGTTATAAGTTGTATAAGATGTGACCCGGTCAGTACTCTGTTCATAAAATATGTATGTAAAAGGAAATTTTTTAAATAAAACTTGTTTTAAAAAAGAGAAAGAGAGAGAGAATCAGCATTAATGGATATCTGACAAGATGGAGAGCAGTAACTAGGAAAGTTTCACAGAGATTGGTTTTAGACCTAGTATAATTTAACGTTTTCACTAATGACCTAAGTAGTTATCAAATGTGTAAGTGACACAAAACTGGAAGTTCTAATCAACACATAGGATGAAAGCATTTGATTGCAATCTAGCCTCAAAGACAGGAAAGGAAAAATACATCCTTTAACAGGAAAAAAAAGTGAAGTATTACCTTTAGAGAGAAAAAGATGTAAGACAAACATACAAGATGGTGGAGTCATGGCTTGAAATGTTACATCTGAGGATTTAGTTATGGCCACTGACAAGAAGCTGACAAGAAGTCAGGAGAATGAAACAGTTATTATAAGGATTAATACAAATCTGAACTGCATTACACATCTGAACTACATCCTCACCAACCCAAGATTGACTCAGCCTTCCATCCTTATAAGGTCGATAAAATGAAGACCCAGATTGTTAGGGGCAATATGTTAACTCTGTAAACTGTTTAGGGAGGGTTGTAAAGCACTATGAAGTAGTATGTAAGTCTAAGTGCTATAGCTTTTAGAAGCAGCATACATTAAAACACATGAAATCATTGTTCTGCTCTACTTGGCTCCACAAAACCACACTTGGAGTACTGTCTGATTTTGAATCCTACATTATCAGAAGGAGACTGACAGGTTAGAACTGCTTCAGAGAGCAGTAACAAAGATGATTATGAGATGAGACTATTTTCCATGGCCACAGAAATTAGTATCAGAAATAACAAGTTGCAGCTACCTGGATTTCATTTAAATATGCAAAAAAGCCTCTAGATGATAAGACCTGCATAGCAGTTTAGCTGTGGAGGTTGTGGATTCTCCATTTCTGGAGGTTCTTAAGTCAAATCCCTCATGGATTCTATAAATAGTTTTCCTATATTTTGCAGTAAGTCAGACTAGATGATCTTCATAGCTTCTTCCAAACCTACAATTTTCTCATTTTCCTCTTCACTACATAAAGGAATATGCTTTACCTTTTTTAGATGAGCTATCTATCCTATCTTAGTTTATTTTTTTAAGGCAGATTGAAACCCATTCGTTCGTTTATAGGTGGGAGAAACCTCAAATGCAATTTACCAGATTTCCTGCATGGGTTGCCTCCTGTGACATGTGGGACAGACGGAGAGGAAGCTAACCATCAGACTGCA